CCAAACGCTGGCTCCAAGCGGAAACCAGACCGAGAACCTGGCAGCTGTCCCAAGTCCAAGTGACATGCTCGCTCAACGTGCGATACAACTCTATATCGATTCAGATGTGCGATTGTATCGATACACATATGCGATATGTGTGTACGGATGGCAATCTTTCGCGTTGCCATATCTCATGCCCGAGCTCCTCGAAACCTTGCTTTCAAAGAAACCAGGCTTCTCGCTCAGTTCATTGAGTAAAACCTTGCAGGCACCGGTCATGGTCGTCTTCCTGTCAGCCACCCTCATTAATTAAAAGGGCGGGCCCGGTTCTTCATGCAACTCCGCTTTCCTCACTTGAAGGATGCGATTGGCTCCTTGTGGGGCGGCTTTGAAGGGAAACCAAAAGGAAGCAAACCACCGGTCCTGCAAGGAAAGAACCATATTCATGGCACCCACACGTCTAGAAGCACTTTGCCAGGCGTCCCACCAATTGAAGCCGGCCCCTTCCATGCCCCACTGCTGCCAGTACGGCTCGCAAAGGGTCAGGGTGCGGTTGTCCACCTGGGAGCGGCCATCTGCCGATTGATTTGTCGTTCAGAGCACCCCACGTGCTTGGCTTTGTGCTGGTTTTCTCCTCATCCAACCTACAAGGATCACTAGTTTGGACAGTCTAGGGGTAAAACAGGCGCATGTGTGTGTGTGTGTGTGTGTGTTCTGTTTTTGAACTTCTTATCTCGTACTTGTTGGACTTTTTTGCGCAAACTTTCTTGCAGAAGTGGGGAAACGCAAATGTTGGCCGGGAAGAGGATGGCAAGCCAAGGACTGCACAATCGGACACAACAGTCTTCGCAGGCACAATAATCTCGGTGACTCGGACCGCCTCTTGGAGACACAACTCGTGCACTGAAGCTTGGAGATTCCTTATGAGCAACAGCATTCAGCAGGGTCGAATTTTAGCATAAGGCCAACACCCACACTGGTGCTGGGAATTGCCTCAGCAATTGTTTGCCTGACCATGGCACGCATCTGAGCAATCATCAAAACAAACAAAACATCGCAACTCCCGTAGCAACAAAAAGGTCAGTCTACCCATTGAGTCCAGAGAGGTTCACTTTCCATTGCATGACACCGCTGCCTGGCGCAGCTTAGGCAGCCCCACTCTCTTCCTGCCTCGGCACTGAACATGTCCCTGATCACCGCACCGTTCTTGATTTGCATCTTTTCCCTGAGCTGCGGCGGATTTGTTTGGACGCTGTGACTCATTGTCGCTGAGGGAAGCAGAAGTCTTCCACGGTTTGTTTTCCAATGCATTAAAAGCTTGCCGCTCGTGGGCCTTCCCTCCTTGAAAGAAATTTGCACGCTGATTGGTCCTGAAGGGGCTCCCACTACATGAGTAACATTGGACACTCTCAATCTTATTGTATTGTGTGATCAGAGGTACGAGAGTTTCCAAGGCCAATCGTTCAACTTAAAACTGTGATTGCTGCCTGACATGCAGCAAAGTAGCTTGCAGCTGTCACCGATCTGCAGGAAGCCGTGGAAGCATCCGCATCTGCTGACTAGCTGTGTCCTGGCTTAGGCGCCAAAGAAAAAAAATTGAAAACAGCTGGCCGGCTGATCGCACACGTACGCTCCCTACCAACATGAAAGGTTCGCCACAAGGCAAGGAGTCACCAAGCCCACCTGACTGAAACATAGGCCTCAGCAAAATCTTCTCAACGTATCTGAACCAACTTAAGTAATATCCAGCCCTTGGCGCTTCAGTTTTGCCAGTCCAAGGGTGATATCCTTTTGGTCTCCCCCCTCTTGATGTGGTCTGTGGCTGAGGGTGTATCCATTGGCAAGGAGTTGGTGGGCTCCCAGCAAAGGCACTGCAGTGTCGCTGATTCAACGCGAGCCTCCAAGCAGCAGACAGGCAAACGCTGCTCACACTTTCTGGCCGTGAAGTGATATTATTTGTCAAAAAGGCCCGAAGATCCATACCGATGTACCAGCCATGTACCAGCCAAACCCACCCACCCACCCACCCACCCACCCACCCACCCACCCACCCACCCACCCACCCACCCACCCACCCACCCACCCACCCACCCACCCACCCACCCAAGGTCAAACACAAGCCAAGCTGCAACATCGTCGCAAACAAGTGAGTGCTCTTTGCATGGTCTTGACCAACCCTTTGTGCCTTCCTGGTACCGTGCCTTGACCAGCGGATTGCACAGTCCAGTTGATCCAAAAACAGGCCCGGCGCGCTCATCATCAGTCATGATCGGATTTGACAGCAGGCACCTCAGCGCACAATGGCAAAGGCAGGAAAGTTGCTGACGTGTTGCCGGATGTTCCTCCCTCTGTGACTGATTTCAGCAGCATTGACCTCTAACTGTGCGCTAAAAAACTAAAACAACAACATATCCTTGTCGGTTAGGCACCAAACAGAAGCCCCAAGGTTTAAAACAATGACAAGTACCCGGCCAATCATATCCTGTTTTGAACCACGGTTCAAGCACTCACAATCGAGCCGAGTCACTGGACACATCCAAACACACATGCAGCATACTGGGTGCAACATCGGGCATCGGGGGTCCAGAAAGTGAACCATCTACCAATCTCCATTTGCTTTCATTTTTGAAGATCACAACTTCTGGATATGGCACTCGCCACGTGTGTGCTGTTTTTTGTGTGTAATTATCCTTTTGGGGGGTGGTGCAAAGGGAAACACATTACCCATCACTTGATCCCATTTGGAGGGAACCCCCCGATCGCCATATCCCACTCGGTCCCCGGATCGAACAAATCCTTCCGAGCAGCTGGAAGAGCTTTTCCGTGGCGATGGGCACCTGGGTGTAGCAATCCTTGCCACCTCGGGGTTCAATTTCCGTGAAACATCGAGCGCTTCGGAGGACGGAACCCAGGCGGTGCCTCGAAAACAAACCGGCTGCGGTGGTCGCCGCAGAGTCAACTGCGGGTTTCATGCGTCACATCTCGACCAGAGTAAGTCGGCGCTTTTGGGCAATGGATTTAAACAAGGTTTTCTGAGTTCTTCTGGGGGTACCTGCCCCATTCTTTCTAGGGATCCTTCTTTCCAAAAATCCTCACTAAACTTCGGGAAAGCGACCGGTGATCGAAAAGAAGTTGATGGTTGAAAAGAATGGGGAATCACACCCTAGAGTTCCGGTCCATCTCTTTGCTGGTCTTAAGTCATATGTCGCCTTGCGGCTTTGGCCGAGAAAGTGCGAGCTGACCCCCGAAAGAGAATCTCATGTACTCCTCCTCACCTTCACAGTTCTCAGATTGGCATCGAAGCCACACACGGACCTGCTTTCTGGGTTCTGGTCTGGATCCATTGCCATTTTGTCTTTTTCCTTTTTTTTTAAATCTTAATACAACCTCATCAAATGAGATACTTAAACAATATAGTCAACAGTACGAACATTTGGGTATGAATTTTAATAAGGGACCCTTTGGTGGACATCAAAATACGGTGGGGGTTCATGTCCGCCAATCACTTTTAACGCTTCCCTACCAATATTCATGGCAAAACCTTTGCGGGGGCCGGTGTTAGCGGAATCTTTTCGGGACAACATTGGGTTGGACAAAAGAACAGTGGAGATTCAACCAGTATCATCATTTTTTGGTTTGAAGGGGGCGTCCTCGCCGGGCCACTGGCCCGGAAGGAGGAGGGCAGCGGCTTGGGGCTCAGCGAAATCAGCGGCGCCGCCGTCGTCGCCCAGCCCAGCGCCATGGCGTGCGGTGCGTGACTGGACTCGGAACTGGGTGAGTGAACGGGCGAAAAGGCGACCAGTGGCTGTGGCGGTCAAACATAGGGTAACCCACCAAAATAGGACCAAAACCCTGGAAAGTGGCTGGGCATGTACCCAAAATGGCTTGGCCTGAGTGGAAACGCTGCCCAAACCACGATGGGGCTGTCTTTTTTTCCAAGGTACCGGCTGTGGTTAGCAAACATTCGGTAACCCCAAAATGGCTTGCCCTGCGAAGTGGAAGCATGCAGCAAACCTGCGGTCCATATCCTGGTGTAATTTTGACCCAAGTGCCAAACACCCAAACCACAATGCACCCTCAAGGGGTTTTGAAACAACTGCTTCTGGTGTGGTGTTCGTTGAGTTGCGTGGGCTTGTGCTTGCTTCTGCTTGCGGATTCTGTTCGCCGCCTTCACGTGTCTTCACAGCTGGCGCTCACTGAAACGGGATCAACGTGGAGAAGTTGCGGAGGTCCAGCAGCGAGCTTTCGGCTCCGTTCTGAGTGCTCTGGGCCATCAGTTGGAAAGCTGCGGGGACAGCTGACTTGTCCAATGCCAGCCCCAAATGTGTGGGCGATTGTCTTTGAGGGTACACCTTCACCTTGGTCTAAAGGAAACCGAAAAGAAAACAAACATTTTGGGTGGTTTAAGACATACCAAATGAGGTCCTCACAGGGCTGTGAAAGCACGATCTGGGAACACTAGCCTATGTCGATCAGCACTTGCGCATAACCAAGGACTGCAAGCTTTCCAAGCCGCTGGATTCGAAGATTACTGCCCCAGCAGAGGATCTCAGGAAGGGGTTCCACATTTGCCTGCTCTTCTCGGAGGGTGGCAGGAGACATTGCGTGCTCTTTTCAAGCGACTGCCACGTCAACCCCATTCGCTTCGACGGGATTTGGGCAAAGGGGCGCTTTTCTGGAAGCAGCCGGTGAGACGAAAAGGAAACAACAACAATACCCAGCGCCAGGCTAGTGCCTGGACACATCTATCCTACCCATTTGCAGGTTAAGACTTGATGTGACTACTGATATGAGGATTCAAAACTAGGCAGGCAACCCAAGGATTTGTTTCATGTTGGCTTCGTGTCAGACCTGTCTTCACGCTAGAGTAGGCCCTGTGGCATATGGGGTTGAGGGTCCCCTTTCCAGCTACATCTTAAAGGGAAACCAAAAGGACAACCACCAACCATGGGAATACCCCACCATTTTGACGCACACTCAGATCATTTTATCCAATGAACCCCGAAATCAATCTCATGAAGTAATCCCAAAAATCTCATGGCGGTGCCTTGGCGTATGCGTCTGGGCCAAGCCTACCCGACGCCCTGACTCAGAGCTGCCTCAGCTGCGCCTGGGCCCGGGAGGCGGGGGGTTGGGGGGCGGGGGTGCTGTATTCAACGAGTCTCCCAAATAGCAAGGACAACTACCCAAGAGCCGCCTATGGGGAAAAATCATTAAAAACAGATCCAAACTCCTTGGCGCACCTCTTTGAAAGAGCAGAGCAAGTTGCCAAAGCAAGTTAATTGTCATTGCCCCGAGCCAGCATTTCTCCAAATTTCTGACGGCCCTACCAGCTTCCATGTCCCAATTGTCTGTCCGAATCACACATACGCTTCCTTGCATCGGATTTTGTAAAAACCCAAAACAGCCCTACCCCCGCCACCCTTGCCAATGTCCAGCATCAGGCCCACTTGAAACCATCAATTTGAAGATGCATGGCCGCCCTTCTCATTCACAGCGGTCAGTCTATCAATGCCATGTTGCTATTTGAAGCCTCCTCCAACCATTGTGGCCATTTCGCAAATCACCAAGTACCCCAGCATTTTCAGCATGCCTTACTTGGCAGGCACTTTCGCAGGTGTGTTCCCTACAAGTAACTCAGGACTTCCAATTCCCTCCCCATTGATGAAGCCAGCTCATCTTGCTAGCCAACACCCCAACCCCCCACTCCACCAACCCCCCCCCCCCCCAAAACTGCCGCCGAAACCAAAACCGGCCCAGACCCCGTCCTGCACGGCCGCACTGATGGTGCCGCCCTTCTGCGGATGGCCCCAGGCGACCACCTGTGGGGGTTGATCAAAAATTACATGGCATGACCACGGGTTTTGGAAAACCACTAAACTGGAATAGCTACCCATGGTCATTTGGGAAAAGCAACCACTAAACCACTAAACTGGAATAGCTACCCATGGTCATTTCGGAAAAGTAACCACTAAACCACTAAACGGGACAAGTCTTGATAGTCAAGACTGGGGTCCCTAAATGGAATATTGATCAACCCTCACTTTTCTGTGATGCAATGCCGGCATCCCCCAACAACTGTGCTCCAACGTCCAAAACCCATTTGTCCAGAAAGCAGTGACGGTGCTGGTGGATAGACAAAATCCGCTTCGCACCAGCTACTGATGAAACCCTGTCAATACTGGGATAAGCCACCTACTGCAGGAGTTTGTCAATCCACAGCAGGGCCACACCGTGAAAGTAGATTGCAGAATTACTTGACCAAACCAACATGAGGGAGTTGTGCCATCCACTTCTTTAGCCATCTGTATCTGCATGATTTTCTGACTCTTTTGGGGGGTTTGTTTGGTATCCCAGTTTATCACTGGATTTTGTCTTGGTTCCCTTGATACGACCCATTCCCAATTTGAGGGGAACTCCCCTTACTGGTATCACACTTCCTAAAAGTCTAATACTTTAGTGGGTTTGATAACATCCTTTAAAGGTATCACATAAAACAGCAACCTTGAGGTTTGCTACAAAACAATACTTTAGTTTGAATTTGATAAAGCTCTCTAAAGTCAGAAGTCCCAAAAAGGTCCAAAAAGTCCAAACAAGTGTAAAGGTGTAAACATTAAAACACAAAACATGCAAAGGTCCAAAAAGGACCAAAAACGTCCAAAAGTCCATAATGTTAACCCCGGATTAATAAACCCCTGGTTGATTAACATGGTGTCCCCTTTTAGTGGGCATTCAGACCACTGGTGGAGGGAACACCCCCCCAAATAATGGGACGGGTTCTACTTAGATCCTGGGTCAACATTAAAAGCCCAAAATCCAAACAGTGTAAAGGTGTAAACATTATTTTAAAAAGAAGTGCCAAGGTCCAAAAAGGACCCAAAAAAAACAAAAAACGTCCACAAGCCCAACAAAAGCCTCAGGGCACGGCCGGGAACCGAGGCCACCTATCGCCTCGCCTGGCCGTCGCCCTTCACCGCCACGAAGGCCGCGGAGGAGGCGTGCAGGTGCCGCACGTCCTGCAGCGGCTGGACGTGCTGGGCGTCTCCGAAGTCCTGAGGCCGCCGAAACGGGGAAGGACTGACTTCGGACACAGACCCAGAGTAATATGCATAGGTTCCTGAAGAAGTGAGAAGGAGGGGTAGTTGGGGCCTAACAAGGTTGTGGCTCAAACGAATATTGGCAGTGGCTCAAAAATGTTTTATCCCCACATGGCACCTTAAGGTAAATTGAGCCAAAGACTACCTGCGGTTTGCCCTAGCGCTTTGATTTTGAGCCACACCCATATGCATAAGCTCCAACGAATGATCTGATAATGACAAGGGGGTAAGTTAAATCCATATGAGGAGCGGACGAAACACTTTACTTGGCCCTAGTACTTTTTTGAACGTTATCGTTTTTGGGGGAGACCTTATCGTTTTACAGTGTTTTCGAACTTTAGCAGATCCGGCTCGAAAATCGCAACTTTGTAGTACAAGTCCAGTACGCGAAGTACACTTCCGCATCTCCAGCTCGAAAATCGCAACTTTGTAGTACAAGTCTAGTACGAGAAGTACACTTCCGCATCTCCAGCTCGAAAATCGCAACTTTGTAGTACAAGTCTAGTAAGCGAAGTACACTTCCGGAATTCCACCTCGAAAATCGAAACTTTGTACAAGTCTAGTAAGCGAAGTACACTTCCACATCTCCAGCTCGAAAATCGCAACTTTGTAGTACAAGTCTAGTAAGCGAAGTACACTTCCGCATCTGCAGCTCGAAAATCGCAACTTTGTAGTACAAGTCTAGTACGCAACGTACACTTCCGCAGCTCCAGCTCGAAAATCGCAACTTTGTAGTACAAGTCTAGTACGCGAAGTACACTTCCGCAGCTCCAGCTCGAAAATCGCAACTTTGTAGTACAAGTCTAGTAAGAAAATCGAAGTACACTTCCGGAATTCCACCTCGAAAATCGAAACTTTGTAAAAGTCTAGTAAGCGAAGTACACTTCCACATCTCCAGCTCGAAAATCGCAACTTTGTAGTACAAGTCTAGTAAGCGAAGTACACTTCCGCATCTCCAGCTCGAAAATCGCAACTTTGTAGTACAAGTCTAGTACGCAACGTACACTTCCGCAGCTCCAGCTCGAACATCGCAACTTTGTAGTACAAGTCTAGTACGGGAAGTGCACTTCCGCTGCCCCAGCTCGAAAGTCGCAACTTTGTAGTACAAGTCTAGTACGCGAAGTAAACTTCCGCAGCTCCAGCTCGAAAATCGCAACTTTGTAGTAGAAGTCTAGTACAGTACACTTCCACAGCGCTCCAGCTTGAAAATCGCAACTTTGTAGTACAAGTCTAGTACACGAAGTACACTTCCACAGCTCCAGCTCGAAAGTTGCAACTTTGTAGTACAAGTCTAGTACGCGAAGTAAGCTTCCGCAGCTCCAGCTCGAAAATCGCAACTTTGTAGTGCAAGTCTAGTAAGCGAAGTACACTTCCACAGCGCTCCAGCTCGAAAATCGCAACTTTGTAGTACAAGTCGCGCAACTTTGTAGTACAAGTCTAGTACGAGAAGTACACTTCCGCATCTCCAGCTCGAAAATCGCAACTTTGTAGTACAAGTCTAGTACGCGAAGTACACTTCCGGAATACAAGCTCGAAAATCGCAACTTTGTAGTACAAGTCTAGTACGCAAAGTACACTTCCGCAGCTCCAGCTCGAAAATCGCAACTTTGTAGTACAAGTCTAGTACGCAAAGTAAACTTCCGCAGCTCCAGCTCGAAAATCGCAACTTTGTAGTACAAGTCTAGTACGCGAAGTACACTTCCGCATCTCCAGCTCGAAAATCGCAACTTTGTAGTACAAGTCTAGTACGCGAAGTACACTTCCGCATCTCCAGCTCGAAAATCGCAACTTTGTAGTACAAGTCTAGTACGCAAAGTACGCTTCCGCAGCTCCAGCTCGAAAATCGCATCTTTGTAGTACAAGTCTAGTACGCAAAGTAAACTTCCGCAGCTCCAGCTCGAAAGTCGCAACTTTGTAGTACAAGTCTAGTACGCGAAGTAAACTTCCGCAGCTCCAGCTCGAAACTCGCAACTTTGTAGTAGAAGTCTAGTACAGGAAGTACACTTCCACAGCGCTCCAGCTCGAAATCGCAACTTTGTAGTACAAGTCTAGTACACGAAGTACACTTCCGCAGCTCCAGCTCGAAAGTCGCAACTTTGTAGTACAAGTCTAGTACGCGAAGTAAACTTCCGCAGCTCCAGCTCGAAACTCGCAACTTTGTAGAACAAGTCTAGTACGGGAAGTACACTTCCACAGCAGCTCTAGTACAAGTCGCGAAGTACACTTCCGCAGCTCCAGCTCGAAAATCGCAACTTTGTAGTACAAGTCTAGTACGCGAAGTACACTTCCGCATCTCCAGCTCGAAAATCGCAACTTTGTAGTACAAGTCTAGTACGCGAAGTACACTTCCGCAGCTCCAGCTCGAAAATCGCAACTTTGTAGTACAAGTCTAGTACGCGAAGTACACTTCCGCAGCTCCAGCTCGAAAATCGCAACTTTGTAGTACAAGTCTAGTACGCGAAGTACACTTCCGCAGCTCCAGCTCGAAAATCGCAACTTTGTAGTACAAGTCTAGTACACGAAGTACACTTCCGCAGCTCCAGCTCGAAAATCGCAACTTTGTAGTACAAGTCTAGTACGCGAAGTACACTTCCGCATCTCCAGCTCGAAAATCGCAACTTTGTAGTACAAGTCTAGTACGGGAAGTACACTTCCGCAGCTCCAGCTCGAAAATCGCAACTTTGTAGTACAAGTCTAGTACGCGAAGTACACTTCCGCAGCTCCAGCTCGAAAATCGCAACTTTGTAGTACAAGTCTAGTACGCGAAGTACACTTCCGCAGCTCCAGCTCGAAAATCGCAACTTTGTAGTACAAGTCTAGTACACGAAGTACACTTCCACAGCGCTCCAGCTCATCGAAAATCGCAACTTTGTAGTACAAGTCTAGTACGCGAAGTACACTTCCGCAGCTCCAGCTCGAAAATCGCAACTTCTCAGTACAAGTGTCGTATTTACGAAGCACACCTTGGCAGCTCCAGCTCGAAAGTGGCGACTCGCCTTCTCGTTTTACGGTGGCCACGCAAGGGTCCCACCCTAGCTAAGTTGCAACTGCAGGGGTTATTGTAGAGCCGTGTGTTAGCTAAGGGTTATCGTTTTTGGGGGAGACCTTATCGTTTTGCATGGTTTTTGCATGTGTTATGCAAAAACGTACCCCGCCTTGATAAAGTGGTCTTCGTGTGTTTTGTCCGTGGCTCATATGTAATCATGATCAAACGAGAATCGTGTGTGTGTGTAATTATGTGGCCCCTTGTTCCGTACTATATCACTTGGAAAATAGGTTTAAAAGTGAGGCTTGCCCACTTGTAGCTATGCCACATACAAAAACCAACCACGAGGCCGGCATGGCCCAACATGCTCCCAACGCTGCTGTACTAACTCGAAGCAAGCAACTGACTTCGTCGTTGGTCAATAGCCACCCTGGTAGGACAAGGGGGAAGCCAATTTCCGCCCAAACAGCATGGGAACCACCTAATGTTCTCCTAATGTTGCCATGGTTCGGTGTGCCGAGCTGGGGGATGCCCCATCAATGCATTTGACTCATTCCCCTTTGCCGAGTGTCTGGGTCGCCCCAAGTCACCACCGATCCATCTGCCAGAAGTGCAGCAAAATGGCCGAAGGAGCCTGCGACGGCTCTCTTGCAACAAACAAAACCAACTAGCGAGCGCACGAAGGAACGAAGACACAAACACAGAGCCCAAATGCACCCGCTGGCCTGGCTTGTGATTGGACCCTCCATCTTGCTTGTTTGCTCGTTGGCAAGTGGGTGAAAAGTCATCCCATGCTCGTTTGCTCGTCCCTCAAGCCCAGCCAGTGGCTCATGGCGTAACACTCCTGGCCCTTTGGCCTCGCGTTGCCACCGCACCGCGCCTCGCACCTGCTGCACGTTCTGCAGGCGATGCTGCACCTTACGCAAGGTAGGAGGGGCCAATGGAGCCCCCAAGAGGCGGGTTTCAACGTGCTCCCGGAAAAGGCCCCTCCCTTCTAGAAGACCAACAAAAAAGGGTGGACCTCCCCCAAAGAAAACACACACACACACATATAAGAGGCCCAGCTGGGGCCAACGGTTCTTAATTGAATGGGACATCTCGTAGCTCATATCATGCTGTCCTGTCATCCAATACGAAAGTATGACTTCCGGGTGCTTCATTCCCAATCAGCTGCTTGCTTTCAAGGGGCATGCTTCAACATCAAGGTCCCACTTCTGCATACAAGCGCAATTAGCGTTGCAACACACATGACATGCTTGGGCAACGCAATGTTAATGCCGGTTCCACTCGTTGCAACCTTCCAGTTGGACGAATCACACACAGGCACACATACGCACGTCTGGTAGCTACCTTCTTGGCTTGGGGCACACCTTCCAGTCGAGCGAATTCAAGCTGGGAACCGACCCAGCAAAACCGCACGCCAGCCGAACCGGCAAACAAGCCCCACCCACCCTCCCCCCTGTATTTTCCCCCTCCCCCCTCCCAAGCAAACGCAAGCGCATTGCTCCCCAAAAATGGCCGCGCCTCGGGCGGCACCTCCCCGCCGAAGCGGGGGTCCCCCCAGGTCACCACGGAGCCATCCGCCCTCACGGCGCAGAACGCGGCCCCGGAGCCCGCGATCTTCGCGATGCCCCGCAGCTCGCCTCGCGAGTCAGCCCCGAAGCAACGGGGCCCCGAGGCTTCGACGAGTGGGCCACGGCAGGGGGAGTGGGGACTGTGTCTATACCTTGCGTGCAAGATATGGAACTGATTGCACATTGAATACCTTTTTGACGATGTCGCCTTTCTGCCTGGATAACCAAAGTTGCTCCAGAAAACCTGTTGAACCCCTCTGGAGCTTGCAAATCTACACAAATGGGCAATTTTCGCACTTTGTCTTCCGGCCTTGGACACCTTGGCTATCGCCGCCGTGCTCCGGGGCGCCCCAAGTGACCACTGAGCCGTCGCGTTTTAGCGCTGCGAAGGCGCTTTCCGAGGCCTCGACCGCGTAGACGTCTCTGAGCTGATGTTGCACCTTGCCACATGGCTGTGGCTCAAAAAACCGGTACCAAAATGGAACACTGGTAAGTGCAAACATGGACCAAAGCCTGCGTAACCCCTCCTGTTTAATTTTGAGCCACACTCACATCGAAATCCGGTGGTTGATACAAATAGTGTGGATGGCGAAATTAATTTCGCACCACTGTCAAACCATGGGAAACAATGGTTTGTTGGGATTTGCACGGGAATCATTACTCCAGGGTTTCTTAGGTGGTGGGAAATTGGATTTTGTCCATCCACAGTATTGCAAGTAAGGGAACAAGGACACCTTCTAATCTACCGATTTCCACGGTTTTGCGGCTCAGTATGGTTGGTTCACTTGCATCCACCACAGCGAGCAGAGCGGGTCCCACCAACTGCTCCCAAGCAAAACCTCTTCGATGCATGAATGCTGACTTTGCATGTGTCACCATGTGTCACCAATCTAGCACTAGTGAAACGTCACCTACCCGCACTTTCTTGGGCAGGATTTTTGGGTTAGTTACATCGGTCTAAACAGTGAATTGGGCTTGTTCATGCAGCACCCGATCTAGTCTAACAACAGTCGTCCCAAGTCCACTTCCTGCAGCCCAAAGGTTTGAAGAAGCTACCGGGAGGTGCAGAGTTCAATGCTGTCAAACAGTGACGGTCGAGCCTTGAGCATTCTGTGCGAGTTGCTGCAAAAATAACATTCGTCTGAATGCATGAAGACACCCACCTTCCTCATTGTTCAGCTCGAGGTTTTGCCCTGGATGAGCTCGAAACTTGTACGTTGCTGTGCTGAAACGTCCCTCTTTGTCCGGGGCTGAGTCCGGCTTGAACGGAAAGGCTTCAAAAGTGAGGTCCTGCTTGGTGGGCAAGGTGCTGAGTAGCTTGCAGCGAATTGGTTCCAGTTTGACTTCCGCGACTACGCAAACCAGGCTAGAACTTGTTGTGCCTCGAGCATGAATTGAAACCTGCCCCATTCCAGACCAAGATTACATCACTCACTTGCCCAAAGAGCCACGAACTAAAAGGTTAACCTTTTGGGGCCATGACAAAACATGGACCAAATGGCAAAAACCAAAAGGTCAAAAGGTCGGCTTGGGGCTGAGATCAAGATGGTCAGCTCAACAGGCAGCTCCTATAAATGCTGAAACGCATCAAGGCTCCAGGGCTGAAGACCCCTTAACTCAATGGAACATCATGGAAATCTGGACCTTAAGCCATATGCCCCGTCAGCGCCCAGACCTCACTCTGCCCCCAAGACCGGCAAACAAGAGGTCACCTCCCCCACCCTCTCTAGCCAAAGGCACATGGCCGCTCTGGCCCCCAAAATCAGCGCCGCCCCAGGTCACCACCCGCCCATCCGAGAAGAGGGCGGCGAAGGCCCCGTAGGAGGCCTGGATCCCACACACCTGGAGCCAAAGACGTCCAGGTTCAACCTTTGGGCCGTGGGGGTTGATCAAAAGGTCCGTGATACAGGGGATGACCATTGGGGAAAACCACTGAAAACAAATGATATGTCCCGTAGAATGGGACAAGTTGCTGGTCCAAACTGGGGGCCGGGAAGATTGATCAACCCCCAGGGAGTCACATGGATGGCCTATGGGGTCGCCTTCAACCCTTTGGTGGACATCAGGGGAGTCAAATAAACAATGGATGGCCGTGGTTCAGGGAATAAAAGCAATCTTTCCAACCGGATCTTCCACTAAAATCGGTCCCAAAACAGATTTTGCCATGAATTTTGAGAGGAAACCAGCTCAAAAGTGGTTAGACATGCTTCCCCCCCCCCCCAAAGGTGTCCTTTTGAGGTTTGGAGAAGAAGCGGATGGCACCGGTTTAACCGTCAATCAGATTCCAGCAGGGGGCCATGCGTCTCTCTTGCATGGGCATGTCTCGACATCCGGAGAGCATCTCGTACATCTGCCACCGGCTACAAATTCGTGATTGCCGCGCCAGGGACGACGTCTTTTGTGGAGATGGGAGTTCACTCCACGACGAAAAACAGGCCAAAATATACGAACGCATAGGAACGCTGTTGGCAACTGCGTGCCTTTCTTCTGGTGTGCACTGTCACAAAGCGAGGTCAGGGTCCCCAACATCAAAAGGCTTAACACAGGATATCAAAAGAGTCTCGCCCAATCCATGTAAACTATCTAAAGCGTTATTGTTGCCATTTTGGAACCTCCAAAAGTGGCAGTTTCCATGGAAACCAGCAGTAAACTGCAAACTTTGAAGGGGAAATCCAGTGACCTCTGTACCGGATTGCGAGCCCCATGATTCTGCCATCAACAGTCACCCTCAAAGTGGTTGGAGGGAAGCCACCCCAGCTTCTGACTTTGATAACAAGAAGGAAACAGTCAAAATAGTGACCCCACTACTGGCCCCACTACCGGATTTGTCCCTCATTAATGGTTTTACACCTTGCCTTTTGATTCCAAAATGATTTTCCTTAGCCTAGGGGTAATGTTTCAAAGGGAATGGGGATTGCTGCAGGCCTTGGCGTGGCAGAGCCGGAGCCGTGTGACCCCAGTTTCCAGTGGTTTCCCATTGCCTGTGTTTCTTTGTTTTGGAGGGGGGGTTCTAAAATATCAGCTACCAAATAAATACAGGTTGCACTTGTTGTTCCCGAATCAAAGGGCTCGCTGGAGGTTTGGGAGAAGCAGTAGATGGCTACAGGACAATCCCGAAGCAGAAAACAGGTGCGGCTATCCGCCCTTTTAGTGGCCTCCTGATAACGAGGATAGCCTCACTGAACGGGGGACTTATAAGTGGGTTGTAAGCCAGGATACAGCCTGGGCCACCTGGGGTGTCTCTCCCCCCGCGCCCATACACGTCCTTTTCGGGGAAATAGATGGGGTTCCCTGGTAGATAATTACACCACCAGGTAAACCAGGAATCGCCATCTAATTTCCGACCAAAACAACCAACAAGGACACCTATGCCCAGCTGCTTCCACCTGCTCAGGGGGTCTTTTTGCCACCTTCTGCGGCAAAAATGATCGACCCCCTCGTAGTGAAGGATTCCTTTTTGAGGGGGTCGCTCACGAAAGGTGGCAGAAACCTATGCCCGCGCCATTTCCGCGGTTTCGGCATCAAACCTTCGTCATGCCTAAACCAACCCAAGACCCAACCTTAACCAACCCTAAACCAACCCCAGCCACCCAACCAATCACCCAACCTCAACCACCCAACCCCAACCGAAGGCCTGGCGCAGCTCGCTGGCCACGGCGGAGGAGTTGCCGCCGCCCCGCTGGTCGCCCCAGGTCACCACGGAGCCGTCCCACAAGATCCCCGCGAAGGCGGAGCCCGAGGCCTCCAGAGTAGCCGCAAAATGAAATTAAAAAAAAAAGCCGGGGGAAAACTACATTTTTCTATACTGCACTGCAAACTGTTATATATATATATAGCCGCAAAAGAAAACCTAGGGGGAAACTGCCTTTTCAATTGTAAAAACTGTTGTACATACATATATATATATATGTAGTACTGTGCCCTTTAGGGGTGGGGGTTCAAAATCAAAAGAAAGTGGAATGAGTAGTGTTTCTTGCCTGGAGAGGAACCGCAGGGTATGGTTCAAGTTTAACCAACCCAGTGTGGGGGCTTCCCTAATTTGCCTCTCGGGATTCCCAGTCCCATTCAGTACACCCATATACACCCATTCATCTTTCACAAACCTGAAACTAGCTCATTTTAGCCCCCCTCACTCGAAATTAGCTCGTTGTGATTTTCCCAAACCCACAAACTGCTGATTCTCCTGAGGACTCAACGGTGCGACGGAAAATATTACATGGTAAACAAGTTGCTGCTTGTCTTGAAAGAAGCAAACAAGGCATGCTCGAAGTCGACCGCAAGCGACCCTTGCCTCAATTCGTTGTACGCCTCGTAGCAAGTGTTGTACGCTGCTGCTATCTCCGCCAGTGCGCGGATTGCCCCAAGTGACCTGCTTCAGGCAGAACGGGAACAGTCGCAAGGGATTGGCGTGACTGCATCTGGATGTTCCAAAATGAAGCACCAGAAAGTGGCAAACTCCACCTCGAAGTATGGTCAATCCCCCACCATGAAAAAAGTGGAAACTTGCCATCCCAGCAGTGCAATGGGATAGTGTGCCGATAGTGGCAAGCCACCGTTTCCCCAATCGTTTCATTACGGTTCGTGGCTGGCTGCCTGCAATTTGCACGTCATTAGCCAGCAGCCAAAGGCCGCCCAAGAAGGTGCCTGTTGGTTCAAACATAACTAGGCAATCAAGTATGGTGTGGGTTGACACGGTACCCCTTTTCAGAGACTCTTCGAAAGCAAAGCATGTCACCTTTGACCGGTCCCCTAAACCGGCCGAAGCCTATGTTGGTCAACCGCCATGTGGTCGTTCACATTGGATGGTTCTTTCCGGGACCCATGGAGCTAGGCGTAGAATAGCTCTGGCCAATGAAGACTCAACTTGTGGTTTCCTTGAGGGGCGTTCCAGTGCCCAAGAGGAAACCAACAGGATGCCAACCATTTGTGGCTGCACATCTTTGAAGATACCCTGAGGTATTTGTTGAGAACTTCCCATTTCAAGCCACCCGAGCCGCTGGACGACTCAGCTAGCACCAAGGAACTACAGAGCCATCGGCCAGCAGAGCTGCAAAGGCCCCGTACGAGGCACGGATCTGCTTGACTTGCGTCAGCCTCAGTTGAAATCGAAGTCTGGTCTTGGGGCGCCCAAACCAAACGTAGACACCTCTGGCTGAAGCGAAAAGAGGACTATTACACATGGCTTTTGTGGAACAAACACTAGTCTATCGCAAACGGAATTCTGTTGATGTGCCTCTTCTACTGCATCCATAACCGAAGCACCCCTGCTCGTCAAAAATGGAAACCGGCTGGTTCTCGTCCGAAATGCCGCTGACCCATCCTATTGCACCCGCTCTCCATTCGCGCTGGTATGCGTATGACCCGCAGGGGGTGGGCAAGTTTGCCTGAGTTTGTCAGCTAATCTAGGAGTCTGCAAACACTTGCACAGGACAGCCTTTGGGCCTGGTTGTCGTATTCATGATATATGATTGAACATGCCTCAATCGGCTGTTGTTGGGAGAGTGCTGCAAGGACTCTCCGCTTAGAAAGGATAACTCAAATGGGATGCCCAAAGGCTGCGAATGGCGGCTTGACCAAGTCGACAACACTCCTTGCTAACCGTAGTTGAGTGGCATATGCGTTTTGTTTCGAATCTACATGGAATACTTGCAAATTCAATTCTGCATTCATCCTAGACTGGTTACCATCCAGCGTTTGCGAGCATGACCTTTGCCGATGTCAATCCATATCAAACTAGCTTGAGATTAAACGTTGCCAAACACGGCTCAAACAAAGGGGATCAAAGTTGCAGGACATCCTCTAGAATACAGGAATGACTCATACCAACCAAAAATGGTTGGGCTCATTCCCTCTTTCCTTGCCAGCTAGGAAGCAAGCCAACAGCTGCATCGATTTGCGCTTGTCTTCAAACACGGCACCCCAAACATTGCCAAGACTTGAGGGCAAAACAACCGGAAAACACCAAAGCACTTAGACTAGAAAGGGGATGGGATAAGTCCTTCGGGAACCCTTAGAGGGTTCCCTAAGGACTTATCCCATCCCCCGTCGTCTTGCGCCAAACGTCGCTCGCCGAGCCGCTGGTCTTGGACCTGGGAGCTGTCCCCACCAAAGCGCGTGTCCCCCCAGGTCAACGCCGAGCCATCCGCGCCGATGGCGGCGAAGGCGCCATAGGAGGCCTCGGCGCGCGGTTCCCTTGGCTCCGGGCGTTGGGAATGAACCGGTTTTGGGGATCCCCGAAAAAAGAAAACCAACAGGGGGCACATTCCCGCAAAAAGCAAAAAGAAAAAACACCAGTTGGATGGTTCATAGGGGGCCATGCCATTTCTCATTTTGTGAGAACCAGCGAGATGAATTTTGCGTTGCTCCAAGCCCCCCGCAAAAGGTCCCTGGATCCTTGGACTCTCGGCTTTAATGGAAAAGCCAGGTCCAAAAGGTCGAAGTGTCAGAGCCACAGTTCGGGCCATTTGGGGCCTAGCGACTATTAGTGTTTAGTGGCTAATCGTGAGTGTTATGTGCTGGGAACATTCACGGCAATGAGCCCATGGAGTGACTTGGGAGTTCCGTTGGGAGAAATCTTCTCGGCTGACCCCTTCTTAAGCCGCGGCAGGTCAGCTGGGGCTTGAAACTCGCTGATGCTTCTTGCGGAAAACGGCAATAATTTTCCACCCCATACACGAACCGCGAACCCAATGCTGGTACTTGGTACAGAGTCGAATAAGTCAGGACATAGTGACCCGCAAAGCAGTTCGCCGAAGCGCTTCAAAGAGAGGCCTGAATGGATCGGGTGGAGGCATGATGTTGCCCGGTCGTTTTGAAAAAAGGGGGCCCTGTCCAGCGGGGGGGGGGGGGCACCTAAGAGAATAGGATAAACGAGTTCCACTTGAACGACTTGGGCAGGTCAGTATCAAACACCATCTGATGGATGGTTGACACTTGCAACTGCCACTGCCACATTTGCTCCACCTACCTTTGGTTAGACAAGGACCCGCGGCCTGAGGAAGCCTTGAAACTAAAGGAATGCAAAAGGACTTCTTACTCATCCATCTAGTGGATGTATTGCTGGGGAAATGCATGGCCCTCCCTCATTCAACATATGGGGTGCCCTCAAAGCGTGGCAAATTCGGCTCCAAGGGGCCTCGATTTGTTGGACCTGCCTCAGCCGGTCCTTGACCCGTCGGCAGTCCCCGCCGAACCGGGGATCTCCCCAGGTCACCGCCGGACCGTTCAGCAGAAACACCGCAAAGGCCTTGCCCATCCATCGGCTCGAGACCACCTGACAGGGGGACATGGCCAACCCATCCCTTGGGGCGAATTCCAAATAGGCCTAAGGCGGCCCAAACAAAATCAAAGAATAGGGGGGGCTATGTTTGACAAAACCGCCAGAAGATATCAAATACCTCATGGGTGGTCTTTGCCGCTGTGACGTCAACGTTTTAGGATTCTGTCTTGGGCACTTGGAGGACGGCCAAATGAGTTGCTTGACGCTGAGCAAGTGGTGCCCAGGCAGAATGACAGGCAAGGACACAATCTTGCTGTTTCTCAGCAAGGAATGAGGACATCTCCATAAACCATCCCTTGTGGCTTCCCTAAAGGCATTGCTTTCCGGTTCATTCCCGACACCCGGTCGCCTTGGCATTCCCTATCGCACCAGCGGAGGCTCAAATCAGCGAAGGCGCCCTTCGCGCCTCGTAGGGCCTGGCTGTGGCGCACAAGATGTCCCCTGGCTGCACGACCTCGTGGATGGCGCTGCAGGGGTTCAGCAGCAGCCCCTCCGAGGAGGTCAAGCTCCTGCAGGGTCACAGCTCAACAATTGGAATGGGGGGGTGGGGGGGGGGTTGGGGGCACTAGAAAACCCATTTAAGTCATGATAGGAGTGTAATGTTTGTACTTATTTGGCCTCAAATTTATGTTGCTAGGTTCAAGCCCATTGGATAAACTATCGGGGCTTTCCTTGCTAGTTGCACCAAGGTTGGGGTATCCCTTTCCTTGTGGTAGCAGTTTGGCGGACTTTGGGTGTAATGCAAGGCGATGACATCGCCAAAATCAACACAACTCTCGCCAACTTGTGGATTGGTCGCATGCACTCGGTTGGAGAGCTTCACCAAGCTCACCGTTCGCACCACATGCACGCTGTCCGGTTCAATGAAAGGCGTGCCAAACTGAGGCGAGGCACAGAAAGCCCACTCGGAAATGCTCTTGGGCAGCTTGCGTCAGCTCGTGGACTTGTGCAGCTGGTGAAACGGACAGTCTCACCTGAAAGCGAAGCACTGGCTAAATCAACCTGTAAAGCAGTCTCTTGATCCTTTTAAGTGGACCGCTGGGGGAAGGGGATATTTTCCTTATTGGCTAACCCTTGTGGGTTTGGCGCTGTTGCTTCCTTAACCAAGACAACAACCAATCGCTTGACCCAGCACACAGAAAATCACATGTTCTAACTCCCATCTGTATGTCTGTCTACCCATAATTTTCAGAATGCTTCGTCTACCCTGAATACGGCGAGCAGAATGAGGCGACCCCAGAATATATCAACATAAAATATGTTTGGAGCAACGCTCATGAGGCGAGTCGCATAGCGCCCGCTCAGCATGCGGATCTCCAGCTCCATCGCCATCGATTGGCTTGGATCGGCTTTGCTGGAGCCGAAGGTACTGGGAGAAACCACTTGGCGGGCGCTGCATGGTGGGTTTTTCGCCAGTTTTTGGGAGAACCTCCGGTGGCTTGGGATAGAAATGCAACCAAGGAAACCAACCATTTGAAATTCAGCCTCCAGAACAGGGGACTCCGGCAGTGCATTGTTTTGCGTCTTTTTGGAATTGTTTAAATTTTGTGTTCTTCTTCAGTTCTTGAGGGATGTGTGTCAACTGCTGCCTTTTCTGCTGTTCTAGTGCATTTCTGTATTTCCACAAAGAACAAAAAAGTGGAGAAAGGCAACAACACAAACACCACCCTCCAAAAAAGCGAGGAAAAAAACAAAAACACTTCTCAGACAGTCTTTCCAATGGCTCAGCCCTGCCCAAAACCAACAAACCCCAAAACCTTGAGAAAACCCCAACAAAACACCAAAGTTCAAAACAAAACCTCAAACACTCTTTCTAGAAGTAGCCACTCACCGTGCCAAGAGTTCTGGGAAAATGTATCTATTTGTCGCGTTGTTTTGGATTTAAGGGAGTGGGTCTCAAGTTTTGATTGGTGTTTGGCCTTGGGCAGGGCTGATCCAGTCGAACTGTTTGGGTGAAAAGACTTCCTACTTAAGATTTCGGTTTGATTGGATATTCGAGTCGAACTCTGTTTCTTCCCTCTGCCCCAAACATATCCACCATGATTGAATTCCATGGGTGGAAATTATGAGCTGTCAACATTCCGATTCTTCCAAAACGGATTCACAGCTAAACCAATCCACCAAACTCATTGGGAAGCAGGTCGCTCAGGATGAGAGAAGTTGCCGGTCACATCAGCCATGCGCCCTCCCCGCTTTTACCAGCTGACCGCCCGTCCGCGCGAGCCTGCAAGGCAAGAGCCTGGGACCTAGCCCAAAAGCAGGGCGCAGGTTCTGTGGGCTTAAAAGCCGGGACGCCATTTTGCGTGCATTTCTAATTGTTGTGTTGGTCTGCTAAAAAGCCCAAATGCCTGATCCTTGCTTTGTCCTGGAGGGTATGTTCAGAAAGATTGAGAGTCGGCTTGGGTTAGAGTTGACTTTGGGTGGGTTTGGGATGGGTCCCAAGTCAGGCAGGTCGAGGTTGCAATGGGGGGGGGGTGGGTTCCGGTTGATTCAAGCTTGGCTTGAGGATTGGCTTGGGGCAGGATGGGTGAACAAAGAGCCAGCTGAAAGCCGCAAAAGCCGGTCGAGCCGAAGAACGAAAACACATCTTCCTGACAGAGACAAGCTAGAAAACAGTCGACCTCTTCAAACATCCTGATATTCTGGCTTGAACCCCATCCGAGTCATAGGTTCCTGTATGGGGTGGATCCTGCGACTGCACCGACTTGCGAAATTGAAGGACGGGGTTGCAGAGAGGTTGAGGGTGAATTCAGCTACCAGACCAAGGTGTTGCCTAAAAAGCCGTTCCTACAGCACAACACTAGCCGCGGTCGCTGCTTGTCAAGTTCAGTGTTGTCATTGCCTGCTTGTTTTGCGCTATAGTTGGGTGCGCCTCCCTGCGGAAATATATTCCCGTCATAAGATGGAGGGCCTTTCCAAATGCTTTGGCTTTGTGCTGCTAGAAGATTATCCAACATTGATCGCCGCCAAAGTCACAGCAGCGCGGTCACTTTTTCCGTCGGGCTCGGGCTGGGACAGCCATGCAAAAAACACCTAAGAGATTCTGTTTCCGCCTCGCGCTTTCGATAGATGCAAGGGCAATCTTGCTGTCTTCAAGTTGCGGCGCCTTCGAAAGCACCAGCCAAGAAACATCCGAGATGCGGCCCAGACTCTCTTGCTCTGCGGATGGTAGCAAAACATCGGCTAAAACTAAATACTACCCATTGCACATGCAACGTGTCCCACGTGGTTTTCACAGCTTGTGGAACGCGCACGCAGGCTTCCATTGATTGAGAGCCATTGCTGGCCGCATGCTCAGCTGAGCACTTTTGGAACTCTTCGAAGCAAGAGTCTCTAAGAGCACTACTCAGGGTCGGGCAAACCACCAAGCAACTCCTAGTCAGTTTTTACGGGGTTTGCTTCACCTGGTTTGAAAGACACATTCGCTTTGCCTGCCCCGAAAGTCGCATCCGGCGCAGCCGGCACTGCAGCGCGTCACAGTCGGGAGTGCACCTCCTCTTTCAAAACCCAGCGCCGCATGCCGGGGATGTGCTTCTGCGTCCAAAACCTGAATCAGCCGCCATGTGAGAGGAAAAGCGAAGGTGACAAAGAGAAGGTACCGAAAGGAATGGGAAGAGATAGAATATTCCGATAGACAATTATCAAGTATGTATTTCCATTAGAATCATTATATTAGTAAAGCTTGTGCAATTTATTAAAACGAACTAATGACTATAATGCTTTAGAAATCCGCCGACATTGCTCGGCGTGTCGGACACCTAAGAGAGGATAGAGGATAACCCCCCCCCTAACCCCCCCCCGCCCGACGTCTATTACGTAGGTTTTTTTTTTGGGGGGGGGGGGGTCCCCCCACGTACCGCGCGGCAATTTGATGACGTTCCACTAAACGTAGTCTTCGGGGAGCCGGTGTTGCAAAACAGGGGTCCCAGGCTCGATTCCCCCTGCCGGCTTTTTTGCTGGCTTGGGCTTCCTGCATCCTTTTGCCGAAAATCTGGCAAAACTCTGTGTTTTTGGACATCCTCTTTGCGAAAACGCGGGAAAAACCGTGTATTTTGCGGGAAATACTGGGGAGCAAAGGGGAAGTGCAAGGATACATACATACATGCATACAGACATACATACAGACAGACAGACAGACATACATACATACATTACATGCATTACATACATACATACATTACATTACATTACATTACATTACATTACATTACATTACATTACATTACATTACATTATTACATTACATTACATTACATTACATTACATTACATACATACATTACATTACATACATACATACATTACATACATTACATACATACATACATACATACATACATACATACATACATACATACATACATACATACATACATACATACATACATACATACATACATACATACATACACATACATACATACATACATACATACATACATTACATACATACATACATACATACATACATACATACATACATACATACATACATACATACATACATACATACATACATACATACATTACATACATACATACATACATACATACATACATACATACATACATACATACATACATACATACATACATACATACATACATACATACATACACATACATACATACATACATACATACATACATTACATTACATACATACATACATACATACATACATACATACATACATACATACATACATACATACATACATACATACATACATACATACATACATACATACATACATACATACATACATACATACATACATACATACATACATACATACATACATACATACATACATACATACATACATACATACATACATACATACATACATACATACATACATACATACATACATACATACATACATACATACATACATACATACATACATACATACATACATACATACATACATACATACATACATACATACATACATACATACATACATACATACATACATACATACATACATACATACATACATACATACATACATACATACATACATACATACATACATACATACATACATACATACATACATACATACATACATACATACATACATACATACATACATACATACATACATACATACATACATACATACATACATATGCATACATACATACATACATACATACATACATACATACATACATACATACATACATACATACATACATACATACATACATACATTACATTACATTACATACATACATACATACATACATACATACATACATACATACATACATACATACATACATACATACATACATACATACATACATACATACATACATACATACATACATACATACATACATACATACACATACACATACATACATACACATACACATATACATACATACATACATACATACATACATACATACATACATACATACATACATACATACATACATACATACATACACATACATACATACATACATACATACATACATACATACATACATACATACATACATACATACATACATACATACATACATACATACATACATACATACATACATACATACATACATACATACATACATACATACATACATACATACATACATACATACATACATACATACATACATACATACATACATACATACATACATACATACATACATACATACATACATACATACATACATACATACATACATACATACATACATACATACATACATACATACATACATACATACATACATACATACATACATACATACATACATACATACATACATACATACATACATACATACATACATACATACATACATACATACATACATACATACATACATACATACATACATACATACATACATACATACATACATACATACATACATACATACATTACATACATACATACATACATACATACATACATACATACATACATACATACATACATACATACATACATACATACATACATACATACATACATACATACATACATACATACATACATACATACATACATACATACATACATACATACATACATACATACATACATACATACATACATACATACATACATACATACATACATTACATACATACATACATACATACATACATACATACATACATACATACATACATACATACATACATACATACATACATACATACATACATACATACATACATACATACATACATACATACATACATACATACATACATACATACATACATACATACATACATTACATACATACATACATACATACATACATACATACATACATACATACATACATACATACATACATTACATACATACATATACATACATACATACATACATACGAGAGAGGGAGATTGGGGAGAGAGTGGCTTGGGGGGATGGGGAGGATGGGGAGCGGAGGGAGGGAGAGAGGACGACAGAACACACCAGGGAGACAAGGGAGAGAGGAAGAAGGAGAAAAGGGAGAGGACAATGTCGGCGGACTGAGCCGGAGGCTCTAAAGTATGTGCTTGTTTTATTGGTACGTGTCTGTATGTTAATTATTCATTTATCTTATTAATCCTTGGAATCATTCTAATACATCTTGCTTGATAGATGTCCAGCGTTGTAATATCTTCTGATTTGAACACATTTGAATGTGAAAGAGAACCCCATCCTACCTCCAATCAAGACTTATACATATTTAAATTTGGATTTGAGGTAGGACGTAGAGGGTACAGAGAGTGAAGGCCTCTGCCAAGCAACCAACACACGGGCAATTCGGATGAACCAAATCGTGGCGGGTACATCGGTCTGCAATGGCAATGTTCACATCGGCCTCAAGAGAATGATTCCGCACTATGGTGCATCCCATTCCAAGGATGAGCAGCTCCAACCGATGAAGATGATCTTCTTTTCTTAGCACCCTCCAAATTTCCAAGCGGCAGGTGGCGACCCTCTCACAGAGTTCAAGGGATGAGTGAGGGTTAGACATAGGCGCCCTTTTAGGGGAAATAGATGGCCCTGGTAGATGATCAAACCACCAGGTAAACCCGGAATCGGCATCTATTTTTCGAACGAAACAACCTATGGGCTTCCACCTTTCCCAAATTCCCACCCCCACCCCCCCACCCCCAAAAAAGCATGAAGATTTGCTTCAAGGGATGAGTGAGGGTTTGAGCTGAAGCCAACCAAGAAGCTCTTCCCAATTCCAGTCGCCTCCCTGGAAGTAGGGGAAGCGCTGCCGATCCTCCAGGGTCAACTCCGACATCAGCTGCCGGGTGTTGGTGGTCTGAAAGGACCACTCGTTCAACGTGTAGGTGGAATAAAGCCTGGCAAGGCTCAAACGCGAGGTCAAAACTCGCAGGCCCCTCCAACCAAGTGGGGGCTTGAGTTCCCAACAACGTCCCTAGATCTGACAGAATTCACATTTTTGTGAGGGTGTTAGCTCTCCGCTTATGGCCGCAACCAGTTAGGACAGATCGCTGCATCGGGAGCTCTCTCATACACCCTCCAGGTATTGATAAGGCAACATAATATCTTTCGGGAACTACTCATTCACGATCTTTCCATACATCGCCACCATTTGGCCAACATGGCCCCCCTAAATCATGCTGTGCCTCAAAAGCGGCTAAAATATCCCACCAGGATTGCTCGACCATTTTTTGCCTGGGCTCCCTTTTTGGGTCCCCTTCTTCCCACGCGCCCAAAACGGGTGGCAAAGACCGTCCACGGGTTGTCTCGTCCGCCTGGCGAGCTGGGAGACCTTTTCCACCGTGCGCTTCTTGCCTCGGCTGAAAAATACCTCAGGACCTATGCCCTCTTGGCTTCCTTTTCGGACAAGGATGAACCAGTCAAAGTACAAAAAACAACCAAACTCAACCAAACCATACATCTGCTTTTCTTTTTGTTGGGTCCACTATTATTCGTTGTGCAGAAAAACAACAAAAACAAGCCATACATCTGAGAATCTGCGTTTCTTTGTTGGTTCCATCACATTCTTTTGGTGCCCTTTGTGTCTTGATTCACGTTATGGTGCGCTCCAGCCAGCCGCGCAGGGACCGCAGGGACTCCGAGCGCTGCCACAGAGGTACCAGCTGCAGCGCCTGGCTGCAGGTCTGCAGCGGCGTGATGTACCGCGTCCGCAGCGACCGCACCTCGCTCGACCGCGAGCGGCCCAAGGCTTCGCGGCAAAAAAAAAGGTGAAGGCGGGGGGGGGGGGGGGGCGGGGAAGGCAGGGAAGGCGGGGAAGGGGGCGGGGCAAGGAAAGGCCACATTTTCATGTTTGGAGATATTATTCTGTTTCGAGTGTACTTCGAGTATGGATCTTCTTTGTCTGTGTTGTGGTCGAGGTGTCAATATCCTGCTTCCCATGGTTGAGACGACGTCGACCTGTCAAGATGCTCATTTGAATGGCCAAATGATACGCTGGAGAATGATCCTTGAGCCAGCCGAGACCTGAGATGCAAGTGAGCCATGCTTGCGCTCGAAGTTATGCCAAGGCGATTGGTTCAGGCTACAATGGGGAGCAATTCTGAGCAACCAGGGTTGGAATAAGCTCAAAGGAAATGAAAAGAACTTTGGCACAGCCAGCAGCTTGGAGTGGCTGGGCGAAAGAAGGCAAACAAAGGAAAAAGAAGGACAGGAAAAAAGAACCATCAAGAATAATAATCGGCAAGCCGCAACATAACAAACACAATATTGAAAATAAGCAGGGAAATTCAAGGAAAACACAAACACACAAAATCAAAAAAGAGAAACCTCCACGAATATTAAAAACAGCTGGGTGTTGCTTGTCAAACAACTGAGGGCCGAAGGAGCATCACCTGCGGACACCTGAAGCATCCAAGGCTTGGATGGCAAAGACCGCAGCCCAGGGAAAGAGGATGGAGACCTCTGCGGTCAAAGGGCGAAGCTGTCCGCGGTATCGATGAACTTCACCTTGCAGATCCACATCCACGTCTCTCATTGCAGCAAGAAGCAATCAAGCAAGCATGGGTACCCTTGCAGGAGGTCGGGTTTGTAGGAAGACAGGATATCGTCCAGCCAATGCAATTCTCATCGACCAGGGATCGCCTAAACAATGTAAAAGGTGGGACTTCTCCCGTACCTCTTCCAGACAGCAAGGACGACACATCTAGGTGGGTAACTGATGGGCCGGGTCCATGGTTTGGCGTTCAACGACTGTTTTCAGTCGGACCTTCGTTCCATGCAAACAGTCTCCGCAAACGCATCATCATGCAAACACGCAATTCCATGTTTGTTCTATAATGGCTCGATCAAGCAACATGATTGTCATTCTGCTTTCAATCATCAGGGGGCTGAACAGCTATGAGCTGTATAAAGAGTTGGCATAGAGATTATTGGCCATGTTCGGTATTATGTCTGCGGTCACAGTGACGTCAAAATTGAAACAGGTGGACCGACCAAAACGATGCCCCCAACCAAGTCGTGCCCCAGAGGAACCGCTCAATCCTGAAGCTGATTCTCAGCTTTCCCATCGCAGCTCCAAGGCTTTGCGACGTCGGATTTTGTCCAATGGAATTATGGCTCCGAGGCCCGCGCGAGCACCACTTTTTGAAAACAAAGCGCATTCACTGACGCTGAGCTGCAAGGTCACTGGGAACATCTTAGCCTTGCTTTGCGGGTTTCCTGCCCTGGCATCTTGCTTCAACAATGTGGCCATTGGGGAGAATGCGGGTCTGCAACGTTCGCAAACGTCGTCAGCAACGCTTTCTGCAAACACCACTCAGGACCAATTTGCGCCTTTCTGAAAGCAAATTGTCTGAGAGCCCTTGCTGGTGACTTTGGATAAACTGCGCATTCCACGATGCTTCCCCCCTCCAGGCGAAAGGCCGGCTGCACGTGGACGGGCTTGCCCTGGTTGTCCAGCATCGGCTGGCTCCGGAAATACTTCCGCCAGGTTGCCTGACAAGGGGAAAATGGCTTGGCTCGCAGAATTTGAATTGCATTTTGCTATGTTGCCCTTCTTGAAAGGGTCCGGGATGTTTTTGCAGGGCATAATCCAAGTTTTGGACCGCACTTTACTCTTGAGCAAATGGCAAGCATTGCCGAAGCAGCAAAGTGGTCTTTCAGATGTCCAGGAACAGACTCACCAGGTGAACGATGCTGCACCCCCTGCCCCACCTTGTCCCTTCCATTCTGGCTAAATCACACTTCACCGACTGGAATTCAGGGATTTCAAGAAACGGACATAAGTGAGCTCGGTTTAGCCCTAGCTCCTTAGGTCGCAAGAATCGCACCATTCCCCTCCTCGATCTCCCCCAAGGTGTTGGGATGGACGTCCCCAGAAGCGCACTGGAAGACCTTTGCGCCTGGCCGGTAAGGTCCTTGGGGCTGAAAAATCCAAACCTCACGCGGATGGCTTCATAGGCCTGCTTTGTTTTGGTAAAATGCCCCCTTTTATTTGGCTTGAAAGGGACATAGCCCATTGATATTGCAGTGCTCGGCAGTTTTTGGTCTTGTGCCAATACCTCTGTGCAAACAAGAAGATGTGCTTGTGACAGCCCTCATCTCTGAACGTATTCAAGCCCTCGTCTGAAGCGCCGGCAAAGCCAGAAGAGTAGAACATTGCACTGAGAGGCCTCTCAACTCGTCATCACACTTTCAACAACCTATGCGACGTATGACATCGAACATGAATGACATCCAACACGCAAAAACACACACAGGCAAACGGGCAAGCACGGAAACAGGACAGGCGAAAATGGAAACACGGAAACACGGAAAGACGGCAAGATGCAAAAACGCAAACACGCAAACACGAAAACAGACAAACACACAAGCACGCAACTATGCAAACCCACAAACGCAATAACACACGTAACATGACACAAACATAAACATGTCGATCAAGCCAACGCTAAACAAACAACACACCGGATGGCCAGCGTCTTTGCGGTGCCCTCGATTCATTTTTTGGGTGCTATGATCCAGTTTGAAAATAAGGGCACTTAGTCCTAAATCAAAAAGGTCACTCAAGCCATTTAAAGGGCACTTAGACCCTCGGGGTTGCCCTCCCCAGCATATTCCTCCTCAGTCCGGGCAAATCGCGCCGCAGCGACACGTGAATGCGAATGACACTCACACGGGGGGGGGACCGACGCTGGGCAAATCGAGCCGCAGCGACACGCGAATGACACTCACGCAGGGGGGACCAACACTTGCGTACGTGATCTTTTCCAAGGGGGGAAGTGACCTCGATTCGCACCCCCGCTGACACTCAAATGACACGCTTTGAAAACGCCATGTTCAGGGCTTTCCGCCGTCACACTTCGACACGGGTAGCTGTTCGATTTCAACAGAATCCCAACCCCTATCAAGCCAAAAAGGGCACTTAGCAAACGAATCAAAGGGTCACTTAGGCCACCGACACGGCCTTAAGTGCCCTCGATTCTAAAACACGTCAAGTGCCCGTCATTGGAGGGCACTAAAAATACGCTGAGCGGCTGGCACAACAAATGCGCACGCACACACAGAGAGTGAGATGCAACAGCCTGCCAACCCACTTCTGCCGACATGTTCATTCGGAGCTCGATGACTATCTAAACTACATGCCAGGCCAAACAGATCGCACGCGGCCTTCGTGGGATGTACGGGCCGCCGCAATGATGACATTGCACACATAGTCTACCTGAGCCAGAGACGCGTCCGCTCCAGCGCCGTTTGCAGAGGGCACTCAAAAGAAGAAACACGCACCAACACCGCCCGCCCACCAACGCCCACCCATGGCCAGAAACAACCACACAAAGCACATTCATGTGCTCCTGGGTGGCAACCTCTGGAAGATCCCAGCATTCTGTCACCGAGCCACCGGCACGCAGTCGATGACGCAGTTGGCTCGGCCAGGGAACTCGGTAATTTGGCCTCTGCCCACGCCTTCGATGAGGGGCTCCACCTGAAAGTGCAGACGCAAGGCAGCATCTCTTTGTTTGCTTGTTTGTTTGCTTCTCGTTTGTTTGTTTGCTTATTTTTGCTTGTTTGTTTGCTTGGGTGGGTGGGTTTTGATATTTTGCCATCCTGATAAACCTATGATGAAGGGAAGCCCGGGTCTCTGAAAAGGAGTTGTCTGACTTTCCATGAGATAAGGGAGCCTCAAAACATAGATCTTCAGGTGTAGGGCAGTGAATTGCCAAGTGTCGCTGAGGTGGCTCAGAACACCTGCAAGGAGTCGCTTTGTGGGGATTCAATCCAGTCTTTCAGTATGACTACCAATCAAGGGCTGTGTTGATCCGTGAACTCCAAACCGAACCCTGACCACACGAAAGCTGCGGTTTGCGTAAAGTCATGCTTGCCCGCGGTCAAAAGTTTCCAACTGCAACCCTGAATCGTGTGAAAACAAATGGCTTACAAAAGAATGCGGGTGAAACCTGGCGAGTGAAGCAAGGTGATAATTGAAACCACCAAAAAGACAAAAACAGGGGTTGATCAAAAGGACCACCAAAAAAGATGCTTTCACCAAGTGGAAGTAGTTGCCCATGGTCAGAACTGGGGGCCAAAAGTGGGATATTGATCAACCGGTTTCATGAAGTCCCAGGCGCCAGCAAGTAGGCGTCCACCCACCCGGGCAGCGGCTCCGACACCGCAGACACCACCCCGGAGGGCCGCACGATGGCGAAGGGCTCATCTTGCTGGGTCTCAGCCACCAGCATCTCCCCCATGGCCTAGGAGAAGCGGAAAATAGGGTGGGGCCACCCATTGGTTGAAACATGTTTAAACCACTGGTTATGATGATTCTTGCCTTGTACAGGGGTGTGGTCATGGGTCAAAACCCAAATCGTCCCAGTGAACATCCCGATCCAACCACAAAAATATGCTCTAAAATGGGTGGTGAATTCACCTATCCCAAAATGGGATCCCATTGGTTTTGAACCATGGCCTAGGAAAAGGCCGGAAAAGCCGCGGAAAAAATCGAGCCCCGTGCAGAAAGGGTTGGAGAAGAAAGTATTTGGAGGCCCCCGAAATTTTGAGACACACCATCCAAATAGGAGCCAGGGTCTTGGGTGTATGACATCTCCTTTTTGGCAACTTCCTTTAGACAGTGCCACCATGTGAGACCGAAACGAGCCGAAACGGAGCCCAAACCCCGCCTTGGAGAAGGTATATCCATCCCACCAGCCCTTCTGGCGTGCTCTCTGCACGCCCCACTCCGCCATTTCCTGAGGAAATCAACCGAGCATGGCGCGATGCAACGTGAGTCATCAGCATCTTTTGCTGGGCTGTTGGGCTGTTCTGTTGGGCTGTTGGGCTGGCTGCTTCGGTTGTTGGGCTGTTGAATCCGCGTACAACGTGAGGCATGGACAAAACAAATTACTAACAGTCAACCAGCCAGCCAGCCAGCCAGCCAGCCAGCCAGCCAATCAACCAATCAGCCGCAAAAAGCACCGAGTAAAACCACGAGGTTCTTGGCCTTACCGGTATTTCGCAAGCTCGAAGGCAAGTCAGAAACCTGGTAGTCTTTGCTGCCATCGAAGTGGGCGCACTAATTGGCTTAAGCATGACTCATGCATGTGTTCGAGTGGGTCTCTAGACAGGTCGACGGATATCAAGCATCAAAGAAACGCCTGAAAGAGTCACATCTAGGATGTGTGTTGGCACCCTGTGTGAACAAGAGGCTTCTAAAGACCGATTGCACCATGAGTTCTATTCAGCTTCACGTGTGCGATGCAAATGCTGCCGAGGTCAGAGGCAAGGATCTGCGTGACGAGCTCATGCACGCATCAAATCAGTGCGGATACATCTAATGCATGGAAAACATAACTACAATTCTATGGATGCCCAAACCATTACATCGCTGTGCAGGATTCTCAGATTGACGACTCGCAGCTTTTCACATCTTCGGCCAAGGTTCGGCATCCAGCCACTTCCGCCCCATCTCCTCCGCCATTTCCCCCAGGGCGGCAGCATCTGCGCTGGGCCCAAGGCGCCTTTGCGCCTCTGACAAGAAAGCCTCGCGCCTGGCTGCAGGGGCAACTGTTGGCGTTTCGACGCCGTCTGGTTTCCCGCTAACACCAACCGAAACAAGTTGAAGCATCCATGCGTTCACGCCTATTGCAGCAAGGGGTAAGGCGGGGGAGCTCCAGAGGAAGCGTTGAGAGTGTTGTACTGAGGCTTAAGGCAACCTTTGGACCTAGCAAAAACACCAAGCATCATCTACTTAGGCCATTCCCCTTGGCCGGATCTAAGTGCACAGGACGATTGCGTCACCCCAGTTCTTGGTGACTCCAAGAAAAATACAACATGTGGTGACACCCCAGTTCTTGGTGACCTCTGTGTCGAAACTATAACAGAATCCCTACCAACTCATTTGGGGAACCCAGCCCCTTCAAGCACTTTCAAATTCAACAAACGAGGTCCCTCGGACCTGCTCATGGAGCACTGCCCCGCCAGATTCCGGGAAATCCTTGACCAACTTCCCACCCCAAATGCTTGGTCCCCTGTGGTTTCCCCCTTGAAACACCAAAAACATGAGACCCACCTACTTGTACTAGCCATTCCCTCTTGACTTTCCTCTTACCAAAAATACCAGAAACAAAACACAACAGTGTACCAACATGCCAGACACCGATTTCCTTAGAACACAAAACAAAAACAGCGAATGGTGTACCCCCCAACAACCAGCCTCCAAACGCCCCAGGCCCTCGGTCTCACGCCCGACTCGCGCGCGCACCCCGCGCCTGGCGGGCGCCTCTCGCTGCAGCTCCGCGAGCCGCGTCTCCGTGGCCGCCAGCTCCGCCCAGGGCTCCGCGGATCCGCCCGACGCGGCGCCGCCCGACGCGGCGGCGCCGCCGGTGGCGCCGGGGGGCAGCTCCGCGCAGCGGCCCGAGGACTTGCCGTGGACCCAGGCCGTGGAGACACACCTCGCGGTGTGTAGCGGCCATGGACAAAATGGGACCCAACATGTGGAAGCTCAAAATCTGGGATACACAGGTTCTGACTACAGTCAAATGTTTCAGTAATGGTTTACAGAGGTCGACTAGAATCTCCCAAAAGTGGTGGAACGTGGAACCACCTACTGGGCACTGCTCACTTGGATTTAGGGGGTTCTTTGAGGTCGGGATAAGAGGCGGGATTTTGGTGGGGTTGGGGTGGATTCAGGGCTCAGTTCAGCCCTCTTGGCCCCAAGGAGCGTCGCCAACACCATTGAGATGTGCTCCACCTCCCCACCTGCCTGGAACCCTCCTGTCTTCCTCTTCCGTTTTGGCTCCCTTGCGGGGTGGTTTGGTCCTACCGGGAAAAACTATATTACTCACATTGGATTAATCAATCGCAGCGATTGCCAAGGCGCTTGCAGGGTTCAATACTAGATGATTCTCAACTCTGACGCGGACCTCTGGGGGGACAATGACAACCCCTGATTGCTCCGGCGAGTCCGGCAGAACTATTTCCCGCAACAAAACAATTGATTTATGCATCCATCCGCTCCCAACCTTGAGATTCCGGGCCACCTTCTCCCCCAGAACCGCGACTTATATACTTATAATATATATATATATATATACGGTTTGACCTTCTAGGGGGAGGGGAGGGTTCCCAATCCGGCGTTACCATTTGTCAACATTCAAAATACGCTGTTTGTTCATAACACAACCAATTCCTTTGCTCGAGCTCTCCTGATCCACTACAGCTTTATGTGCTAAAACTTCTTACATAGACCCTTCCCCTTCTACCAAGCTCCCCGTTCATCAGGGCTCCCTATATTTCCCCTTAACACATCACCCCCACCAAAGGGACACTCACCTTTCATGGGCCAAAAAGGTGAGGTTTAAAACCGCACAAAAGGGAAATACAGGGACCCCCGTTCATCCGCGGCACACCAGCCGGCAAGGCTTGCCGTGCCGCCGCCGCGCGGCTTTCGCCAGCTGCGCCATCTTCCAGGAGCCCAGGGCGTTGCAGCGCATGGACTGGTGCAGCGGCGCACCCCAGTCCACCAGCGCCTGCCGCAGGTGGGGAACCCCGGCCAAGGAAGGAAACAAGGAATGGCACCAATGTGGACATGGTTTGGCCAAATGATGAGCGCAGGTGGATTTCTATGGAGAGAAAGGGACAAAGAACCTTTTGTTGGTTGGCTTCGAAGGGAAATCCCTGGGAAAAGAAAGGAAACGAGGGGATAGCTTGGCCCAACCCTACTTGTACTTTCAATGAGGGCATTGGAGAGAGAGCGGGGGCCTGGGTTGAAACAACAGCTTCTGGCGCGTGAGGCTGCAGGAAAATGCAGACATTGCAACTTGCCCTTTGAGCCGACCTATTTTCAAGAGCGCCGCTTAGTGCATGTTGCTTCCAGTCAATTGGAAAAGACTCTCGTCGCTCATCCCTCTGCGCATCTAGCAATGAAATCAGCTAGTAGCACCTGTGAATGGAAGAAGCCAGCGAGATCAAGATAGGATATTCAAGAAACCATGAACACGTGCTCCACCACCATGGAGCATGCTTCGCGCTCAGCGTGGATTGCTCAGAGCGAAAGAGAGAGCGCGACCACCAGTGAAGGACATGCTGTCAACAGGAGATGCCCTCATGCACAACAGGTGTCGGACAGACTGTGGGCACAGGAAGGAGATTGACATTGCCACCTCACGTGGGCATGCACTTGATGCACGACGCTGCTGACTGAGAAGTCCCTTTCTGGCAAGTCAGGTTCAAAGGCGCCTCTGCCAAGCCTGAATGTAACATTCCGAAGACCCCACCTGTCTTGACCGCTTTAGCCTTTGGATGATGAAGCCCCGTTTCTCTACCTGTCCTTCTGGCAAAAATTGATGAACCTCCTTTGAGGAACCCCTTTTGTGGGTTCCATATCAATTTTCCTTTGGGGGCAGTACCCCTTTTAACCAATCATGGCAGTGGACAAGGGGCTTTCCCAACAGGAAAGCCGTCTTCCCAAACCCTCTGATCGTCTGCTTCCGTGATTGGAGGGATGGTACAACGAGGCTCCGATCCCAAATCCCGAGGCGCACCGCGCAGTGCAGCACCACATCCAGCTTGGCGGCCAGCTCATCATATCCTCGTCGTATGGCTCGTGTTTGGGGGACACACGTCGTTTCGGGTGGCATTTTTGGGAGCCAGACTAGCTTCTGCAGAAGAATGCTTCTGCAGAAACTGGCCAAACATGGAAGTCCCCTTTTGTCTGCTCGGGATGCCGCCCCCCTCGAAAGGATCTATCCGGTCCATAAGAAGGATGGCCACATGCCCCCTGCCTTTTGAGGCTGCCACATCTGTCTCAAAATTGGGACCCCCCCCCATTTTTTGGAGGGTTTCGAAAGGAATAAGGAGGAGTGTAATTACCTGGATGGGGTCCCTCCTTGTGAGAAGGCGCCCTCAGCCACCCTACCGCCGGCGTAAAACCACGCCAAGTCTCCCTGGCCGAGGCCCAAGTAGTCTCTCTCCTTGGCAGCAATCTGACCCCCAATCATGGAACATGATGCACCAAACGTCCCACTTGTCAACCTTCCTCAACTTGTTCACAGGAAGTCGAGGGAATCCCACACGAAACATAAAAGTCCCTTTTTCCGAACTTTCGGAACCTTTCTCAAAGGGAAAAGTCGAACCACGAAATCACCTGGACACCTCCGGCGTTTCGTCCGGCCATGTCTCCAGGTCCCCGTCCACCGCCACCAGCTGCGAAGCCTTCAGCGCGGCTTCCGCGCCGGAAGCGCCGAAGGCCGGGGAGGCGAGGAGTTGATCCAGGCGCGCCTGGCGCGGTTCGCAACGACGGGCGTTGGGCGTGGGATGTGGCAAAGTGCTACAAAGAACATTCCCTACATAAATCAACCAACATATTCCCTATTTCACTAAAGTGTGTCGTTTTTGAGGGAACCCCGTTTTGGGGTTTTGGAGGGAACCCCGAGCAAGCCCACCCATTTTTGTGTTTCCCCAAGCCTGCGCCCATTTTGTGGAGAGCCTTCCCATGGCAACCACCTAGTTTGTTGACCCCCATATGAATCAGCCCCCAGTCAGGGTGTGGGGGTGTGTGTGTTCCCCTCTTAAAAGTGCTTTGATTCCCCACGAAACCCACAAAAACACACCCCCTAGCCATAAACTGGAGGTTGATGAAGATGGGGTCAGCATCATCTTGTTGGGGTCCATGGGATACATGAGACCACCCTTCATCTTCGTACATCCCAATTTCCCGGTCTCTTCGCTGCATCAGACATGGCAGGGACTGCCGGTCAAACCGCGAGAGACTCCATGTGCGCGCAAGCCTGGGAGGTGAGCTTCGAAGTGGACCGCACCAGGACGTAGATGGTGCCTTGGAAGACTTCTGCAATGCCACCCCCCCTTCCAAAAACCATTTCAATAGGGAAGCTGGTGGATATAAACCTCAATGATATCCACCGAAGGGTCCCAAACTGCCTCTAAACCAATCTCAGAAAGGACACCCATATACAATATGTCCATATATATATATAAATAAATATGTGCATACATGTATATATCTATATCTGTATATATAGAGAGAGAGAGAGATAGCTATGCATAATACAATAGATATATATATATATTCTGTCTATAGATATATATTTCTTACTTTGCGATCAGTGTGCAGTCCTGAAACTCCCGGAGCAGCTTCGCGAGCAGCACCTTGCCCACAAAGCCCGTGGCCCCGGTCACCAGCACGTTCTTGCCTCGAGGAATGGGACTCGAGGCATCGAACGCTTGACCGCTCCACGTGGCTTCGCTTCTCGACCCGGAGACAACGACTGTCCGCAGCAAAAGGAATTGGGAAGTGGCAGAAAGAGAAGGCCATGGGTCAAAATCCAAATCGTACCCCCAATGATCCCAATCCCCACTAAAATGGGTGGTGCACCTACCCCAAAATGGTACCATTGGTTTTGACCCACAGCCAGAACTCGATACCTGGGGGGAGAAGGTGCAGAAGTGCTCAGAGCATGAGCACCTTGAGAAAATGTAGCCCCTTCCTGACAAAAGGGCTCCAAGGAAGTCCTATGAAAGAAGCGAGAACGAGGATCGCCGACTGATAGAAACTCCTGTCTCAAAAAAGGACGCCAAAGAAACATAACAAGTAAGACATCGGAATCAGACGTGCAAGACAAAGTGAGGTGCACAGAACTGTTTCTCGTCAAGTGGCAGGTCGGTTGCATTCCAACGCCTGCCGTGGAGGTGTTCTGTCAGGCACCATGTTAGTGGATAGGAGGGCATGTGTGTTTGGAAATGCACACCAGTGCCGCTTGCATAGTTGTTGGAGGGAAAGCGGATCTGCACGATTGACACCATGATCTTGAGTTCGTACCTGTATTTCAATGCTTGGGCACGACGAAACACCAACAAATGAAAAAACAAAAAAACACTCATTCCAACGCTCGGACCATCGCTCCAACACGAGTAATTCTTAACCCCTCACTGAACCCGGAACACTTTTGATTGGTCGGGGCCTTATTGACACAACGAACTTGGGGTTCACCAAATACCAGCAACTAGCTCATGCACTGCCCTTTGCCAAGTGCGGCTTGGCTGCCGGCGTAAAAGCTGGACAGGCTTTCCGACATCGCTTCTAGTGTGGCTATGGCTATATGGTGCTTCCCCAAGCTGAAGGCGCTTGAGTGGTCACTTAAGTGCTCGAAGGAGCAGGATTCTGCCAGTGGATTTGCCTGATGACGCCTAGCAAACCGCCTTCGAAACCACTCGCGAGGATCTGGGAAACAATTGTGGTTTGACTATTCTCCCTCGACAGTCAAACTTCTGCTCAGACATCTGGCGCAAGGCGCCTTGAAGCCTAAAAGGCTATGCAAAGCAGCTCGATGCACAGAGACGCAGCTGAAACCCGCGAGCCGGCACCAAGCGTTCCAGGCATGTGTCAAGTGGAAGAAAACTGTGAGGCAACCGCAGCTGCCGCACGAAGTTCTTTGGGTCCCGGCTCAGGTTTTGGGCAGCTGCGGTGTGTAGGTGGTGCAGCCACCGAGGCAGAAGCTCCACCTGGCAACCCACAGCTCCCCGCCCAAAAAAAGCTGACATGAGATGCCAACACAGGGCTACCCTGAAAGGAGACTTGTCGGCACCTGGCCGTTTTGGCGGGTTTTCAGGGTACATGTCTACTAGTTGGACACCTTGGTACTTGCGACGGATTTCGATCTGTGAGAAATCTCTCGTCCCGCGGCCGCCCGCCTGGGCCGCTTCCGCGCTCTCCGCCAGCGCCGCGAAGGACTTGGCGTCCGGCGGCGGTGCCGCGCGGGCCAAGAGCAGCAGCGGCAGCGCCCAGAGCAGCGCCTGGCCTGGGGAAGGCGAAGGGATCAGAGGCTCCAAGTACCTCCTGATAGCTTTTGGGGGGTAAAAAGGGCCCCTAAGTACCTCCCTAGAATGTGCTTGGACCTGGGTTCAGGATCTGTGGGATTTCCCTGGGTCCAAAATGGGCGGACCTCAAAAAAAACCCGCTGAGAATGGCATGGGGTTTGAGTCTGGTCCATGTGAAACTTGAAACATGTAAGGATATGGCACTTTTTCACCTCTCACTTAAACCTATAATGCAAGCAGCGGCCAAGTTATTCAAGGCTTGTTGGTACAAACATGCGTGCGTTCAAAAGAGTGGAAGGGGTTTGGTGCAACTCTTACAGATTACAGATTGATACCCCCCTTCAATCGACATCCAGACTCTTCGTGGCTGCTCTTCATGGCAAAAAAGTGAGACCTATGCCCTATGACAGTTCTGGCTTGTTAGACTCCTGTTCACTGCTTCATATAGGGAACAGCCGTGAAAAGGGGGAGCCCGCCCGATCCCCTCTTGACATTGGTCTGAACGTCCAGCCCAAGTGCAAGCTTCATGTTTCGCAAACACTGACAGAAAATCCGATCGGTCAAGACCATGTTTATTTTGCGTTACAGATTCAGTGCCGTAAATTCTTTCAGGCGAAAAACCGACAGGACTCCGAATGGATGTTGATATCTACAACTTGCGCCAATCCCTGAGCATGGGCCTGGAATCCCGGGCAAACACCCCGATGGCAATTCACCTGGGAGTGCAGTCCTAGCCCCTGTGAAGTCAGACCGCGAGTATGGATCTTGATTAAAACCTGGCTTGCGAAATCTGCTCCCCTGCAGCAAGGCTTCACTTTTAGTGGTTAAATACAGAAAACCCATCAGTTGGCAAAAAGTCAAAGTCTTAACATCCAAGCAACATGCACCAAAGAAACTGTTGAGGGTGCGAATCCGCGAGAGGAAGCCACTCCTAAAAATGGCAATGATGCTTGAGGATGGTGTTGCACGTCGATGTACAATTGCCTGCAAGAGCATGATGTAACAACTCTGATGCTACACCATCCATGGAAGACCACAAAGGTGTCCAGTCAACTTTGACATTTGTTTCCCCGCTCCTGGTGAACAAAAAGCAAGCCTGGCTTCCTCAAGCGTAACTTTCATGGTGGTTCCATTTAGGTTCCTCAAATAGTACCAACAAGGCCAATGCCGGTTGCTGCAGCCGTTACACTAAGCGATTCCCGCCTGCAGCCCTGAGGGCCGTGTTCAAGCCGCGGATGCTGCGCGGGCTTGCGAGGGCCAGGGTTCTTTGCCACTGGCCGGCGCGCTCCTCGGACGTGGCCAGGCGAAGCAGCTCTGGGAAAACAAACGGCCGTTGATATTTTTTTTTTTTGGGGGGGGGAATTATCTAGTATTATTATTATTAGTATTATTATTATTATTTTTATTATTATTTTAGGGAAATCAGGTCAAGCCCCGTTCCCATCATTTGGGCTGCCTGGGGCTTCCTGGGGCTGCTGGGCTCCTGAAGATTGCAAGTTCCTGGCAGAACTACACCGAAAAAGAACCTATTCCTACAGGGGTTTGTCAACAAACAAAGTTTGTCAAGAAACAACTCCGGCATTCTCCTTTTGGCAACGAAGCCCAATGATGTTGTTGCAACAACGCTACTTTCCAACTTCATGGAGCGCAGCGCGCTACCCGCGTTAGCCGCGGTGCACAGGCTGCCAGCGCCGATTCCTCAGCGCGCTCTGGTGCCAGGCGCTGTCGCCGCATCTGCGCCAGAAGGCGCAAAGCGACTTGCCACTGCTTTGCCTGGAGGGCATAGGATCAAACATATCTCCAGGCGAGGTAAGTGGGTAGCAAACGCCCAGAAAGTCTGGAAGGCTGTTTGAGGCTAGGGCATCAAGCGAAGCTCTGCAATCTGGCTTTCACGCCCCTGACCGAACTCGCCCGGGTCTCCAGGCCCTGAAGATCTACGACTACCTCGCTCAACCCTCCGATCGCGCGATCGCGCACGCCTGGTCGCAAGTGGCCAAGGCGGTGGCAAAGGAAACCTCGTCCGGCGCGAGGAGCACCTGACAGGAGCCGCGCTCGGGAGCTTCGGCACTTCTGATTCCCCGGTTGGTAGGCTTCCAGAAAGCCAACCAAGGTACTCGTGTACTCTTGAGAACACACCTCATAGGAAAACATATGTATATATATATATATATACATATATATATATATATATTTATGTATAATATATATATATATATATATATTATAATATCTTATTGAAAGCAAGTATCTCCATAGCCACAGGAATGCGGCTGACCAAAAGCAAAAGATCCCAGCTACTTTCTACAATTGCGCCTGCCCCCGAAACGGAAACGAGTAGGCTTTCGAGAAAGCTAGTCATATGCCAGTCATCTGGAAAGCGGCGTCTGCATTCAATTTCAATTTCTGCGGAGTGGTGAACGTGCTCAACAACAACAGCATGATTCTGGCGGCTTATCTTTATCCGTACCCTTTGTTGGTTTCTTCAAAGGGAGGGAACCCCATCCTTCCTGGCGGTACCCAAATTTCAAGGCCACCCCCCGCCTGTGGCATCTCTTCCAAATACCCGCAGGCCGCTTGCCAGTCCGCCCGCCGCAAGGTGGCACTCAGCAGGGTGTTGTAGGTGACGACATCCGGCTGCAGCAGACTGCGCCGCATGTCCTCCAGCACCTCAAGGGGCATCACAGGGATGACCGAACCACCTTTGCTTGAATGATAGGGTGGGTGGACGAAATCCGCTTCGCACCAGTTGGGATTGGTGGTTTATGCCATTATTTATGGGGGTCCATCTATTCCAAGTGGCGCAGGATTTCGTCCACCCACAGTATTGGATGACAAAACTCCGGAGCGCCCCCCAGGATCGCAGGGACCAAATTGGATTCGAGCCTCTTTCAGTGTTTTGTGAGGCGGCCAAAGCCTTTCAGTCGTTTTGTTGCACTCCACAATTTAGTCCAAATCGCAGTCACATGATGATATCTCGGTGTCTCACGGATCCCGAGAAGCACCTTGGCCAAGATGATCTGTGTCAGAATCCTGCCTCTTTTTGGGACACGAACGCAATTCTGCTTCTCACTACCGCGAAGCCTGAACAAACTGAAGAAGGTTGCATTGCATTGCGGATTACCTCCAGGTAGGTCTCTCAAATGATGTGAGGAAACCTCCCTCGCCCTCGGGCAAAGCAGCTGGCCACGGTTTGCTTGGCGAGTCTCGACGTTCTCGTTTACGAAACTCTCTTGACAGGATGTGTGGTTTTCTGACTCGGTTCCGGTTCCGAGTTGGTTGTTCCCCGTAAATCACGGAAATTGTTTTCAGGTCTAAATGTTTACGGCTTGCTGACCCTCATCAGCGAAAAGCCTGCTGAGTGTACCAAAGTTGAGGGGTCTCGGAAGCGAAATGTCATGGCCACTGCTTGCCCCATTCGAACACCTAACTACTGTAAGGAACATTCTTTGTTTACAAAATTGAATTACAAAAAGCAGTAAGCAACCTTCATCATCAAGGGCGAATCAGAGATCTTTTTTACTCCCACTTGAGCTCAGCCTTACATGTTACAATGAGCATGAGGATCCGTCCCAACCACGACATACCCAAACCGAAATCACACCAACCCCGGTTTTGGGGTCCGCATGGACGAAAACCATTTCGCACCACTCAGACACCCTGGAATGATGCTTCCCCTGTAAATACCAGCAAACAATGGTTTGGGATTTGCAGGGGAATCATTTCTCCATGTTCCCCTGTAAATACCAGCAAACAATGGTTTCCCATGGTTTCTTAGGTGGTGCGAAATGGATGTCGCGACCATCCACAGGACGAAGCTGTGCCATGGCCTGCCTCCAGCTCCCGAGACTGAGAGAAGCTCTGGCCCACGCTCAAAGCGCTGAGCAGGATGTTGTAGCTGACGGTGTTCCTCGCAGAAAAAAACACGAAAAACGCACACCGCGGCAGTCGGCAGCCACGAAGACTTGCAGAAAGACACCTGCAGAAACCAGAAGCCACCAAGAAAGCAGCAGAAACCAGCAGGAACTGCTGAGAAGCTTCAAACTTCCAAAACGCCAAGAAAGCAGCCGAAACCACCAAAAAACAAAGAACGGTCGCAAAATAGCAAGGTCCTCAGAAACCAGGTTGCCCTTTTTGACTGGCCATGTTGGTCCGTGGGTTGCGAGGATCCCGACTCTTTGACTTTGACAGATGCACCCCACGCCCCTAGAGGCCTTTGTGCCTATGATCATGATTCTTGCTGGATGGCTTCGCTCAGACTCCAGAGATTGGATCTTGGATCATGTTTGTGGAAATTTCATAGCGCCATTGTGGTAGATGAGTCTGCCGAGGTTGCCCCAAACGTCACCCAACCAAATCAGTTGAGCATCTCAACCGCATCCCAAGCATTCAGAGATGCATCAAGTTGCCCCTTGTGCCCTCCGGCCTTTGAGGTTTCCATGGTCTCACAACAACACGCAGCGCAGCTAAGGCGCAGCTGCATGGAATGTGACACGGCCACTTCTCCTGCGAGGCTGCACAATTCCAATCGCCTTCTGAATCACTGCTAGGGCATTGGATGGGGGGGGGGGCAGCTCATGATTCATAAGCAGAAATATCCAGACTTCTGAAGCGTGAAGTGAAAATTTGATGGAGAGACGGGTTTGGCAAAGCTTTGTCTTGACACTCGCATTGGCCTTCCGTAGTGATGGCATTCATGCGAGGTCAGAGTCCAAGTGGAAATGACACGAATTCCAAACGCGGAAGCAATGTGCCTCTCCAGGCACCCTCGAACGACATGTAGCAACCAACAACCTGACCTGATCAGAAAATTTCACCCTTTCGCCAACTGCCAACTAGAAGCTGCACTTTCAAGACAAGCCAAACTGCTTCGGAGGCCTCCGGCCCAACTTTCAACCGGAGACACGGGCCCAGCCGCGGCCGATTGGGCAATTAGGGGGAGCCCGCGCCTAGGCACAGCGCAAGCTCCCAGGGGCAGGCGCTCAGAGCGCTGTTCAGGGCCACCAGGTCTGGCTGGATTCCGATTTCGGACATCGAACGCCTCAGCTTCGCATCAATAACAGGGTCCCAGTTCACAAGCGCGTGAGTTGCGTGGAATGTGCAGAGCGGCTTACGTGCGCTTGAGTTGCTTGAATTGCAGGAGAGCGGAGTCTACTCTACGACTTGCTGGTGCGATAGGGAACGTGGGAATGAACCCAGAAGTTCCCTGAAAGGAAACCACGAGGGGTGGTTCATAAGGGTCATTCCCCATTCCCTCATTCCCCGCTGAGCACCAGCAAAACAACTGGTCATTTTAGTATGAGATTGAAAAGCTCATGTGGCCCATGGGTCAAAAGCCCGTACCCCCAGTGAACATCCCAATCCCCACTAAAATAGGTTCTAAAAAGGGTGAATTCACCTACCCTAAAATGGGATCCCATTGGTTTTGACCCACAGCCATGTGCCAATGGGGGGGTGATCCCCAACCCAACGCCAAATCTCCAGCCCAAGCTGCAGGAGATGCAGCGCCATGGGCCAGTTCCGGGCCTGCGACACGCCCGACGGCGGTTTCATGTGCCGCACTCGACGCGGGGATCCGAAAGATGCAGGCCACTTCTGCCATGTCTGTATATCAGTGTCAATCATTTGTACAAAGCAACCCTCTGGGAGCTGTCGATTCAGCATGCTCCCACAAGGGATCGGGAACTTGTCATGGGCGGGGGCTAAGGGCAAACCCTCTTCTTTGCCGCACGGGTCCATAGTATTCACTTTCAGTTCTTCAGAGCATGGATGTGTCTTGGCTTGAGGGTGCCCTTTTGGTGGTTGTCAAACAAACCCATATCGGGCTTCTTTCTGGTGCGTCTCTTTGATGCCTGGCGACTCGATGTAAATTTCTGAGGTTTAGCAGTATGTAACAGCTGCATTCGATTCGAGACGGCCAGGCATTTAATCCGAGCACGTGACAGGCCAAGGTTTGAAGGGTTTCGGTTGATGCCCTGGTAGCTTCCATGACGACGACACACTGATATATGGCCGTGTTCGAACTGGGAATCCTCAGGCGCCCGAAATGCAACCAACCACGTTTGGTACCACAGAAGCCTACTACCCTGTTTCCAACATGGAAGTTGGCAAGTGGTTCCAAAACCCCGCGATTGGTGGAAAAAGAGAAGCAGCACGCAACCAATATTATTGCAACCAACGCTTGGGGAACCAACATGTGCATCCAACCATTTGGCTGTAGGTCAAAACTAAACCACCAGGGGACTGCAGGTTTTAGTCCTTGGTTCCATTTACCAGTGCTCCATTTTGAGTACCTTTCTTTGACCCACAGCCATTTAGAGTGCACCCAGATTTGACGACTGCGCGAAGCTTCTCGCCTTCTCGCAAGCGGCAATGGCGGCGCTGTACGCCACCACATTGGGCTGCGGCCAAGCCCTGTGCTGTTGCTGCTGGTTCAAGGTGTCCAGAGTCTGCGCGTCGTCGGCATCGGAATCACATGAAATATGTCATGTGTAGTAGAAAGACATATTGCAAGCAAACCAGCCTTCGCCTGTGCCAAATATAGGAAACGCCGTACCCCTGCATTTGGACACCGGCGAAGACATGCCTTGTTGTGGATTCCAGATCTGCACTCGTGCGCGGGCTCAGTTCGGTTAACGTTCCAGCTCCAACGATGGACAGCACAAATCTAATATATACATGTATATTTGTAATTTGCATTAATTAACAACATAGGCAATTCCGTGGGTATGCATGCCGCAAGTATGTGTGCTGAAATGCAAGCAGTGACGAGTGAGGCACAAAGCCAACAGCACGAGGCCACACAACTGCACTTGCGCCTCAAGTGAGAAAGAGCCATCCGGATCAACAAACCACCATCCAGGAAATGGTTGGAGCGCCGGTATGTACGGTAATCAGTTCACAACCCACCAGCTGCAAGCTGAATAACATCGAAGCCTAAGGGCGTTCTAGCTTCATGCCTACACTCACCGAGTGTGGCTGCGAATGTATTCCGCCAATATCCGTGAACGACCAGCATATTAGTCAATGTCATGGCGTCTTTCATGAGCGACCCCTTCCCAGTTGCCTGCCGCCACTGCGAAGCCTTCTCACAGGAGGATAGTACCTTTGCACATGAGAAGGGGCGTTTTGGGCCATTGCTTGGTGGTGAAAATGGCAGGCGTGGAGATGTTTAACTCCCAGAAGCGCAGAAACGGATTGTGGGCGGAAGAGGGCAATAAAACACCAAGCATGATTGACTGCCAATTCCGGCTACATCTCCACAAATGAGCCTTCCTTCGTTTTGACAAGTCTGCGCACCATGCGCAATGTTCCACTCAAAATGAGTGGGAAGATCTGGAATTTGCTTCCGTCAGCTTGGTCTTCAGACTTTGCAACTCTTTTGGATGTGCAACTCCCTGCGCGGCAAGTGTGGGTAGGCATGCAACAAGGACGAGAAGCTATCAGACATGTTGATTTATCTGCCAGGCTATAAGTAGCGGTGGCCAAGCCTATCGAAGCCTAAGGCTGGAAGTCGCATCCTTTGCTTTGGGACATATAGGTTGTCAAAACCAATGGGATCCCGTTTTGGGGTAGGTGAATTCACCACCCATTTTAGAACCTATTTTAGTGGGGATTGGGATGTTGACTGGGGGTATGGGATTTTGACCCATGGCCTTGTTCCTGCCCATGTGCGTTCCAACGGGAACCGTCCTTGCCCGATGACTTCAAGCGGCTGCGCCGCAAGTCGCCAACTCCACCTTCATGCCCCGGCGCAGAAGCCTCAGGTTTCTGGAGGGAACTCTGCGCATTTCTGGAGGGATTCGAAGCCAAATCTCTCGAATTCCCAGGTTGTGGTGAAATGTTGAGGCGCGCTGCATGGCATCGAGAAATTCAGTAGGTATTCTTCCGCATGGGCGGAAGGTGACACAAGCTTTCTCATTCACAGCTCCAATAACCGGACTTAGCCCTTGGTGTGCAGTGGTGCTCCTGCGAGGTCTTGAGGAAACGTCATCAGCTCATCCGTGCTTAAGCCAGCAACACTTTTTGGTAACACCGTCTGAGAGAACCGCAGCAAAAGCGTTGCTCTGAGCATGAGAGTGGCTCATAAGCGTCCTGGAGAAGGGGCACCTAGTGGAAGCGCTACAATATTGTTTTCACAGCAAGACAGGAACTTCAAGCATACCGGCTAGCCGGAAAGCTACGCCAACTCCATGCCTCCTAGTATTTCCTGATCCTTTCCCGACTTGTTTCCTATCGATGCGTACTTGTCGGGATTCCCGACCAGCATTTACATTGACATTGAGTAGCCAGAACGATCGGAGTCCAACTAGCGCGAACAACCTGCCAGCGACAGAATTGAACAATAGTCGCTTTGACAAGCAAATGTGCTGCCAAGTCAACGCCACGAAGAACCAGACATGCACGTGTCTAGCAAGCGCAAGCCACAGCGCACGCCGTGAAAATACATGCCTGCAAAACATGCTTTGCACATAAGTCTGGGCAAACCACCAAATTCAGGTATTAATAATTGTTAATTAGTCTCCTGATGTGCAGAAGTATCGCTACGGCACAAATGTATGCACGTGCTCTCACATCTTTAAAGCTGCAACCAAACATGTTCATCAACAAAAAGGAAACCCGAATCCTGAGAATCCAAACAACGAGGGACCCCGCGAGCCAATAGGGGAATGCTCGTCTCTTAACGAGGCTGCAAGCTTCCAATCGATGCATATCATGTTGTGTCCATAGTTTCATCAAGCACACGCACCACATCTCACAAAAGGACACCACTTAGACTTAATAAACGCAAACACTGGACCAGACATTGGACCCACCCCGAACCCAAAAGCCGCGGAGCTCTGGCAGCACGGCCAGCGATTTGCGCCAGGCCGCAGCACGGGCGGCCAGGCCGTAGGACACGACCTCTGCCCCCAGGAGCCAACTGGCCGTGGGTCAAACCCAATGGGATCCCATTTTGGGGTAGGTGCACCACCCATTTTAGAACCTACTTTAGTGGGGATTGGGATGTTCACTGGGGGTACGATAGGGATTTTGACCATTCTATCACAAAATGGAGGAAGATTCAGATTCAGTGGTTTTATGTTTCCGCTTTGCACCGACGGATGAAGCATGCGAAACCCTGTGGATGGTTGAAATCGAAATCCATCCATCCATTTCGCACCACCGTTCAGAAACCCAACGGAAGGATTCGAGTGCCCAACGCAGATACCAACAAACTTGGGTGCTGTAGATCCCCCAGCAAAAAGCTAAACTTTTTTCTGGTTAAAAGGAAATATGAGCGGAGTCCAAAAAGTTCAAGTCTAAAGATCCAACCCAATAGCAGTAGAGCAAACGTCATGGCTTCAAAGTGCTGCGACATGGATTTCGCCCATCCACCGCATGGGACCCACGTCCCCGCATCTCAGGCCGCTTCATGGCTCTGGGGTTCCAGCGCTGAGCTGCAGCCGCCGCAGCGAAGTGAGGGACAAGAGGTCCAAGGCCTGAAAGACGTGCACCAGACCAAGTGCTCTCCCATGCCATACTACATTTAGGTGGGTCTAAGTTTAGGTCCCGTCTGAGGGCTTTTAGAGGAGGACTGAGGTCCAAAAGTGCCATTTCCAGCGCTGTTCCACAAGCCCTCCCTCAGCACTCCCTGAGCATTCCCTCCCTCCCCAACGGCGCACGGTTCACAGCCCAAACTCCTCCAAAATCGTGATTTTCAGCCTCCTTTGCCGCGCAAACACCGGCGGAGAAGACAGTTTGAGACAGACCGAACGCGCCAAGAAGACGAAGCGAAGCTGAAAACAATTTTTTTGAGTCAGAAGTCAGTGCTGAGCTCTTGCTTTTGCAACAAACCGAGGAGTTGTTGACAGCCTCTCCCTTACAGCTCCCTAAGCACTTTTTAAGAAGTATCATCAAAGTCCGGCCTGATGCTTCAAAGGCGGGGGGGGGGGGGGAGTAACACTTCATAACATGGAAAACGCCTGTCAAGGAAAGTGAACTAAAGAGTTCTGCACACTTCCATGTTATTCCCATGTTAGAAGGCTGACAAGTTGCTTTTGGGTCCCAAGGTCGCCCAATCATGAGGGATGCAAGCCCATGAAAAAAGTCTCTGAAATTGGGGATCACACGATCCCCCAGGCAAAGGGTCGGAAGTCAGCCCACGCTGGGGCGGGGGAGGGGACGAATTGTCGCCCGAATGTCTGGCTGAAACTGAGGTAACATGCGCCGTCAACAATCTTTGGGCTGCAGGTCATGCTCATGCGGGCAGAGGTGGGCTACATGGAACAGGACACATAGTCTAGAGCTTGGCCAAATTTGGACGCCGGAGAAAGGTAACCCTGGTCCAAGCAAACAAATGAGCGATTCTCTGGTCCAAATATGTACGAGGTCATCTAAGCACTGAATTCTTCACAGCAACATAAGCTGCTAAACTCACAGGCACAATTATCTGAGTGATGTTTCAGATTCAGGAAGGGAGCTTCTCCAGTGAATCAATCATGAGTACTTGGCGGCGGGGTGGGCGCGATTGCCATTTAAATAATTGTAAGTTGGTCAGTGTTCAAGTCCATGCATGGATCACAAGCTGCTAACCCAAAATCTGAGACTAACACACTGCACCATACAAACATTGAGACTTGACTGCCAACAGAACCGACAACACCAACTTGGCTCTTCTGTGCTTTCTTGCAGTAGCGTCACTTGTAGTCCTCCAACACGCAAGCTCACCACGGAGCAACAAGCTCCAGTATGTTTGCACCGATTGGATCACACGGCAGGGCACACATCGACGCATGCGCGCCTGGCGCATAGTAGCAAGCGCAAACCGCCAGGCGCTTCTCACGCTAGCCTCTCACACTAGCCCCACCAGTCTTCCTGGTGTCTCCAAATCTCCAAGCAGCCATTGGCTGCTTCCCTCCAAGCCAAACCCAGCGGGGACCCAGCGCCTCCTGCCACATGGCTGGCGAGAAGGAGCTCATGGTGGCGCCGCAGGAAATGGAATCAAGCTGGAGGTCTGCGGCGCGGCTTGATTCGACATGTCTCAAACATGGCTTGAACCCCTTGCTTAAAGGCTCAGATGCCCAGTGGGAAAAAAGAGGCATCCGTTTTTTGGTTGGTTGACTTGAAAGGGGAACCCTTCCCAAAAAAAAAGAAAAAAAACACCACTGGGCAACTGGGAAGGAGTAAGTGGACAGTAAGCCTGGTTTTGTTGAAAGGGATTGCACATTGGGCAACCGAGTCGTGATCGAAGCCTGGTGAAACGTCCTTGAAGGCTTCCTTCAACATAATACCACCAGATTGCATTGTATCCCATTTTCATGCTTGCCCCTCCTGCGTCAGATTGCTCCATTGGTTCCAGTTTGCTGCAGCAAACTGTATAACATTGGGTCAGGTTTTGCTACATGGAGTTGTCAAGAAGGAGGGAGCCTGGTCGGACCTTGGTGTCAGGTTGTGACATCTTTCAAAGTCGCAAAGATCAGGAGAGACCTTAGCATCCACCTGCCCCCCACGCGTTCTGCGAACCTTGCCCTGGATGGAGAGCTGTGGCTTCCTCTAATAGAAGGCAGCCATTCTGCCATGCGCAGTGCATTTGTGCCAGACCGGGGTTGGCCATTTGTGGCAAAAACAACGACCCCCTGGTCCAATTCCTTTAAAGGGGAGCCAACAATCTTAGTGGGGTAAACCATGGTAACCAGGTGGTGGCCCAGGGGGTTTTATCACTTGAAGGAGCGGGCACTTATTAAGTGGCTGGTAGGCCTGGATAAAACCCAGTGAACGGAGACTTGCCATGGCAAACGGGTGACTGAGAAGGGAACCCTGCCCCCATTGAAGGTTTCGACCTTTGTCGATGGTCTTAAGACCTCTCACTCTCCGCAGCCCCTCCAAGATTGTGTCACTTACAACCGCATTCCTGGTCTGGAAGGTGAGGGAGTCAATCAAAAGCGCAAAGCCGACACGTCACTTGACAGAAGCAAACGCCGTGGTTCCCCGCCTGAGCTGAGCTTGCTGAACAAGCCCAGAGCCCTCTCCCAAAGCTCTGCCGCCAATGCGCTGAGAGCGGCGTTGTAGGCCACCAGGCTGGGCGCCTCAAAACCCAAAGGCACGTGACTTCTGTCAAGGCTCTGGAGGTTCAGGTGGATGTGGCGTTTTTGAGGGCCACCCTTCTTTATCTTGGTTGTAAAGGGAAACCAAAAAGGAAAATGAAAAATCGCCATTCTCGGGGTTCCCCTAGTTAAGGACACACATCGAGGCACTTGTCGCTTGTTACCCCTTGGCTTCATGTCATCTAGCATGGCCGTGACCAATCAACACTGGACCGGTAAAAACCCACATGGACATGCATGACATGGGGATTGATCTACAAGCTACTTGCAATCAATTGAACAATTTGACGCGGTCTGCAACGCATTTCCTGCAGAAGCCTTTTTGATATCGAGGCACAAAGAGTCCCCAGAATCTCAGCAGCAAAGTGACATGGTGACTTGTGGCAGACTTGCAGCGCAAACACAAAGTGCTGACTCAAAAGGCACGGAATTCTTGAACATACACGTCGTGTTAATCACATCTTCCAAATTTGATGCGCGTGAAGTTACAGCCATGTCAAGTTGCGTCGTGCGGCCATTTTTTGCACAGCCAGGCATTGGATTTCATTGGCCAAGCTCATTTCGAGCACATCATGAATGTTCGACTGTTTGTCTGACCGCTCAGCTTGAAGCCTGTCCACGACTACCATGTTCTAACTCTAGAAGGGAAGACTGTTCGGCATCGTCGCTGTCCTGTCCGCTAGATGCATTGTCTCGACACCTGGCTGTTCGACTGAGCCATATCCGAAGACGATTCCAAAAATCTACGCGCATCCCGACAATAGTCCATGCAGAAATCATGCAAAGCAAGCGAGCGACCAGGACGGTGCAACTGATGTGGATGGGAAATCGCTCAGATGCTGCCCATGTCTGATCGTCGAGAGTCGCAAGGACTCGTTGATCAAAGAAATCCAGCAGCTGAGCATTCTCCACTTCATCATAGCCTTGTAGAAAGCAAAGCAGTATCGGCACCTGCAAACACAACATACCCCAGAGGCCCCAAGTCTGCAGAGTGAACACCGCCGTGTCTGGGCCTTGCTTCTCCAGCCTCCAGACCGACAAGGGGATGACGAACACGGAGACGGTGTACAGCAGGCAGAGATATCCAAAATATCTGCGGTGCGCCAGGTGGCCTACATTGGTGTCTGACAGCAAATCCAGTGCAGTAATTAACCAAGCGAGCATAGAGAACAACACCCCTGTCTTCACATCAGTCATTCCTGCCCGTTCAATGTTCAAGCCATTTTCCCAGGAATGCCGTAGGTTGTCTGTGTAAGCACCTGCAGTCAACAGAATGTTGATCGCAGTCTCGACTTCATCCTCAGCACCAGCAATGGCCTGTCTGATTCGTTGTTCATCCTCGAATTTTGAACAATGTGAATCACGCAAGGAGTGGAACTGCATCATCTCCTTCTGCTCTTCGAAGCCAGCTTTCTCGCTCTTCAAGAGAACAAGCAAGACGGTCACCGAGGCATTCGTGAGAGTCAGGTTCGAAAACCAACCGTAGTGGAGAAACACCGACACCCAGCTGTAGCCGTCCCGTGATGTCGCAACTGAACCCCAATATACATCCATCAGGAAGAAAACGCACCCAATGAAAGCCAAAGCTCTCATCATATCTAAAGACCAGGAGTGGTGCCAACAGGGCACCACGATCAGGAGGGCCAGCAAGGAAAGCACTCGGTATATCAATTCCAGCCAGCTGTACAGACCGGAAGAACGCCCGTCGAAGAATTCCAGACTCCACCACACTGGAACTGCCGCAAGAAGTCCATACAACATAATGACGCCGACTTCTCGGAACCAATATTTGCAGGTCTCCTTTCGATCTGGCACCACGGGCAATAGATAAATCTTATTCCATTTGGCTCCAAGATAGGCCTCGAATACACACCAAAGCCGCGAGTAGATTCCGTTGGAAGGATTTGGAACTACTAGCAAGTGTGATGCTTTCTGCAATGCCAAAGCGAACGCACTTTCGTACAGACTTCCACCAATAAATTCATCCAAGTCCAAATTCTGTGGATTTGACAAGAGGCAGCAGTACAGGTTGTGACGTTGGTAGAGCTGGGGCCATGCCGCATGAATTCCCCGTCCTAGGTGGAAAATTCCTCCGTGCCAGGAGTGAGATACAAAGACCTCACACTCCAAACCTTCAGGATGCTTCATCAAAGCATAGCTGGCACCTCCAGCTTTCAGTGTCACAGGCTTCACCACATAGCTATTTACATCATATAGATTTGGGCCATGACCAGGATCCCAGTGCAAAGAATTCCTGGGCTCACCGCACGGGATTTGATTTGACTCCCATCTTCTATGGACCTCTTTCACAAAGTCTTCGAACTCAGATCTGGTAATGCACCATCTTTCGGCAGGAACCGAGCGATGCAGATCTCTGGCGCTCTGGAACTGACATGGCATCGGCCCCCCATCTCCAAGAATACGGCCTGCTGGACCCGGGCACGAGCTGGATGGTTGGCTGTGGCTCGTCTGGATGCTAGTGTGAATTCGGAACTCAAACAAGTAGGAATACAAGAATTGATATGAATGAGGCTCCAGTGTTTGTGGAGTTTTGGAGATTGTGTTTTTTGTAGATGCAAGCTGCATGACTTTGGATCAGCTGCAGTTCAAGTGGCATGCCAAGCCGAGGACCTCCCACTGATACTCAACTTGTGGCGAAAAAAAAGTCGACTGGAACACAATGTCAGGCTTGTTGAGTGCCGGATTCCCTCGCAGCTGCTCTTGCGTCGTTTCTCTGCTTTTGGCCTTGCTTGTTTTTGGCGGTACGTAGCCCTCTCGGCGCATCGAGGCCTCAACATGGGTGTCTCCCTATCTTTTGTGGTTTGCTGTTGGCTTCCTGTTGACTAATGTTGACCCAGAATTAGTAAACCCGTCCATTATTAGGGGGGTATCCCTCCAAAAGTGATAAATCCCCACAAAAGGGGACACCCCCTATTAATCAACCAGGGGGTTATTACTCCGGGGTTAACATTACCCACATGGGTCCTTTTTGAGAAACTCCCAATCTTCCTGTCGTGGAAAGAACTTCGTGGGCTCAAAGGGAAAACGCAGGAGGGTTATGGACTGAGGAAAAGGCATCCCTTTTACGAACTTTGCCGGAGCGAGCGAAGCCGCCAGGAATCAGGACGACCAAGGGGTCGGTGAAAAGCTAAAATATGTAAAGGATGTACTTGCACAAGCCACAAGAGGGTTCTGAGAACCACGGGAGGGATATGCGAACGGGGGCGAAGGAAGTTCTTCGGACTGACGTCTTTTATTCTCCACAGAGTTCTCCTCCTGCATGTTCCCCTGAACACTGAATGGAGACACGCTTGTAAGTCGAAAGGTATCTGTGCTTGACGGCTACCCCTTGCGTCGTTGTGCTCCGAGTCGCCAAGGCCCAAAGGTGCATCGACTCCGCCAGGAGCAGCGCCCAAGGCCACTGGCAGCTCACGGCGCTCACCGTGGAGCAGACGAGGATGGTGTCTGGCAGGACCTCAACGGACGCGCGCGCGCGCGACCGCGCAAAGGCGAATGGCTGTCACTGGATACGTGCTCTGCCAGCGTGCCCCGTGTTGTGAAGGGCTTTCGGGAGTAAAGTGTAAAGAACATTCTGCTTTTGTGGCTTCTTTAAGGAGGACCTGGTTCTTTTCCACGCGACGGGGGTGCTGCGGTTTTCCAACATGTGCGATTTTTATCAAACCCCTCGCACGTATGCTAATTCATACGCGCACACAACGTTTGCCACCGGCCCGGGATAACGTATCATGCCTCCACGCAACTGTCGCACGAGATTGTTCGCACAAAGGGCAAAGGCCAGCTTGAGGGATGCGATCGAACAAATAAACCCCAAATAAGTAAGCCATCTTTGTTTTGTGGCTTGGGTTTGGAGATTACATAAGGTGTGTCGCGTGGCTTCAGTTTGGAGTTCCGACGCCTGCCCCTTTTGGGTGAGACGGCCCCCTGGCTCACCAAACCGAGCCGCGGCCCGCTCTTCTGCGTTCTGCAGCAGAGCCAAGGCAGCCTGCCGCTGATTGAACATATTGAACGCGGCCTCGTGTCTGAGTGGACCCTGCAAAGGACAAGTTTGCGATGGGCCCCCTTTCACACCAGCCCCCCCAAACGACAAAAGAAAAAACAACAACAACGAATACGCGAACCTAATCACACACGCACGACACAAACACAATCAAACAAACAAACAAACAAACAAACAAACAAGCAAGCAACCAAACAAACAAACAGGCAAGCAAGCACGCAAACACGCAAACAAACCCAACACAACACAACACAACACAACACCACACCACACCACACCACACCACACCATGCCACTCACCCCACCCACCCACCCACCCACGCATGCACGGACGCAAGCACGCACACGCACGCAAATACGCAAACAAGCACGGAAGCACGGAAGCACACAAGTGCACAAAACAGTGGCCGTCTTAAAGGCACCGCGGTGGAATTGTTGAAGCATCCTCATTTGCATATCCCTTGGAGTGAGGCCGGAGTCTGCCGTTTCAAACTAGGATGTACAAAACGTGACACCGCTTCTTACGGTTTCGAACCTAGCAACGGCACCTGCTCTTGCTCGCCTTACAGCACTCTTCTGTAGCGTGGCCCAGCTTGAACACCCAGGGAACCATCCAGGATTGAACCTCCACAAAGAAACTTTGGGGATAGGTTCCAACTCATTCCCTATCGAGGTTCCCAACAGGCCTGCCAGGGGCTTCCAGAGACCAGGGTGCTGAAGGTGACAACGCTGGGGACGATGGCGTGCAAGCCCATGTCCTTCCGCCGACCCAAAAACAACTTGTTTGATTCTGCCCCAGTTTTAATGAAAACTTATATAAATCGATAATGAACAACGTTAGAAAGTAAATCCCAGAAAAGGGTAAAGCTGAGCTCTCTCAGTGACATGTCCCAAAAACACAGCAGGGTGGGGTGGGGGTGCGGTCAGCTCCAACTTTTGATTGCTGCTTCTGAGGGGAGAACAACAATCACGCGGAACAGGAATCTAGGGACTTTTAACCCCCCCTCCTGGAATAGGATCTGTTTTCAAAAGGGCAGCAGAGCCAAGAGGCCCAATACGGCCTAATGCCACTAGCGACATTTCTGTATTGCCGGACAGTCTGGGGTCCGCATAGTTGGCCAAAGCAAGTTGGATGGCTGAAAAGACTGGAAGCCATGCCTGAAGGTGTGGATGACTTACTTATTAGCCATGTGGTCATCCCCTTCTAACAAGTTATTGATGGTAAAATTGGGCTGTTGCTCATATGGTGTTTTAGACTCGGTCGGTATGTGTCTCCAGAAACCAAGACTTGCCACAACAAATCAACACTGAAAGGAGGGCGGCGGCCCCGGCCCGCACATCCTTGAACATTGGAATTGAAGAACCTCCAGCACTTTTATACCAGAGGGGGCCGGTCAACTATTTACCTGCTCGCATCAACCCGAGCAAGGCTCAATCAGATTCATTCCCTGGAAAATCCACGCAATTCCGGGCGCTCAACGTACTGCCGCATGGTTCTCACGGTGTCCTTATTGGTTTAGAATTGGCCTGCTCGAATTTATACGGGGAACTTTTGGATTTTGGGAGAACAATGTTTATTATCAGGGGGACCTTGACTGTTGGAAAAGCGGGACTACTAACCACTTGCTATTTGGGCTTGCCATCGAAGTGGCACATCTGAGGCAATAACTGCATACTTTCCTTCGTTGGTACGTGCACCTATAAAAAGAACACACGTTCGACTCCGGATCCTGACCCCCTCTTGTGAGCCATAGATATATGTCCCATACTGCTCACATACCAAAACAATACTATGTAAATCGGTATCGCCGGCTAGAAACTGAGCGTCAGAAACCCCGAAATGTCCGACCAGCTGTGCCAGAACTGGATATCTTCCCTGAGAGGCTGTTAGCAGACCTTCTTTGGGCATCCGACGTTCACCTTTGTTCCTCCCAGCTCCATGCAGCGATTTTTTTTGGCACCCCGAACGGCCAGGCCTGCAGCAGGTCCAAGCCCTGCTGCCATCGCCCTGCCGCAGCGCACACCTGAAATCGGATTGCATGGAGTGGCGCCCCGGGGACATCAACCGTGCCCCGGTTGTTTTTGGTCGACCTCGGGGGCCAAATCTATGGAACCATGAAAAACAACGGAAGCTGGGACTGTCTGAATCTCGGGGAAAGCGCGTTGCTGTTGACAAACACAGAAAAGGTTGTTTGCTCGCGAGCAATGTGAAGAACAAATCCATTATGAATTGATCTGGTTTGCCAGATGTCAGCTGCGCATAGCGAGCCAAGCCAATGCTGCTCAAGGCTGATTCCGTGCGCACTCTCCATTTGCGTGGCATTGTCAAATTTGATCCGCGCACGCAAGTACTCGATGCCTCGCAGTGATTCCTCCATCATACCCCCTAGTACAGCGGCGTAGCACGCCACAGCTGGGCCGCCCCGCTTCTTCAGGCCCAATCCCCAGCGCCCACGATTGGGCGGCCACGTCAACCAGCAAGTCCCCTGGGGTTCTTTCTCCTCGCGCAACTCCTGCTGCAACGGCTGCAGCCACGCAAGCTGGTGGGAACTCGTCCGGCTGCGTCATCACTTCTGCCTCAGCACTGTATATTCTGGCCAGGCTCTGCTTTACTGCCACTCCGCGCAGGCTGCTGCACGGCCATTGCGTGCCAAAAGGCTGCGTTCACCTCTGCATCGGGCCTCGTCACGCCACCTAGCACGCTTGGCAAGTCGGAAGGCTGCTGGCAGCGCCACAGGGCAGGCCTCTGGCACACGCTGGCCTCGGTCTGGGAACCTCTTGAAGGTGCCCGCATCCTGATTGGCCTGTTCGTGACACGAGACACACCCATGCGCCTGCCATGGCTACACCTCATCACGCTCGGCTGCGTGCAGCACGGTGCTGGTTCCACGGCTGTGGTGGTGTGAGGATACCAATATCAAAGACGCCATCCAAAACGATTTGAAAGAGCTGAACATTGACCTGGAGGGGCTCCTGCCAGATTCCTTGCAGTTGCTCAACAGCCCAAGAAAAGGCCACTGAAAGGGGCCACACGTCGCGCCTGCCTCGTTTTATGGCGGTCAAGTCAAGCGTCACCCGGAGGGTTATAAGTCCTATCACATCGTGGCCCTTTGTGCGGAGCACGATTTGCAGTCGGAGGCCGCAAACACCGTCCGCGACATTTTACTTCCCACTGGATGGTCAAGCCACCGTTCAGCAAATTCCGTCTTGTTGCTTCTTGCTGGGTGGCCGGGCTGCTTTTTAGCTAAGCAGCCACACTTCGCTCGCTGCGATGGTCTTCTGCCTTGTGTGGTTTCAAACTGCGTGCTGCCTCTTGGATTTCGGTCCCGGCTGCGGCTGGTGCGCTTGCAGTTTCTTTTAAGTTTTGTTCCAGTCCATGAAAACTATATGTCGCAGCTGGGGCTTCCCACCACTGACCTTGCAGTTCGTCCGTGTTGCGTCTGGCAAGCAGTCGCTGCTGCCACGATTTGCTTGCGCTTGCACACACGTTTCTCAACAGCACGGCGTCCGCATGACTTGCAGGGACAACGCGGTGACACGGGCAACGTCTCCACGAGCATGCGCGTAGCGCACTCTCACGTCCGTTTTGCTGGGCACTCCGCACAGCTGGCACCATGCTGGCCACGGTCTTCCACCACGCGCTGCACAGTCCACGCCACCCTTGCGCTCCCTGTGCGCCACGCCCAAACTCCAAGCGCCGCGACGACGGCTGCCACGGCAAGTCCGGCGAGCCTCCCTCCGCTGGCCCCCGCTTCGCTCGGCAGCATTGAAGCAATCCGGCATCGCTCGCACATCCCTGGCACGTGCAAGGCCCACGCGCAAGTGCTTGCCAACCAACCTCGAGAACACGTAGCGCCGCCCTTAGAGCTACCTCTGGCCCGCTCCAGCCTCCGCAGCGCGCCTCCACTCTGCAGGGCGCACCAACCTTCGCGCTCAAACAAGACACCCCCGACACCATGCTTCAACCCAGCCTCTCACCGTGCTCCACACCCGAGTCAGCGCAGCGCTCGCCGACCGTTGTCCTGATCATTGCAAGCCCGCCCGCAGTGCCCGCGCATGCGCGTCAGTCCGACGCGCCTGCTCCGGCACGCCGTCGTGTTGACACCCCGCCCCCTTGCCACAGGCTCTCCAAGTCGCCTCACTGGCGGACCATCCGCATCTTGGTCGCTGTTGGCCCGTGTGAAAAAAGTTTAGTGCGGTCGCCGGCGCACACACCAGCACCTTGCCAGCCTGCCGAGGCCGTTGCTGGTCGCTGCGAGCTCCCTGCAAGCAAAACCTCCCAAGCCTCACTGCGAACTTCGCGCTCCATCACGGGGCTTCCTCAGCGGGGAGTTCCCTCGCACGCCTTGCTTCGGACTCTGGGTTTGTTTCGGGTTTGTTGCAGTCCTCGCGTCCAAGAAGTACTCGTCGCAGCTGCCAGCCCACACACTCGAAAAGCCAGCCTTCCGCTTGGGCCCCAGCCCACCTCGGGGCGCCGGGGCTCTTGAAAACATGTTTGAATCTGCGTTGAACATGCGGGCTGTAACTCTTGTCACTGCCACTAGGCCGACAGCACGGCTGGCCATCTTGCTGCAGGCGGGCGCAATGCGAAGCACACCCAGATGCTGTCAGCCCAACTCTCTGCCACAGGCGCTCTGGTTCATGCGCACAGGCAGCCACATCTACCGCAAATGTTCCGTAGAAACCGCCCGTCACCTTTCGCAGCCTAGCTCTCGCTCCACTTGGAGGTCAACTGCGCGCTTCTGTGCTGACAAGCTACATTCTGCATTTGCTTCCGGAGCAGTTTCGTCTACATCTTGGGCGTGAGCTTATGGGTTGCTTGACTGTCGGCGGCTCCCCCTCAAATATGCCTCCAACTAGTTGGCAGGCCAAGCTGTAAGCTTGCGAGTGTGCTAGGCGCGCTTGTCTCATCTTTCGGCCCAGCATCTGGCATTGACTCCAAGTCATGTGCCTTCAAGCTGGACGCCTGACGCCTGCAAAGTTTGCTTGCTCCTAATGTTGGATTGGTTCCAAGTCACAACGGAGGGTGGGAACTAGCCTCTTGACCGACTAGCCGACCAACCAGCCAACCAACCAGCCAGCTCAGCTCAGCCAGCCAGCCAGCCAGCCAGCCAGCCAGCCAGCCACCCAGCCAACCAACCAACCAACCAACCAACCAACCAACCAGCAAACGAACCAACGAACGAACCAACCAACCAACCAAGCCAACCAGCCAACCAACCAACCCTCCAAACAGCCGCCCAGCCAGCCAGTCAGCCAGCCAGCCAGCCAGCCAGCCAGCCAGCCAGCCAGCCAGCCAGCCAGCCAGCCAGCCAACCAACCAACCAACCAACCAACCAACCCCGGCCAGGTTTAGGCCCCAAGTCGGGGCAAGTAAAACCAAAAAACGGTTCCATCTGGGGGGAGGGGGGAATCATTCCATCTCATTGCCATCACTCACGTCTGAAGAATCCACACCAGGGATACTTCCCGCTCATGCTCACTTGTGACCACGAACCAAGCCATTCATTGCATGGCCTGCTGGTGACACAACAGCACAACCGCCCAAAGGGACAAGGCGGTGAAGAAGACCATGGATGACGAGGGGCCCGCTAAGCTTTCGGAATGTTCTGGAAGAAACACAAAGCATTGGCTGATTCCTCTTTCTTGGGAACCCACCAAAGAAACAGAAGGCGGAATCCTTTCTGAACACTTTCTCCACTGCCACAACTTGAGCTCAAGTTGAGGGTCCGGAAATAAATGCCCTGGATAAATTGCGCTGTGCAAGTCGACCAGAAGCAAGGCAGACACACCCATGCTGGGCATTTGCATGGAAGGATAAAACAACCTGTATCAAATCCGCCGACCCCATGCCTGGTCCAGAATGGACCATGCTTTCGGCATGGGGGCGGTGTGTTCTGTGTTGCTTTTGTTGATATGCTTTCTATAAGTTTAATGTGAATATGATTATGTAGATATATATATATATATATATAACCTATATGTCCCTTGGGGCGGCCCTTGGGGCTGGTTTCTACGTCGGCTGGATTTCTGGATTTCTGGATTTCTGGATCTCTGGATTTCTGGATTTCAGGAATTCTGGATTTCCCCACCCCTCCCCCCCCCTCCCCCACCTCCCCCCCCCCAGTCCTTCCGTAGTCTTCCGTAGTGTTCCGGCTTCTTCCCGTAGTCTTCCGTAGTCTTCCGGCTTCTTCCAGTAATCTTTCGTAATCTTTCGGCTTCTTCCCGTAATCTTCCGTAGTCTTCCGGCTTCTTCCCGTAGTCTTCCGTGGTCTTCCGCCTTCTTCCCGTAATCTTCCGTAATCTTTCGGCTTCTTCCAGTAGTCTTCCGTAGTCTTCCGTAGTCTTCCGGCTTCTTCCCGTAGTCTTCCGTAGTCTTCCGTAGTCTTCCAGCTTCTTCCCGTAGTCTTCCGAAATCTTTCAAGCTTCTTCCCGTAAATTTCCGCAATCTTTCCGGCTTCTTCTCCTAGTCTTCCGATACTGTTTCGGGACGAAACAACGCGCGTGTCCTGTGCTTTCGGGCTTCTTCCCTAGGCTTCGGGTAGTCTTCCCCCACCCCTCCGCCCCCCCCCTGTGTCTGTCTATGTTATACGTATCTGCATCTGTCTTCGTGTCCGCGAAGACCCCCCCTGCCCCTGCGTGTCTGTCTGTGTCTCTTTGTGTCTGTCTGGGTCTGTCTGAGTCTGTCTTCGTGTCCGCGAAGACCCCTTGCGTGTCTGTCTCTGTCTCTTTGTGTCTGTCTGTGTCTGTCTGCGTCTGTCTACGTATCTGCGTCTTTCTTCGTGTCCCCCCCCCCCGCGTGTCTGTCTGTGTATTTGTGTCTGTCTGGCTCTGTCTGCGTCTGCCTGCGCATCTGCGTCTGTCTTTGTGTCCGCGAAGACCCTCCCCCCCCGCTGCGTGTCTGTCTGCGTGTCTTTGTGTCTGTCTGTGTCTGTCTACATATCGCGTGCTTTCTCTCGTCCCGGGCCGAAATTCTAAGGTGTGTGGGGGCGGCGGAACCAAGCCGCAGGCCATTAAATAGAGTTGCGGCGCGCTCGAACCGAGGAACCCGAAGAATCCCTTTCAAAGAAGTTTGGATCTTTCAGGGGGCCCATTTGCGTTGCGTTGTGCCCTCCATTTTGGAGGATCAGCCCGAGGGTTGGAGCAACCCACGTTCAAGCAACTCGTGTTTAAAACATATCTCCTCTTGGCTTTTGGTTTCCCACAGACCAGGGGGTGGCTTTTCAACTGAACGAGTCCCATCCAGTCTTTTGCCAAAGGGCCCCGAGGGCGGCGTTGCAGCAGACCACGTCTAGCTGCGCCCAGCCCAGTTGCTCCAACAACGCTAAGGCGTGCCGCCAGCGCTTCTGCGGCCGCAGCCGTGCCAGAGACTTCCTTTTTTGGCGTCTCAGGCGAAAAGCCATGGCGGCTGGAAACGTGCTGACCATACCAACAAATCATATGGGTTTCAGCCATGGCTTCAAGGTGGTGCGAAATGGATGTCGCAAGCATCCACAGTATTTACAGGGGAAGCATCATTCCAGGGTTTCTTGGGTGGTGCAGGATTTGGTCCATCCACGGTACTATTTGTGGAGAGAACCGTAACAGCTTACAAACCTGAAACGAGGAACTTGTCAGAACGTAATCTTTATGAAGGGCGAGGTCAACAAGGCAAGAAAGCCAAGGAAGCCAAGAAAGCAAGCAAAGCAAGCCAAGCAAGCCAAGCAAGCCAAGCAAGCCAAGCAAGCCAAGCAAGCCAAGCAAGCCAAGCAAGCCAAGCAAGCCAAGCAAGCCAAGCAAGCCAAGCAAGCCAAGCAAGCCAAGCAAGCCAGCAAGGGAGCAGGGAAGGCAAAGCAAGACAAAGCAAGGAAGCGAGCCAGCAAGCAAACAAAGAAAACAGGCGATGAAACACATTGTGACATAGATATTCTTTTAAGCGCAGATCCGCACATGTGGTACTCCCAAATGATTCCTGGGCCGAGGCACGTGTAGTCGCGCAAACTGCGGGGGGCGGAGGCACCCGGCCTGCGATGTCATCAATGTATCTCGTGTGTAATGGAAAAGCTCCAAGCTTCATACCCCACATTAGGCATAGCAGTTGGTACATCTGCCTGCCCCTTCTTTTCAAAGCAAAGCTGCATGGAAAGGGCGGCACGGGTTGGGTTGCCGGCAACGATGCTGGGCATGTTGCTGTTGCTGCCTTATTGCTCTTGCTTCACTGTCATTGTAATAATGATTATGCTGTCGCTTCCGTACATCTCTACACAGGATTCAAACTTGGTGCTGGGCCTTGGTGGTGATGCTTGGGGATGCAGTGGTCCTGGTTTGTTGGCTTCGTTCTGCTTATAGAGGATTCACCTGCAGCGGGGTCGGCGCTGGGGGGAAGCCCTTGAATGTATACAAAAGGAGCACACAGGCTCGTAAGCTTGGGAGAACCTGGGGCAAAACAGTGGTTCAGAGGATCGCAAACCCGTCCGACCAAGACTGACTGCGCGTTTTCGCGCCCGAATGAGACGTGACATGTGCCCCGGCTTAGCAAGTCAATGAAGCAACAGTTGGAATCTGGCTCAGGCCAGCACTTGCCTGACCAAGATTCCAAGGGGGTTGCCAAGCTCAACTTTTCAGAATCGCCAGTGTGCCAGGTGCAAATCGCTTCCGCGCCCGGGGAAAGAACACATGAAAGCTGATCACCATGAAGCGTGCGCTCCAAAATGGCTGGTCTCTTCTTGGGGTCCCATAGTCAGCTCTTTGGGGTCAAATGCTTTATGTGGCTCCAGGCCTGGCAATCGCCATGCTTTTGAGCCATGGCGGAGTCGCTCTCTACCAGTCACTCTGCGATTCTGCGCTACTGGGCCAAAAGGTCAGCTCAAACATCTCGAAGGGTCAATGCGGGCTCCAAGGCCTTGGCATTTTCTGTCCGGCGACCAAACGAACCATTGAAAGACCGCGTACGCAAAAGACATTTCTTTTCTGTTCAAAGACAATATGAGTTTGAGCTCCGCGCTTCTGCAAATGGTTTCCCAACGGAATTGGCGGGCTGCGGCTCAAGCCAAAAAGCTTCACGTGACCCGGGAGGATTCCGGGTTGGTCAGCCCAGCAGGGGTATGCCCAGAACTTTTCACTGCTCACCTTGCTACCATAAGCTGCCTGGCAGCATGATCTTGTCTTCTCTCTCATAGCCATGTGGGACATGCTTTGGCTGCAAAGAACCGTCGTCTTTCTACGTGCCAGTGGCAATACCCAGATTGACATGTTAGCCTCCCTCATCTTCGAACCCAAGGGCTGGCGCAATTAGCATTCGCTGTTGCGTGCATTGATTTAATTGCTCAACATAGAACACCCAGATTTCCCTTGCATGAGCTGCAAAGTGCCACCCTTTTTCTCACAGGGCAGGCCGCTCTGTGCAAAACTCGCGCCTTTGGGTCAGGCGCAAAAAAGCTGGCGCCGTAGCAAACGGCATGTCACAAAAGTCTTTACACATGCCCATGGAGGCCTGTTTGCTCTTGAAAACACAACAGGATCTTAGCAGCCTTTTGGACAGTGCAGCCGAATTCAATACCTCGACACAGCGCTCCCGTCCTTGCGTGCGAGTTGGCGGGTGGGCAGGAACTGTACACGGCCAGCTGCCCTCCCGTGTGTCTCACGAGGCGACATGCATCAGAACCGACTCACGTCACGCACGCAGTCAGAATCTGTCCCATTGAACATAGTACAAGTGCCTGGGAAGAACGGACCGCAACATTGGCGAGCAGATGCCAATCCATCCCCAAAGCGGTGTGCAAGAACTTGGACCCACACAAACCTAAAGCCACCCCCCGCTTTAGCCAAGGCGCAAGTCGGGCCGGCGCGCAGGGGTTGCTTAGCATCCGCCCACAGCTGCTCTCTCGAGCTCCTGCAGGCCATGCTGTCACGCGTCAAAACTGCGTAGAGAACGCGGCCATGGGCCGTGGCTACGAACTCCATGAGCCCTTGGCAAGGAATGACCAGCAGCGGGGCCCACCGAAGCCTGCGACTCTTTTACTCCAAAGATCCCAAAAAACGTACAGTGTCAACTTGCTCCGTACAAAGAAAAGAACGCAAGCACCAAAGCTACCTGCTCTTCTGAGCGGGTCTAACCTTTCTGCGCGAGTCTACCTAAGTCAGGAAGTGTCTAAAAAGGTAAGGCCCAGTTCTCCAAAAGAGCTCTGCCTTGCCATACCCTCACTCAATGGTTCAAAGTCAAGCCTGAAATGAAGCCTTGTTCCATCCCATCACTCTCCTACACATGGCTTGACTGAGCGGGAAGGTCGCCTCAACGAGAAAGCACCATACGGATGTTCATCACTGGCCCCAGTTTCTTTTGCTGGGTTCAAGTTTCAAAGGGAAGTGCCAAAACCCGGCATAATCCAAGGACACATCCCCAGCTGCAAACCTTCCAGGCGGCGCCGTCGGGCACCCAAACGAGGGTGGAGATGCGATAGCACGGTGGGTGCAGGGAGGCGACGGCGGCCCCAAGGAAGGCAAAATATTGGGCTACAGCATAGCTATGGATAAATATTCCAATTCTTGTTTTTGACGCCCTTGTTGTACCTGTCTGACACTAGCACATTGACTCCAGCAGCAAAGGCGAGCAAGGGGGATGGCGTTCCTTTCGCAAAGGACTGAGGAATTTGAACATAATCTGGACAATTGGGCTTGGAGACAGGGACTCAGACTCATCTCTTTTGGTCCCTGTCCTTTGCACCTTTGGGCAGGAGCTCGCGCAATGCCTCCGCCAAGGGGCGGCAGTCCTGAGAGAGAAACACACAACATTGGTCCAAGGGGAGTTCTTTTCGAGGACGCTCCAGCAACTTGGTTACCACGCCAAGCAACCCATGGGACGCACACATGTTCAATGGACATGCGCTTACTGGCCTCCTGAGTATTACACCAGTTAGAGGTGCGAACAGCCTTAAGACACCAACTCAAATAATGTTTTTGTTTGGTGCCTACGCATCAGCAAAGCAGAACATCAACATCACAACTCCTATTGATTCTATCCAGCAGCCATCGGAACTGAGGGTTCCACAAGGAAATGAAGATCCTGGGGCCGCAACTAAGACCCAACAGCTTGTCAAGGACTCAGTTGGAGGAAACCCGGGAGAGATGTGTGTGGGTGTGTGCTTTTGTGAGTGAGTGAGGGGAGGGGCAGTTGACAAGCTGAATCCTAGGATCTGGCTGGCAAAACGGCTCAGTGCATCCAAGGTGCCAAGGGGAAGCGATGTCCGTGCGGGTGCCGCAGGATCCTTGGCGCTGCACGGCAGGATCCTAAAACCGGGAAGCGCCCTGCGATTGGGTTACAACCCCCCCTTTTTTTGGAGAAGCACTACCCGACGCACCGAACTCGATCCAATGGAATCCAATGCTTGGTCTGATTTCAAAAAATCCCAAGTTGGGGGTCGCCAACCCAGGGGTGTGACTGAAACATCCACTGAACAAGAATTGGGTGCACAGCAAGCCACAAGCCATACTTGTTCACACCTGGGATTGGACACGTTCCTGCATTTGCGAACACTTTCCCGCTCTTTGTGCCGATCGCTGCGTGGCCTGCTATGAGAACCACCAACCTGCAGGCTCCTGTTGTCGCCTAAACCCTTTCTCATTCCTCAGAAGCCATGGCGCCTTCCATCTGATTGCTCACTTTGACTGGCAGCAAAGGAGATGTTGTACCACTCCTGCCGGCTATCAAAAGCAAGTGGACTAGCAAATTGATCCACAAAATGTTGGCCAATTCGGCATCAAATGTCCACGGAATGGAAAACAAGTGCTATACTTCACACCTTGAACAATTATTTTCTCAGACTGATGTGACTAGAAGCTACGGATTCTCATGAACTTTGCATGGCAACACTTGACATGCCTGCGTCAGTTGTGAGTTGTGAGCATAGCGTTGTTCGATTGTTGTTTGATATGAGCCTCGGCCACAGTATGTCATTGCCAGAACAGCAGGAGAAACGCCATTCAATCTGATCATCTTGGGAGAACCTGGCCCTGACCAAACGCACTCCCTGCAAAACGCAATGCTCACCAAGGCGCTTGACATTGCTGCCATGCAACAAGCAGGGCAGTTTCACTCTGAAGTCACACACACACAACTCATTGCGAGCTGACGCACACATATGACACCACAGCAACCGCAGTGGGCATGTCGACAGCGCATTTTGCTTCGCATGGTGCCAAGCCAATTGAGTATTTAACAAGCGCTGAATGATGTGCCCAGCCATCCTCATGTACCTGATTGAAAGCCTGCTTCCATCCTCGTAGCCAGAGAGAATATCACTCGCCATCGAGGTGAACTTCACCAGAACGACAAGCGCAGTGACACAAGCTTCTCAGAACAAAGTCACTGCACGAAGACACGAGCCTTCCAATCTGACTCGACCGCTGCTGAGGCACTTGGCACTGTCACACACCACTGCTCGAACCAAACCCTTTGTTAAAATAGCTACAGTACCCTGCTACAACACGCATGAGCACCAAACAGACCCTTTGGACAAATTTCCTCCAACAGGGACCCTCTATCAGGTTCCATGTTTGTTTCTTGGAGGGTACGCCCTATGCCAACTCTCGCGCGGGTTGACCCCCAAAGTCCTGGGCCAACTCCTCGCTGTTCCTCCGGTCCTCGTCGGTGTCCCCAATGACGTGCAGCGAGGGCAGGGCGATGGGCCGCACAGGCTGGGCCGAAGCGGCCGGACGTGACGCTCATGCAAGGCCATGGGTATGAACACTTGGTTGGATCCATTTAGTGGACACAAGTCTGCCATGTGGGCTATGGGGAAATCCTCACAAGTACTCACATCCAGCATGGTTTGGCCGCGCTTGAGGTCCTTGTGCAACTATGCGCCAGGTATACTCCAGCAGATCTGGAGGGCGGAAGTTTCTAGAAAGGACACTGTGCCTATAGGAAGAGAAAGATTTAATCTCCTGCCCCATGCCCTTGGTCGAGTTGGCTGCCGCAGTCGAGTTGGCAGGTGGGGCGTCCTTTGCCTTTTTTGTGTGTCTTTAGTTCTTTCTTTGCTTTTCTTTCTTTTCTTTTCTTTTCTTTTCTTTTCTTTTCTTTCTTTCTTTCTTGCTTGCTTGCTTGCTTGCTTTCTTGCTTTCTTTCTTTCTTTCTGAATCTATTACCTGACCCTGCGAAAGCGCTGCCTGCCACGAAGTCTGTACTTCACCTTGCGAAAGTGCTGCGCCTACCACGAAATCTATACTTGACCTTGCGTGGGACCGAAATGCTGCGCCTGCCACGAAATCAGTACCTCAGGTTACCTATCTATCACCTGACCTTTCGAAAGTTCTGAGCCTGCCACGAAATCTGCATTCCACCTTGCGAAAGTGTTGCGCCTGCCACAAAATCTGCTCTTGACCTTGCATGGCTGCAAAATGCTGCGCCTGCCACGAAATCTGCACTTCACCTTGCGAAAGTGCTGCGCCTACCACGAAATATGTACTTGACCTTGTGTGGGACCAAAATGCTGCGCCTGCCACGAAATCAGTACCTCAGGTTGCCAAAATGCTGGGCCTGTCATGCGATTTCCATCTCTCTCTCTCTCTCTCTCTTTCTCTCTCTCTCTCTCTTTGATCTATCTATCTACATATCTATCACCTGACCTTTCGAAAGTTCTGAGCCTGCCACGAAATCTGCATTCCACCTTGCGAAAGTGTTGCGCCTGCCACGAAATCTGCTCTTGACCTTGCATGGCTGCAAAATGCTGCGCATGCCACGACATCTGCTTCAAAACAGTCTGCGCGGCCGTGCCATTGGGGAGCTTTCCAAAACCGTGGCGACCCCGTGGCGAGACCGTGACGACCCCGTGCGCAAAACAGGGCCACCCATCGCGTGGTTCGCATGTGGGTAACTCCACTTTTCGTATACGGAAGTTTTCTAACCAAAATTCCTTTGATAACCTCACGGCTACTGCAAAGGGGTACGCTGTGGCAGCCCTTTTGGCTGGCTAAACTTGTTGTTTGGCTGGCTGGGCTTGGCTGGCTGGTTGGGCGCTCGGTACACTCTGCGGTGGCTGGAGAACTCAAGCCAGTTGCTCTTGACACTGCACATCTCAGCATTGGCAAGCATCAAACGGAAATCCAAACACTGTGTCACCATGTGTCCCTAAGTCAACCCCAACCAATTCCAATGATTTTTAAGGAAGATGGTTTTATTGCGAATGGTTCTTGCAAGCCCCATGAGCGCTCCTTACAATCCGATGACAAGTCGTGTGGCTCAGATCAACCAGGCGCTGGCCAACCGCCCACCGCAAAACCGACCGCGCGATCGACTGCGCCTTGGAGCGTGCCATGCAGCAGCCCCGACTCAGGTTCTCCGGGGTGACGCCAGAAACTGCGATGATCAGCTTGGGCCCAGGCACCTCCCATGGTCTCTACATCATGTGACTGATAAAAGAGAGCTATGACTCCTTCACCTGTCGTGCTCCCACATGCTTGACGCCTCCAGCGCCCAAGCCCTCCAAAGATACACAAAGCTTCTGATTCAGCATACCTCTGCTTCGTGGCTTGGATTGGCGGCAAGTCTGCTTCTGTGATTGCTCCTTACCCTCCTCAAACGTCCTCCTCAAACCTCCTGAAGGATATTGATAGAAGGACCATGTAAAACTGGATGCCCCTACAGAAACAGCGAACTTTCATATTTGCGCAGAAGGGCGGGTCTCCATATTTTAGACAAGCTTGCGGAGTTTGCTCAGAACCAGGTGACTGAGAACCTCCTGCTCACAAACCAGAACTCAACGCATGAAATTGAGCAGTGATTTGGGAATTTACATTTAAGGGAACTCAAAACTCGGAATGTGCAACTGAATGTCCAACTTCAGAATGTCCAACTCAAACTCCTCAAACTTCAGGGCCCCCTTGTTTTACTCGTCTAGCCTTTTCCACAATATGCAAAATGGCACCTTTAATTCATCCTGTGCGATATTTTTTCGTGACGTGCGCCAAGCGGAATTTGCAACCGAAAACGCGAAAACCACGAAAATCACGAAAACTGCAGAAAACGCGAAAACGGCAAAAAACGTGAAAACTGTGAACACGCGAAAACCGATGAAAGCGGTGAAAACCGTGCACATGCCAACTTTTGCATGTTTCTTCAATGCCAACTTTCGCGGGACATAACCCTTTGAAAAGGCGGCAAACTCATCCCATATTCTGTCCATCCATTTGTCTATCTATGTATCTCTCTATCTATCTATCTGTCTATCTATCTATCTATCTATCTCTACCCAACTATCTACTTATTGATCTATTGGTCCATCTATCTATCTATGTCCTCTACCCCACTATCTACTTATTTATCTATTGGTCTATCTATCTGAATCTATCTATCTATCTATCTATGTATCTATCTATCTATCTATCGATCTATCTATCTATCGATCTATCTATCTATCGATCTATCTATATCTCTATCTCTATCTCTATCTATATCTATCTAGCCCCTATCTGTACCTATCCATCTACTTGTATCCATCTATGTATCTCTCTCTCTCGCTATATATATATATATCTATCTTCCTACCTACCTATCTATGTATCTATCTATCGATCGATCTATCTATCTATTGATCGTATCTATCCTCTCTATCCTATTTATCCTATCCAAATAGCATATCTATAAAATCGTTCATACCAGTCCTATTTAACTCATTGTGTCTGTCTTGTCTAGATTGTCCATCTTATTTATCTGATAAATATCATGCGTCTTGTCCAGCTTGTCTATCATATCTATCATATCTATACTATTTACCTTATCTATCTTACCTACCTTATCTTATCTTATCATATATTTTCTTGTTTTATGCTATCTTAGCCTATCTTATCCTATCGTATCCTACCTTGTCCAGTATTATCCTATCTTATCCTATCTATCCCATGTTGGCCTATCTTACCGTGTCTTACCCTGTCTTAGCCTATCTTATCCTATGTATCGATCGACCCATTTGTCTATATCTCTACCTATCTCTCTATCTTATCCTGTCTTATCCTACCCTCATCCTGTCTTGTCCCATCTAATCCTATGTTCCTATTGTATCCTACCTTATCCTATCGTATTCTATCTTATCCTGTATTAGCCTTACTATCCTATCTTATCCTATCTTATCCCGTCTTATCCTCTCTTATCCTATCTGATTCCATGTTATCCCACCTTATCTTGTATGTTGCTGCATGTTCCTACCTTATCCTATCTCTATCGATCTATCTACCAACCTACCCACCTACCCACCCACCTACCTGTCCTATCTATCCTATCTGTCCTATCTCTCCGATCGTTCCCATCTATGCCATCGTACCTATCGTATCTATCTTATTCTGTTTAATCTATCTGATCTATCTTATGTATCAATTTGATCGTATCTTCCTATTCACATTACCTACCTACCTTGTCTTTTCTTACAATATATTATCCTGTATTAACCTTTCTTAACTTATTGTATTTTGTTGTTCCTATCTTGTCCCATCGCATCCTATCTTATCCTGCCTTACCCCATCTTATCATATCTTATCTCATATCGTCCTGTCTGGTTCTATCTGTCTATCCATCTATCTATCCACCTACTCTATGTATCCTACCTTTTGCAGCTTTCCTATTTATCTCTTCGTGTGTAGCTTATGAATCGTTTCTAGCGTATCTATCTGATGTATCGTACGTCTTATCTACCTTATCTACCTTATCTATGATATCTATCCAATTTAACTACCTTGTCTACCTTACCTACCTCCATAGTATCCTGTCTTAGCTTCCTTAGCGTATATTATCCTATAATATGTTATCTTATCATGTATTGTTCTATCTTATCCTACCTTATCCCATGTTGGCCTATCTCACCGTGCCTTACCGTGCTATGTATCTATCGATTTATCTATCGGTTTATCTATCTATCTATCTATCTATCTAATCTAATCTAATCTAATCTAATGTATCTATCTATCTATCTATCTATCTATCTATCTATCTATCTATCTATATCTATCTATCTTACTTCTATGACCATTCAGCATACGAACAACGGAAGCTTGCAGCGAGCACCTGCGAACATGACGAAAACCGTGATTACGCGCGAAAACGCGAAAACCGCGAAAACCGCAAAACTGTGAAAACTGCAAAAACCCGAAAATCGCGAAACAAACGCCCAAAAAAAACGCGAAACGCAAGCATGGGAGAACGGTGAAAAGGCGCAAGCTTCAAAGCAAAATGCGAAAGCCACGAGAGCCAGCGACGGAGTTTTCTTGTTTTCTGGGTTTTCTGGGTTTTCCCGTTTTCCCGGTTTTCTGAGTTTTCTCGGTTTGCTGGTTTTCTCGCGCGAATCCGGTTGGCTCCGTGTCGCTTAAAACGATTGCTTAGCATTTATCAATAGGCACGCCCCGCTCCCAATTCCAGCGTTAGATGCAGAATGAGTCGTTTACTCGTAGGCCATTTCCTCGTTCCACGCTGGCCGTGAGTGCATTGCAAAGGCAAATCTTAGTCCTAACTCCAAACAGGTGACGTCATACAGTTCATTACGCCGCTTCTGTTTGTCTTGAACTTCTGGACACAACCCCACAGCTTGTGGTCAGCAAATTGTGTCCGCAACTTGCCTTGCCAAACAATTGCTATCGTGAGAGCAGTACTTTCTGTGACACTTCGGAATTGTAAATATGGACAAGTCCCCAGGTTTGCCTCCCTCATACTTACGGGCTGCTGTCTTTTGTGTGTCCAGAGCTGCAAACGCACACGGAGGCGTGCGTAGCACGTATCCAGTATCCAGCGACACTGCGCTCATTGAACAATATATTCCCGCCGTATTTCAGTCTGTAACCTTCCCAAAAACAACCATGTCGTGTCATGTTGGCACAGCTGAAGCCCCAAAACAGTGATACTCGTCTAAAATTATTCAACTGCAACTAAATCCAGGTGAAATCATTATTGGGCGCGTCTTGACGAACTGCCTTGTTCAATATCTTGGCGGAATCAGAACCATAACTGCGCGCTCGGCACCCCGGCATCTTTCAACTCCTGCTTCATCTCCTCAGCAGCCTTCGCATGGCATCTTTCGAGTGAGCCCTTGGGAACATTTAACAGGATCACAAGTGGGACGTGTGGAAACGCACGCTAGTCGAGTTTGTGGAAGGGTACAATTGTATGCTTAGGTCGCTGCTCTTTAGGGGGCATGCGGTCGTTTGAGGCACGCACCGCTAACTCAAGAAGGCAAACTCATCCTCCTTTGACCAATACAAGATGTCTCTCTGCTCATGGTATCACTTGCCAAAAAGAGCTAATCCATCTGGAAATCATGAACACACTCTTTGACGAAGCAATCCTCTTGTTCAGCTCGAAACAGGTATAACTGTCGCCACATGCTGCCCTCTCAGGCCTGCAACAAGACATTGATCACATACACTCTATACCTGGAAATCTCAATAATGCAACACAATGTGACACAGTGACGTGACCGAGCTGATTAGACTTGCAACGCAAATGCAAAGTGCCAACTCAATATATTGGGAACCAAAAATGTCAAGTTTACTGCCCCTTCATTTGAGTCACGCGGGCATCTCTTTCACCGGCAGCCACTGTACTGCATCGCCACAGTTCTTTTCGAGCACATCATGAAGGCTCGACTGTTCTTCTGACCTCTCAGCTTGAAGTTTGTCCAGACATGTCGTGTTCTTGTAGTACAGATTGTTCATCATCGTCACTGTCCTGTCCGCTAGACACATTGCCCTCAAATGAGTCTCGACACCTGGCAGCTCGAGTCAGCCTTATTCGAAAGCGATTCCACAGATCTACCCCCATCCCAACAATAGTCCATGCACAAATCATGCAAAGCAAGCGAGCGATAAGGATAGTGCGACTGATGCGGATGGGAAATCCTTCAGATTCTGCCCATAACTCTGCATCCATCGTTGCAAGGATGCTCTGATTAAAGAAATCCACCAGTCGATCACTTTGCGCTTCATCATACCCTTGCAAATAGCACAGCAGTATCGGCAGGTCCAAACAAAACATCCCCCAAAGGCCCCAAGTCTGCAGAGCGAACACCGCAGTATCTGGGCCTTGCTTCTCCAGCCTCCAGACCGACAAGGGGATGGCCACCACTGAGACGATGTACAGCAGGCAGAGACATCCAAAATATCTGCGGTGCGCCAGGTGACCCACGTGAGTGTCTGACAGCAAATCCAGTGCAGTAATTGACCAAGCGAGCATAGAGAAGGACATTGCAGTCTTCACATCAGTCATTCCTGCCCGTTCAATGTTCAAGCCATTATCCCAGGAACGGCGGAGGTTGTCTGTGTAAGCACCTGCAGTTAACAAAATGCCGATCACAATCTCCACTTCATCCTCAGCACCAGCAATGGCCTGTCTGATTCGTTGTTCATCCTCGCCTTTTGAACAATGTGCATCACGCAAGGAGTGGAACTGCATCATCTCCTTCTGCTCTTCGAAGCGAGCTTTCTCGCTCTTCAAGAGAACAAGCAACACGGTCACCGAAGCATTCGAGACAGTCAGGTTCGAAAACCAACCGTAAAAGCAGGAAACCCAGGCTTCGCCCTCCCGTGATGTTGCAACAAAGATCCAATCTACATCCATCAGGAAGAAAACACATCCAATGAAAGTCAAAGCTCTCATCATATCTAAAGACCAGGAGTGGTGCCAATAGGGCACCACCATCAGGAGCGCCAACAAGGAAAGTACTCGGTATATCAACTCCAGCCAGCTGTATAGACCTGTACCGGAGGAATGCCCAACGAAGAATTTCAGACTCCACCACACTGGAACTCCTGCAAGAAGTCCACAGAACATAACAACGCCAACTTCTCGGAACCAATATTTGAAGGTCTCCTTTCGATCTGGCACCACGGGCAATAGATAAATCTTATTCCATTTGGCTCCAAGATAAGCCTCAAACACGCACCAAAGCCGCGAGTAGACTCCCGTGGAAGGATTTGGAACCACTAGCAAGTGCGATGCTTTCTGCAATGCTAAAGCGAACGCACTTTCGGCCAGATTTCCACCAATAAATTCATCCAAGTCCAAATTCTGCGGATTTGAAAGAAGGCAGCAGTACAGGTTGTCACGTTGGTATAGCTGGGGCCATGCCGCATGAATTCCCCGTCCAAGGTGGAAAATTCCTCCGTGCCAGGAATGAGATACAAAAACCTCACACTCCAAACCTTCAGGATGCTTCATCAAAGCATAGCTGGCACCTCCAGCTTTCAGTGTCACAGGCTTCACTACATAGCGATTCACATCATATAGATTTGGGCCATGACTAGGATCCCAGTGCAAAGAATTCCTGGGCTCACTGCACGGGATCTGATTTGACGCCCATCTTCTAAGGACCTCTTTCACAAAGTCTTCGAACTCAGATCTGGTAATGCACCATCTTTCGGCAGGAACCGAGCGATGCAGATCTCTGGCACTCTGGAAATGACATGGCATGGGCCAAGCACCGAATGCCTTGGCCTAGCGGACGGGAGATTAGCGCCGAGCTCGGCACCAAACAACCATGAGGTTGGAGTCCAAACCAGGAATGGAAATGGAATGGAATGGGGCAAATCGTGCGGCTGCGTGTGCATTTAGAATTCACACCCAGTTCAGTTGGCCAACTCCTGGTGGCTGTTGGCCCCGGATCAAACAGCTTAACATGTTGCTCAAGAAGCTGGATTGAGCGGTTGTGAGACCAAGCAAATGAATGCGTTGCATCGACAGTTTGAACCTGCTTGATTGCAAATTTACGTGGGCATACAATCTTTGTCAACCAATTCAGATATGAATCCCGTAAAACACTGCGTCTACAATAAGGGTGCCCGTTGCAATGCAGCCCATGCATCTGTTGCTTTCTTGCAGGACGTCTCCATCAGCTATGCTGGCGGGCAAGCACTTGTCAACTTGTTCCCCATTTGGGATGTTCGTGTTTCTCGAAGAGAACAATCGCCCCAAGGCCAAACCTCAAACCTGATCGCCCAAACGATCTCGCACCACCAAACCAAAACTGATTGACCTTGACTACACCCGCCCCTCCCCTGAAGCACAGCTCTCATATCTGCAACACCATCTGGAGAGCCTTGGGTACCCATCCATTGCTGGCTTTCTCAGCACCAAAAGCCGGCTCCCAACAACCTCCACGACCTGGACCCACCCGCCCGTCCCCTCTGTCCGGCCTTCTGCGGCCACCTGCCCGCGCCCTCCAGAGCCGCCGCGAAGGCCGTGGCGCAGGCCGCGCCCTCTGAGAAGCCCAGCACCGCGTCGAAGGGGCCGTTGTGACCTCAGTCGAAGGGAAAAGGCGAAGGGGCAAATCCGGTTGCATATGCACAGTATTTAGTAACCTTGGATAGTAAGTCTCCTACTCTATCTTTTTAAAACCAGGGTTAACCACTTATCAAATGGGTTGGTCATCCAGGGGGACTCATGGAACCCCTAACCCCTAAGGGACCGACCCTGAAGGGCAACAAAAAGACAAGCGACGGATGTGCTCCGCCACGTAACGCACGGCAGACATCTGCCCCTCCAGGCCATCCTGAGTAACGTGCAAAACACGTAGAATTTTAGATCGTGTTTGTCTTCATTTGACATTCATTGTGATTTGAACGGTCAACCTCCCAATCCTTTGTTGTGCAAGGGAAGGGGGAGCACAAGCGAACCAAATAATTTTCATTCCTGTCCACGCTAGTACTTTTGAATGGTACCCGCACATGTTGCGCGACAGCTCCGGCGGGTGCCTTTCTAGGTGTTTGTAAAAATCAGTATGCTGACATGTTTGGCATCCAGAAAGAATCGGTTGCTGTATTCAGCTTATACGTTACCTGGGGGGAGCTTGGCTGGTTTCAGTTGAGCAGTTGAGCTTGATGCGTTCCTGGGCAGAATGTCTAATCATTGTCTAATCTCAGCATTGAGTCTGACTGATACGTTGTGCCAACATCTCTTTGGTAAGTCGACCAAGTTGTCGCTCAAGACTAAACAAATAATGTCGACGTATGATTAAAACCTCCCCCGATTAAAGCCGGCACTGATAAATACACCCCCGAAATAAAGTTATGTTGATTTTGTGTTTTTTGACGGGGAATCTACACACACTGACAAAAAACACACCAAACAAAAAAAACACACACACACACACACACACACACGCCAGCATCATCTCAACCTCTTCCACCAGCTTGTCTGATTGGTCAGTATCTGCCTCGCCTGCCTTAAAATTTCAGATCTACAAAAAATACTAGCTCCCAAACTGCAAATTCTTTACATACTCTTGATTGAAAAGTGGCCCCGAATCAACCCTGCAAGGGGGGTAGTACTTGGGGGTTGAGAATAACATTATTTAGGGGGGCCCCCTAAATACAGATTCCTGGTTACTCCCCCCCAAAAAAAAGAAGTGTCACCAGCAATACTAAATCAATTGGAAACTCAAATCCCTCAAGTCAAATCCCAAAAGGAGGATCCAGCAATACGAAATCAACCAAAAATTCAAACCCACCAATACTAAACCAAGTGGAAACCCGAATCCAATTGCAAAAGGAGGCTCCAGCAATACTAAATCAATTGAAACACGGCAAACCTGTGAGCAATACTTAGCAATTCGTAATCAAGTTGCAAGAGCTATTTGGGGAGGGTGTTTATTAATCAGAGGTAAACATTAGCCACACAACCGCCGATTTGGAAGGTGAGTCAAAAACAGCACCCAGAAATGCCTTGCTATGAACGAACAGAGCACGCACCCCGCTTGACTCATCGTCGCACATACACCTTGCAACTAAGGTTTGTCACGAACAGGACTCACAGCCAGCGTGCGAGGCATCCTGTGTACAGGAACTTGTGATTACTACATTCATCAACTCACAACCAGCACACATAAGCAAAACGTCAAAACCACAACCCACACCCCGCACCCAAAAAGGCCTTTGCCCTACAACTAATGCCGAGCCAAACCGGCGCATGAACAGCTCCCAAGGCTTGCACACGCACGCGCAAACAGCGACAAGCTTAGACATGCAGACACACACAAACAGCACGCAACACGCGCGCACGCAACGAGTGGGCCTCTCTTTTGTTTTCCGAGGCTGGGTCTGTCTTTTTTGGAGGGTGCCCCTTTTTGCGGCTTTAGTTTTGATGGGAACTAAGGCGAAAACCCCTCTTCCGGTAACCCTTAAACAAAGAGAATTTCAACCCCCCCATCGTGCCACATTGGCGCTTCTCAAACTCAGGAGAAGAGGCCCCGTCAGGACGGAGGGAAGCGAAGATCGGCATGATCAGTTCACTTCGCGTGGAAGGAAAACGCGGTTTGCCAGCAAGCGTGGCCTGCGCTAACATCGCCCAGCCAACCGACACCACTGAGCCAGCCACGCTGGAAGTGGTTTCCGGCAGGCGCCATGGCCCGGGCGCGGACCACGCAGGCCAACTGCTAAACGCTTCCTGCGCATGTCTGGTCCACCTGCGTCGTTTCTGCGCCCCTTGCATCCAGCAGGGTGATCTTGCGCTGCCTGGCCCCTTTCTTCACCAAGAACAGACAAATTCATTGTGTTCCAGACCGGCGAACTCCAACTTGCCTATGCGTGAGCCCTTGCGCAATCCCTGAGCCCTTGCGCAATCCCTTCAAAGGTCGCGCAGTGGAAAGCTACAAGTCACTCCGACTGGCAACGCGCAATTCAATGAACACAATGAACATTCACGCAAGCGCTTCCGCGCCACAAAACTACTCCAGTATTGCCCAAACGCTGCGCAAGATAGGCCACACTTGCCTTTGCTGTAGGTGGGCCCTTGAAACACACGCAAAATACTGCTACGCCTCCTACCCCTGCGGCGAAAGAGCTTCAAGAAAGCGAACGAACTAGCAAACGATAAAGAACTTGCTTCCGTGATGCGAAAATGCCCACGGATCTACTCAGGCACTCTTGCATACAAACAAACCTGCCTCTTTCATAATCTTTCCATCATAAGAGGAAGGCCCGTCTTCCAAACAGGCCTGTTCTTGGGTCTCAACCTGGGGAGCTACATACGCCCTTTGTCGTGTGGAAGTAGCCTTCTCCAGCCAACTAACGTTGCACCGCCCCCAAACTGCCTCATCTACGCTACCAGGACAGCAGGCGAGCTTTGGCGTGAATTGCTCCAGCGCCTGGGCGCGAACCGGCATCCCGTCCGGTCGGACATTTGCTGAAGCTCTCTCTGCATCGGACACAGAGGAGTACCAAAAACTTCCCTTAAGGCCACCCTCACAGCCACACTCGAAACGCGCGTGGCGCTGAAACAAACAAAGGGCAAACAACAAAGCTAACACATCTGCGCCAGCTCTACACGGGAGCCCCCTGCTGTAGAAGATCGGGAGCGGGAGCTGTCACTCCCACGACTGTTTTGCAAGTGTAAAACAAGTCCTGCGAGCTCATAAGTGACTCTACACATAGCCCGCGCTCCCGTTGTCGTTGCACCTTGCGCATTCCAGCCACCTGCCTGTGTTCCAACTTTGTGGGTGACACTAACGCGGGCTTCATTGCATGCTCGAAATTCGCCGCTGTCAGCGTCAAAGCGCTTACACTGCATCGTACCTTCAACTCTTGAAACTTCTCTAAACTGCCCCGCAGCAGCCCCCTTCCTCCACGCCCTGCGCTCGAAGCGAAGCCTAAACTGCGGTCAGCCGGTTCAGCACCGCGATCGCCCTTGACCTCAACTTTGAATCTCTTCTCCACACCCCTAAGCACACATAGACAACTTGCATAGGCCATGATGCGCCACGCCGCAATACCCTCCCACTTTCGACAACTGTCCCCGAACACTCCGTGCGACGACGCATCTTGCCGCTGCGCTTTGGCGCTGCCGCCGCTGCCACGAAGAGCCACCGCGCGCTCCACCGCGCTCGGCTGACATTGGTGAGGTGCTCCATCTGCTCTCCGCGTCTCTGTTTCAAACTTGCATCCAAAACTGCGCGTTCTTGGACTCTGTCCCGGAACTATAAGACCAAACACGGAAAACCACAACGGGCATGCAGCGCCAGCCCATTCTCCTGCCAGCGGACGAGCTTTTTTCTAAAGTGGTTCTGCCGCCAGTGATCCAGTTGCAATCGTTTTGATCGCAACATGAAGTTGGCAGGAGTACACCAAATCTGAGGCTTCCATCCTGAGCATTGAACGAAAATGGGGACACCTGACTCTTGCAAAATCCGGTGGGCTTTGTTCCAATCTGCCCGCGAGGTGTCACTGCCAATAAAAACTGCACAAGTGAGGCGGAGCGTGGCAAGCAACGGTTGGTATTGACAATTTGCGGCAGGTCTGCTGTCAAACCTTTGATCACTGTTCTCACAGATGAGATCCTGATGAGCAGCTCCAATGCCACGCAAAAAACAAGAGCGCAAGTCCGCAGGTGGTCTGAGTCAGGGTCAGTGGCCCTTGTGAGCACGGTTGTCGTCTACATGCGTTGACACTCTCACATTAATGTTGCTTTGACCCCACAACAATGTGATTCCCAGCTGCAGAATGGCTGACTGGGGAAATACTGTGACCAGTGACCTGACCATGCTGTCATTTGCAACCTCAATCTCAGCTCCGTGCAGCCTCATCCGAGAAGATGAGAAGGCCGTCACAACGTTCACTGCTGTCGCGAACACTCGCACTGTTGCATGAGCTTCCGTCTCCAAGGGCCGTGTCACGTTCTCACCCGGGCCGCTGTCCGCCCCGACACGCAACGCCACATAGACACTGCGACGCGATTGTCGCCGTACCTACTCAACAACAGGCCCACATGTTCAGGATTGCTCGGCCGCTCAACTCCCCGGCCACTCCCTGCTGCGCCCTCAACACTCAAAACATATATGCTATGAGCGCTTTCATCCACCACACTCAGTACTTCCAACAAAGCCAGCAATGACTCCAACATGACTCCAACTTGGTGCAAAATCATGCGCAAAGGCTCTGCCTCGAAACAGAGACAATCCCTTACATCTAAGATTTCGCAAGTGCAATGCTGAGTCTTTCCCGGGCAGGTAGCACAGACAAGCCGCCTTGTAGAAGGTCTCCATCAAGTCATCGGACAGCCGCTGTCCCAACATCCTGCATGCCCCATCATGATTGGCCACCTCAAGCGTCTCTGGGAATGTCGCTATCAGGCGCCTTGCCAACACCAGCCACGCTGACTACGCACTGACAGCCAAAAAAATGACGCAGTATTGCTTCTCAATGCGGGCTCCAAGAGCAAGGTTAAGCCAAAATCTAAGAGGACTCTTTTCCAACGCCTTCAAAAACACCTGCCAAAGAGTCGGTCAAAATGTATGTAGAATGAGTCAACCGCAACTGGCACGCACGGTGATATGCCCTGTGACGCTCAGCCGAGGTCAAGGGATCGCATCCACCTCATCAGCGCTCATGAGGCGCTCGTTGCCTAAGGGATGGCCCAGTCTTCCTCCTCCCGCTCCACCAGGGTCTCAGGTAGCGCTGCGTGGAGGCCCTGGCCTTGGCTTTCGCCTCGGCGACATTCTTTCCGGCGTGCGTGGCTGCAATAAGAAGGGAGAGGAAAACAAAGTTCAAACACCTCAGGAGCCAAAATCATTTGCCAAGTGGAACACTTGTGGGGAGCTAAGTCAAGTGCACACCTGCGGCTACACTTTTGCCGTGGCAACTCACACAAATTACTTGGGGCCAGCGCCCTGCAAACAGCACAAAATCCCTTCCGTACCCAGCTAAGCCATCATGTAACGACAACTTGATACCCAAAATCAAGATTTCTTGTGGGCCCTTGCCGTGAGCCTTCTCATTGGGCAAAAAGCAGCTCCACTCAGAGAACAACATCCTGAACTTGTCTATTCGAATGGCCTTGGATCCGTGCCGGGCGGCCAAGGGCTCCCACCACTGGAAGTAGGGCGCCAAGCATTCCTATCGGTAGAACGCCTTCAAGAGAAGCCACAGCGTGTCGAATAAATGTGAAATGTGATTGGCTTACAAATTTGCAGTTGAATCCAATATGACAGTTCAAATCCTCTTCAGCTGCACAGTATGGCAGAAAGGAAGCAGAAAGGCCGAGAACCGCCCTACCAAACTTGCAGTTGGATCATAGTTGGAAGCCCGTCGGAGGGTGGTTGACCAACCTATGATCTTTCAAGGGACGTCGGTGCATGGTTGAAACTCGCATATAAACCCGCCATAACAAGGCCATGGGTCAAAATCCCGGATAGCCCCCAGTGAACATCCCAATCCAACCACTAAAATTGGTTCTAAAACGGGTGGTGAATTCACCTACCAACCAAAATTGGACCCCAATTGGTTTTGACCCACAGCCACGCGCTGATGAGACCACTGATCAACCCAGCACGACGTGCCCATAGTCGGCCCAGCTATCAACCTGGCATGATCCCAGAATACAAGCTGGTCTCGCTCCCGCGTGCGCCGACTAAACAGGTTGGCGCGAACCTAACTATTTAGATGAATTAATCAGCAGGTTGAAAGTCAAAACCAAAAAACGACTAGACCACGGTTGGCCCGAAAGCATCACAGCCCCGTGACCATTCTGCGCAAGTTGCTCTGGGCCAGGTGCTTTGCGCAAACTGGTCTGTGCAAGTTGCTCTGCGCAAGTTGCTCTGCGCAAGTTGCTCTGTGCAAGTTGCTCTGTGCAAGTTGCTCCGTGCAAGTTGCTCCGTGCAAGTTGCTCCCTGCAAGTTGCACTGTGCACGCTGCTCTGTGCAAGTTGCTCTGTGCAAGTTGCTCTGCGCAAGTTGCTCTGCGCAAAATGGTCTGCGCAACTTGCTCTGCGCAAGTTGCTTTATGCAAGTTGCTCCGTGCAGCTTGCGAAGCCCGCCTGCGGACCAGGGGGGAATCGAACCCGCGACCCGCCGGTCCCGGGCAGTTCGAACAACAAAAGCCGCAAAACAACTTGAGCTTTTGCACCTCGACCACGCCGATCCCCGCAGAGGGTCGCACGACCACCGCAGAAATCGTAAAAACCTCGAGTTTTTGCACCTCGACCACGCCGATCCCCGCAGAGGGTCGCGCGAGCACCACAGAAATTGAAAAAACAACGAGTTTTTGCACCTCGACCACGCCGATCCCCGCAGAGGGTCGCACGCAAACAAAATCGCAAAAAACCTCGAGTTTTTGCACCTCGACCACGCCGATCCCCGCAGAGGGTCGCGCGGGCCCAAACAAAATCGCAAAAAACCTCGAGTTTTTGCGCCTCGACCACGCCGATCCCCGCAGAGGGTCGCGCGAGCCAAAACAAAATCGCAAAAACCTTGAGTTTTTGCACCTCGACCACGCCAATCCCCGCAGAGGGTCACGCGAGCCAAAACAAAATCGCAAACAAAACCTCGAGTTTGTTTTTTGCGCCTCGACCACGCCAATCCCCGCAGAGTTTCGTAGGGTGTCGTCCGCACTACCCCTCCGCCCTAAGAAGAGATTTAACTCCTCGCAAGTCAATTGCACTTGACGTCATTGCAAGGAGTCATTGCAAGGAGTCATTGCAACGAGACATTGCGCGGAGTCATTGCAACGAGTCATTGCAAGGAGTCATTGCAAGGAGTCATTGCAAGGAGTCATGAGAGCCATTGCAAGTTGCAAGGAGCGAAGTGCATGGAGTCAAGTACAAGTTGCAAGTGCAAGGAGTCAAGTGCAAGTCGCAAGTGCATGGGGTCAAGTGCAACTTGCAAGTGCATGGAGTCAAGTGCAAGTTGCAAGTGCAAGGAGTCAAGTGCAAGTTGCAAGTGCAAGGATCCTTGCAATGACTTTCATGATGATTCCTTGCAATGACACCTTGCAATGACGTTCATGATGATGATTCCTTGCAATGACTCCTTGCAATGACTCTCATGAGAACAACTCAAGTGAACCCAGCGGAAGAACCCTTCGCCGTGCTTTCGGGAAAAAAAACACATGTTGTCGTTAGATCGTTGGCAGGTTGGGAATTCAGAAGTGTTTGTATCATCCCGCTACTACCTGGACAATGACTCAACACTGCACACCCTTTTTACAGTATATGAGTGTAGACGTTTTATCATGCCGTCTCATACAGCAAATTGCGAGAATGATGCAAGGTTATTCCACTCCGATGACAACCGCCAACACAAGCGAAACACCGATCCCTGGAGAGCGACTCGTAAGACGAGTACAATTGTCCAACTATCTGTTCTCAAACCTTGGCAGTCAGTCCTTCTCAACGTCATCATCGGCAGCAAGCATGCCAGAGATGGGCCTGGATGGAGAGATGTCCAACCCACATTTATGTCCCGCAACCTGTGGGGCAACAATCTTTCTTCAAAGGAGGATTCCAGAAATGGAACTGGGGAGCGGGTCACAGCCAGCTATGGCAGTTCAGCCGAGATGCAAGCGATTCCATGGCAATCCGGACTGGATTCTGGGTCCCAGATTGCCTGGCCTTCCATAGGAAACTCCAGTTACCCCAAGTCGCCGCCTTTTGAAACACAGGGCCATTCCCAAAATCGAGACTTCCCGCTCCCAAAACGACCCTCGAAGCAAGCTCATTGGGCAGCGCGAAGCGCTTAGCGCAAGGACTGGCTGCTGGCAACTTCTTCGCTGCGCAAATCTGGGCGCAAAGCAAAGAAAACACGGGCCGCGCGCAGCTAGTGAGCAAGCAGTGTGCCAGTGAAGACCGAGAATTGGATGGTTGCAAAGCGCCAAGTTGCTCTGGACTCCCGGCAAGCACTCGGGGCTTGCGGGGCAAAGCGGAGTCCAGGGGAAGAACAGGTTCAATAGAAAATATGGCCGGTTTGCCTGTTGTGTCCCAATTTCATGAAATGGGCTGGTGTCCATTGGATAGTACCTTTTAGGGCTGGTTGCATGAAATATGGCTGGTTCTTAAAATCTACTCAAAGGGGAGGTCTCATTTTTTCACAACAACATCTCCAGAACGCTCAACCCCCCCGGGCCATGCACCCCATACAAAACGATCGCGGGCTTTCAGGGGTCAGCCATGCCGCCATGCCGCCATGCCGCATCGATAGCTTTGGCTTCCAAGTGGGCACCAAACAACTAAAAAGTATATCTTGCCCCTTCTTTTGCGGCTTCCTTTTCGAGGACAACGCGATGGGTTGAAAAGGGGTGAAGCTGGGTGGAAGTGGGGGAAATGGGATGGGTCCCATTCGTCCCATCCCATTTGCGTCCCAAGTCTAACTTGTGCTAAGCATTTGGTGCCAAGCCCATCCTCGGGAGGAATCAAAAGGCCTTCCGAGCCCAGGAACAGGTTGGCAAAAACTGGAAATTCTCGGAATTCGAACGTTCTTTGGGTGGTGTTCTGGGTCCGCAAGTGTCTCCCCTGAAAAGGGTGGTGTGTTGAGGGAGAGTTAGAGCATAGGTGGCCACTTGGAAAAATCGATGGCCCTGGTACATCTGGAATAAAACCCATCTAAACCAGTGGAACCCATCTATTTCTCACCAAACCAGCCTAAAAAAGATGGCAGAACCAGAAGGAGATATGTTTTTTGAGTCCTAACCCAAACTAACCCAAACTAACCCAAACTCAAACCGTCCTAGCCCAAACGGACATAAAAAAAGGACACCTACGGGTTTGCGTCTCCGCGCCGCCCCCCGCCCAAACCTCACCCCGGTTCAGCCCAAGAAGCCCCTGCAGGACGCTGAACTCCCAGCTCGGGAGCTTCGACCTGAGGCTCTTCAGCTGCTTCTCCTGGAAGCGAATGGGCCGGGGGTTTCGAATGGGGACGAGCAAAATGGGCCGTGGTCAAACCGAGCTTGTTGGGGTGGGTGGTATTTTCACCACCCATTTTAGAGCCTAATTATTTTAGTGGGGATTGAGATGTTCACTGGGGGTGCGGGATGTTTGTCAAAACCAAGTTGTATCACGTTAAAGTAGGCGAATTAATTCACCACCCATTTTAGAGCCTATTTTACTGGGGATTGAGATGTTCACTGGGGGTGCGGGATGTTTGTCAAAACCAAGTTGTATCACGTTAAAGTAGGCGAATTAATTCACCACCCATTTTAGAGCCTATTTTACTGGGGATTGAGATGTTCACTGGGGGTGCGGGATGTTTGTCAAAACCAAGTTGTATCACGTTAAAGTAGGCGAATTAATTCACCACCCATTTTAGAGCCTATTTTAGTGGGGATTGGGATGTTCACCGATTTTTGACCCATGGCCAAATGGATTCATCACCATAGATGGTTCCCCTTTGCAAGAAATTGACATGTGCGTTCTGCTTTTCTAGAACATAGCAATTGAACTGCTGGTTTCCATTTGGAGAAATTGACTCATTTGGCTTCCTTTTGGAGAAACTGACATATTTATTGACTTTGGCTTCCTTTGAGAATAAAATAATTCTTGGCTATTTGGCACCCAAAGTCTAAAGGATCGCAATTCCTCTCTTGGCTCTCGGGGATTCTTTGCGCCAGGGCGTATCACCCTGTCGTTCTCGGCATGATGTTCCTCAGTTCTTTGGAGAAACTTCGATTCCTCCAGCGTGTGGAGAGTTGCAGGGACGCTCAAGTTGGACCTTTCTTGGAATGATCTCATGGGTTTCCAGCACCTTCCCCGGATTCCAGCTCCGCGCGCTTTGCTTTTCCCTTGGGAACCCTGTCCAAAAAGCAAAGCCAGCCACTTGGAAGCATCATCTTCGGCACGTTCTCAACCGGCTCGTTTCAGCTTCTACGCGATAACGTAAGATTGGACAGCTGCACCTCAACGCCAATCCTTTTCAGTGCCGGAGGTAAAGGAACTGGCAGCACTTGGAATGCTATACTTCTGAAGCGCTGGATTCAAGACAGCTTCTTCTGGATATCAGCGTTGCAGGACATCATATTTTGACTTGTGCTTTGTTAGCGGTCCACGCCACGATCCAAAATATTCCTGATTGTCAGTCGCAGCATAAGCGCACTGGCATATAGGAAACCATTTGACCATCGTTTAGCCACGCAGGCAAAGGCACTTGGCAAGTATGCACACACACACACACACACGCGCCCTATGCCTTCATGATTCTGGCGCAACGGCCATGCACATCTGACTCCACAGTTCATGCTCAAGCGTCTAGCCATCGTGCCGGAATGAATGTCATCCCCTCTCAGAAACACCCGGCACCTTCTCTCCCACCCGCTCCCCCTCTACCCCAAAAATAGGATAAGACCATGCGGTAAACGTGTTCTTGACGCAGTTTTGCTGGCTCACTGCGGCATTTGGACCTTGACATGATAAACAAAGAGAACTTGGCAAATGAGAACAACCCAGAAGCTTCTTATTTTGTATGCAGCACTGGATGATGACAGGGTTTCAGATGATAGCTTATACATCATGTAACCGGAAAGGACAGCAAGGCCATGGTCGATCTGAATACTACTGTTGTTGGAGATGCTTGATGTATCTTGATGTGGCTCGGAGTAGTTCATAGACAATTTCGTAGTGAATTCTTAACAATCTGTGGCTTTTGCCAAACGAGCTTTGCAAACATGTAAAGCAAACAAGTGCCAACGCAACCCCTAGCAAACGCATCAATAGAGTGAAATGTCAGTTTAAGGACCTGGACGAAGCCTTTCCTTCGTCGGCAAATGAAAGGACATAAATGAACCAACAAGCAGAACTTTATTGGCAAAACGCTGCAGTTGTGCACGTCAAGAAAATCGGGTCTTAGCGGAGGCGCCATGAACTCCACATTGGTGCGCCAGCCGTGCAAGCAAAGCACCTTCGCCATTTTGCAAAACTTGGCTTCGTCTCGGGAGGTTTTGAGCCCAGGCTGAAACATGTGTTCCGCCTTCTTCTTGGATGCACAACCTTCCTTCTCTTCGCAGTTCTTGTGAAAAGCGATAAAGGCAGTGGTCTAGTGTCCGCTAAGATTCCTTGACATGTACTGTAATGCACATAGCCCTACTTATGCTTGACCTTTCTTCCCGTACAAACCGGGCAACCAAGAGGAGGCAAGTGCTGCCACACAAGTCCCACTCGAGGAGCACCAACTAGAAAGCGCAGGGACTTGCCAACATAAATACATCACGGAAACAGGCGAACAGGGCAAAAAGCAGGAGGCCGAAAACAAGCTGAAGCGGAATCGACTCGGCTGTGATACTTCTCCTTTTTGGAACACATACCATGTTACGAAGATCTACCTGTTGTTAAACTCCTGAAGTGTCATGACGGGGCGTCTTTTTCGCACCATCGAAGCGATGAAATGTTGTCCTCAGGGTTCCCCAACAAGCTCGCTTGTAGAGACACTCCTTGTGTTTGACTCCTGACCGTGTTGGATTGCTAGGCAAGCCAAGACTTCATCTGAGCTGAGCTTTCGTGACAAGGTATTTTCTCAAAAACGACCCTGACAAGGCGTGAGCACGAACATATGCAGCTTTTTCAACCATGCATTCAATGCGCCGCCGTTCGTCCCTTCAGGTAACGGCTACACAGGCGCGAGGTGCTCTGCGTCTCTGGGATGATCGATGCAACTCTGGCACATGAGGCTTGGGATATCTTGGAGTATTCATTTCAAAAGAGGCGCAACATTCACCTCAAAGTGGCAGCTCCTAGTTGGTGGACGCCCAGTCTAGCAAAGCCGTGGAAAGCAAACGCCCACGCAAAAGCCGCCGAGCGACACTTCTGCCAAGGGCCTTTTGTTCACTCGAATCGCCCTGACTGGCATTTCAGCTGACACGAGGGCTCTTTCAGGCAACAAAGCTGCCAAGGCCCTGCTGGCTCCGACAGGAATGAAACGAAGATGTCTGTAGAATTGCGGGTTCTAAACTGAGTTCATAGAAATCCCCTGAGCAAGTTGCGCTCGGATAACAAACCCAGACCTGGGATCCGGTTGATGCTGCGCAGAACTACTGCGCTGGCTTTGAGCTAGGATCTGCTGCGTCCACTGCCGCCCTATGCCCCATGTTCAGCACCGCACTTCCAGCACCCACGGGGTTTGCGGGCCAAGGCCAAGCAGAATCTCCGAACGGCTGGTGCAAAGGAATACTCCTCTGCAGATTAACATGGAACCGACACAACCATCAACAACAACATCACACAAACACAACAGCCGTGCCTACGTAGTCGGGGTATGTCGTTAGCATGGCGGCCTGCAATATGAAAGTGGAATAGCAGCCTTGCCCCGAAGGTCACTTGTTCAACAGCTACCATGGCAGTTGACAACTCGTTGCATGAGCGCTTGGAACATCCACCTAAGCCATCATTGCAAAGAAACACATGCCAACGCATATCATCCAGGGAAAATGTGAGTCTGCCATATTGGGGTAGCACCTACATGAAGGACGGCTGCTTCTCGAAAAGCCTCCCCACCCCCCCGCATGATGCCACTAAACACAAACCACTTGGAGGCGCTGCAAACCTTGGCACATGACGGTCAAAATGGTTGTTTCCCCTCAAGGAAATGAGATAAAATGAGTGACCCTCAAACAAATGTGAACATTCGTGAGTCCTCTGGTTTTTGTGAGACATTAGTCTCAAGAGTTCGTCATGTCCCTCAATTTTTGACCATAGTCTAATGGACATTTCAACCGAATTTGATCGGGAAAAGCAAAGGCCTCAGCTCCATGCGTATTTGGCTGTCTCGTGAGCACCAAGGCGAGGAAAGGGATTGACTCCTGGCTTGGTGTGAAATGGATCTGGCCACAACAGACTGAACAAATCTGAAACAGGTGAGAAGGTCGCTAAATGCCCGCCCTCTGAATTCATTGCATTCCGGAATCTGTAGCTAACACCTGGTGTCTTCAAGTCTTTCACACCTTCAGTTGGCCAACCTGTCTCATTGTTGCTGTGACGGTCGGGCTCGATGCATTGACTTGGAATGTAGTTCCTTGGGCCCAATCTTCCGAGCATCTACCAGTTTTTCTAATCAACTATTTGTCCATCTCCAACCCGCAAGCTACCCAAGTTCAAGTTTTTTGCGTGGCCACTTGTTGAACGACACGCTGGGAAATTCACAGCTAATTGAGCAGTGTTCCAAACCCAGTTGCGGCCGAAGAGAAACATCAAATCCCTTTCTCGAAGGTTTTGCGGAGCTGGTCTTGTCGCGAGAGGTTTTGGATGAGGGAATCGCTTTCGCGTCGCTTTCGCAAATTGAGACATGGGTTTGAAGCTCGTTTTCGTTTTTTTCTGCGTGCAACCACAATTTCTTGTCTTCGGGAAGCGGACAAGCTGGGGTCGATACTTGACTGGGCAACGTGGGAAGGAATTCCGGGGCCTGGGGAGAGGCTGTCAAGTGGTCATACGGGCCCCTTTCGCGGAGCGAACGCAGGGCTTTCGCGGAGCTTTCGCGCATTCGCGCAGCGTTTTCTCGTGTTTTTGGTCAGTGCCTTACCTGCTGTGCGTTGACAAGGGTCTCGTGAAACAAAAGCACAGCTTTTCAAGTGGGCATCTGGTCCTCAAGGTTCGTTGTCGCTGGTCTAAGCAAGGGGCTTAAGCAATGTTTGCCGTGTTGCCCTCGCATGACAAAGGCGTTTGTTCGTGAGCTTAGTCACCTGTAAAAGTGGTATTCGGGAGGAAATATCGCTTACATTTGTGTCCCAGGTTCGTGGAAGCGGCTTATCATTCATTGTACTCGAGAAGGTTCGCGAAAGGGCCACGATCTCTATGTGTTTGTTTGCATGCATGACCTCAAGCAGGCCTCAGCCACCGGACGCTCAATTGTCGTGCCTTGTGTAGCATCAAGCCAGCCAAATCCATCTTGACTTACTTGCGATTCAAGACTAAGGTTCCTGAAAATCTGCCGCTTCCTTCCGCTGCCCTGTTGCAAGCGTTTCCGCTTTTTGCAAGGTATTGGATACCACCTAAGATATTCTGGAAGGATGATTCCCCTGTACATACCAAATGGCTTCCCATGGTTTCAAAGTGGTGCAGCGGTAGGAACTATCAAACACTCGTTGCTGGTTTGTGGGCAACTTCCGCTCTTTGCATGTGACGAGCTTTGGGTTCCAAGCGTGTCTCGGACGCGAGGGCTTTACCTGGGAGGGTTTGGTGGGGAAGGGGCTACCGCAACATTTTTTTCTTGAGCACGCCTTCCGCGTGCCTTGCCAGCGCAACTCCTACTTACGTCGTTCTCCTCTATTGATTCGTTGGTCTTGGGACTGGCCAGTTCACGACACAAAGAGAGTCAAATTTTGGCGATAACGCCAATTTCCCTGGACAGGGAGAAGCGACCCCACAACTGATGCAGGGATGCAACACTGCTTTTGAATACATTGGAGGTTCAAGGGAAGTTTGGCCTGTGCGCCTTTTGAATACATCGAAGATGAGAACGACAACAAGAACGTCGAGCTCACCAGTCTACTGAAGAATCCCGTGCCATTGCAGCTACGAGCTCCTTTTTTCACTCGCAAAACACGTATTAATGGGGTCATGGCGTCCGACCGTCCGATGTCGAAAGCCCAGGCCTTGGTTACCTCTGCCGCACATTGGCCTGGACCACCACCTGATGGCTTTCCCTGTACCCCATTAGCCAGGGGTTCAAATCCACAGACCATCAATCCAAACCACCAACTAAGGGCTACCTGAACATGTCTGGGTCCGAAATGAGAAGTTTAGGGATGTCTAAAGATCCGTGTTCACCCAGGCCCGGTGGCAGGTACTAAGTACTGCCGCGGCGGCTTGTAAGTACTTCTAGCCATTGCTTCATCCAACAAATTGATGCCATGGGATCGCCCAAGACTTCGGCCATGGCAAAGTGGAGTTCGAACTCCAGCGGGCCAGTCGAAATCTGTTCGGGAATCCAAGCAGATTGTATACTCCATTGACCGCACAAAATACATGGACAAGGCGACAGCGCCTGGACACCGTTTAGCAAACCAAAGGACCACCTTCCCCGAGCCGCGCCTCCGGGCTTCTGGCAACCTCCTCAAAAGCTGCCTGGATCGCCCGAAACCGACCGCTGCAGTGGCCTTTTCCCTGACCTCCAGTGGCTATCTGGTGCTTTGGCAGTTGACTTCAGCAAGGCGTCTCAATGGTTGCTCTAACAAACCTGATTAAACCAAAAAACAACGCCTACCAAGCAGAACCGCCCTCATCTTGGTAAGCAGCATGGAAGCCCTACGCATCCCTACGTCAAACACCCAAAAGGGTGACCGCCCTTCACAAGTATCCCCCGAGCAGCTCGTGCCCATTGGTGTTGCTGGCTGCTCAAAGCACATTCAAATCGAGGCTTTGCTGCATCAACCAGCGTGAACTGGACCACGTGATTCTTGAAAGCAAATACACTAGCAATTGTACACCATATGATCGGCCTGCTGCCATCATTGCCATTTCTGTGGCTACCCTCACATCCATTTCACCTGCACGCCATCTTCATGCTCAAACAACACGAGAATGGTCCATCTCAAAAACAACCGCAAACACTCACCTACACGCTCAGCCAGTCGTTGAAGCAGCGTTCTGCCACCCCTCCCGCAAGAAATCGCGCACGGCTCGCCTCCTCCGGCACCGGCACAACTGCAAGGGCCTGAAGGACATATGCATGGCTTGATGTGTACGCGCGCGCGCGCGTTACATGCGGGTATTTGCAAATGGGTGCTCAAGGTGGGCGCGAATCATCTTCAGAAAGCTCGTTTGCGCCACCCGAATCAGCACATTTGTCAAGTGCCAGGCAGAAAAACAGGCCAAACTTAGGGGGATGGTGCCAACAGTTGGTGTTGCAGGGTGTTTGAAACCTTTCTGTTTGCTCCGTGCATCATTGTGATTGCACGAGAGAAGTGTGTGAATCGGGGGCTGGCTCTTTGAGCAACATACACTACTTATTGTTCGTTCTAAGCTCACGGTGATTCCGTATCTGTATGCAATCTGGGCAGCCACGGCTGCTCAATATGTTCATGTTCGTCTGGGTCGTGGTCTAGAATCCTGCATGGTCACCCTTGATCGATAATTGCTTTGATACGCAACACTACCATGACACAATTCAACTCAAGATCCAAGTAGGGTCTTGATGATAAGAATGCACCCGATGTTGGCAACTTGATTGCCTACACACAATAACAACACGGAATCTGACATGTCGCCATGCCTGAAGCCGACATCCTTGTTCTTGAGGAACAAACTCTGTCGCACTTGGCAATGGCTGGAAGCCAAGGGTCCATATCAATGGTAGACTTGCCATCATGGCAATTGAGGTACACAAGTTCTGCCAACTTGCCTAGACAAATATCTTGATCACTCTACTTACAGGACCACCACATAGGATCATAGCCGGTAATTACTTGAGCAGATTTGAGCCTCAAGTCTCTCCCATCAGCTGGCCTCGTTCGTGGCATTCTCCTCTGGCTGGGCCTGCAGCTGTGGCATAGCGGATCATAGCGGCATACCGCAACCCTCAGGAAAAAGAGTCTGCATTAATTACCAAAATACCCGCCTGGATACGTTGGCAACTTATGAGCGAGCCTCCCGTACAGTGGCAGGCCCATCCCAATGGGTTGGATATGTGCTTTTCCGGTCTGCAAACGATAAGGCGCGAAGTTACTAACTACCTTTTGGTGACGTGTCAAACAGGGTCAGAGTTATGGCATGCCGCTTGTTCGGGTCATGGTTTTGATCCCACTACAGCCTCAACAAAGACCATTTGGCAGTCCGTTTTGTACATTGTGCATGGAGGCTTCAAGTGTGGCACAGTCAAACTCTGCCCCGTGACTCTTACAGGCGTGCAGGGGTCACGTCAAGCACGGCTGGCTCTCAAGTTGTCAACAACCGTGGCGAGAAGAACCAGTGGACGTCAACCCTACTGTGGAGGGACGAAATCCTGCACCACCTAAGAAACCATGCAAAAACAATTGTTTCTTGGGAAAAATACAGGGGAAGCATTATTCCATGATTTCTTAGGTGGTGCAGGATTTCGTCCATCCACAGTATGGCTCCAAACCTATAGCATCCAGCCCCTCGTCCCTCCCAACACACCCACATTCATCTGGCCTGCCGCTCCGCGCCGATGAGCGCCGGCGGCACGCCACCCTCCGTTTGGTTCTGAATACCCTCCTGCGCCACACACTTCTCCAAGTGGGTGGCCCAAGTTTGAGGAAAACCGGACCAAGGAGTGGAACTGAGCTGCAAAGCGGACTCTGTTGCGACTCACAAAAGCAAGAAAGGCACTTCCGAATAGTTGATGAAAGGGTCACGGCAGTGGAAGAAGCGATGGGATATTCCTGAGAACACATCGCCTTCCAACAAACACAGCCAACCTGCGTGCGTGTTTGACACAGCAAATGGCAAGGCATGCCTCGAGTCTCACAGCCAAGATCAACGTGGATGACAGCCACTCCCACATCCAGGAATCCAAAGACGAAGACCAATATTGGATCAAACCGAGATGTAGTTGTTCCACCCTCATGCCACCGCGTGGCACGCCTCGAAACGAGTGTGGCATTTTTCCCGGCGCGCCTCGAGCTGCGTGTTGCCGGCTTCCAGGCTTTCGGCCTGGCATTGTCCGCGGGGCGGCGGCTGTGGAGTGCAGAGGGCAGGATGACCAGTGTCGGCCTTGCGCTTTCTCTCCCAAAATGGGACACCGTGTCGAAGTGAATATTATATTTGGGATTTTCTTCCAAAAAGGGTGCTTTGAAAACAAGGCACACATCAGAATCCAAGAGCAGTTCACATTTCGAGAGTCCGCTTGCACCGCTCGCCCCGTGCCATGTAATGCACTTGGCAAACTTGGCAAACACAGATCCGCCCTTGCCCATGTGGAAAACAGTCCCTAAGCTGTTACAAGATACACACGGCCGCAATTTTATCCAAGACCACGGGCGGGATGTGGACCGTGGACCCTGCAAACAGCTTCACCAGTCTCAACAAAACTGGAATGTGGGTTTCTTTTTGGCAGAAACCTGTTCAGGTTGGTTTAAAGGGAAACCAAACGAAAACTGAACGTTTTTAGGTGTCCCGTAGTTTGTCGCACACCCAATATGGGACAAGGCCAGAACTCCCTAACACAAGGCAAACAATGCTGGCCAGCTACACCTCCAGCCCGTGGAAACAGCAAGCTTCGACTCCCAAACACCCTCCAATGAGTTGACACCTGAATTGATGTTCATGTCCAAGGTGCGATACCCGCCAAAGTACGTTCACCAAAGCTAAATGCTTGCAACTGAAGCCCCCATATTTCCCTCACTTTCCACCGTACCCAGTGAAACAAACACCACCATGAATCCAACTTCCCACCAAACCCAAGAACCCACTGTGGCCCTCGCCAGGTCTTGGCGACACAGGGGGCAGGTCCTGTTGACCTTCAGCCTCGGTCCAAAAAGCAAACGCGGCTAGCCACTGGGGCTGTTTTTAGAATGGTGACTTAGAATTGTCGGGTGACTTAGAATGGGTTTATTAGAGGGGGTGTTTTTGCGGATGCTACACGCGTGATGTTGTCCTTTGCTGCAAGCGATCCGAACTGAATATAACAACCCGCTGAACCCCCCCTCTCAACGTTTTTGTTTGGCCCTTGAAGCTCGACGCTTCAGCAACTCGCACGCTCAAACAACCAGCCGGCGCGCTCAAAAAAAGACAGCCCATGAGAAAACAACACATATCATAATAAGATTCTGTTAAGGCTTGTGGCCCATTGGGCTGAAACGTCAAATCTTGTAACATCCTTGAATGGATGTCTCTGCCTCTCTGCTTGTGCAATAGCCCTTCATGGGTCACACATGGGAAATGAGGGCTCCGTTCCAACTGATCCGTATGGCCACCTCAAAACGCTCTAGCCTGAAGTTTGAAGCTTGCAAGGCGAACCCGTCAGCTCGGGATTCAATGGGTCACAACTTACCATGACCTACACGGGCTTCAGTTTCACTCCTGTTGCGGAGATTCCCAGAACTCAAGTCAGACTCAATGCCAAGGCTAACACGAGGATTGCGATCTCTGGCGAGTGGGAAGGCCCCTCTGTCATTGATTTCCAGCGATGCACATTACAAATCGAAAACTTCCTCTTAGACCGAATGGTCGTTGGCCTGCAAAGATCAATGCTGAAGCACTTCAGTCTGGAAGACGCTCCGATGAACTTCCCTTTGAACGGGCACCGGTCAGCGAAGGCATCCGGCTGGGTGCTGATACACGCACACATACACACACACAACACATGCAGCGTTCTGAGACTACTTGAGTAAGCGCTGCTGATAGCTTAAGTGAACGGTGCTGATAACATGCATGAATTGGAGCACATTCAATTACCCGAACCTCCATCTTATTGGTGATGAATTTGCACCATTTGCTGCCCAAGTTGAAACTGCAAGCAAGGTCAGCGTGCCAGACAGTACTCGAAGGCACATCCATGCTGACCATTATCATTCCTGATTGAATACATGCATGGAACTTACGGAACCTGACATATGACCCACCCCTGGAAGTTGTTCTCCGTCCATTGCCATGCACTGAGGCTGGCACCATTGCGCCAAGCAGCTCTCATGGAAGTAATGGCTACCTTGGCAGGGGCATCCCTGTGGTTACCTTCAGGAGTGTAGCCAAGTAAGGGGTTCCTTGCTCGCGGGAAAAGGACGAGGCAGTGCCCAAGGGCATGAGTCGGATTCCACATAGACGGCCCCAGTTAATACATTCATCCCTTGCTTGTACTCGAAAGTCCCAGAGACGTGTTCAGGCCACGCTCAAACAAAGTCGCGTTGAACGGCGCCTTTGACACCTCAATGAATTTGGGCGATCGCCCAAACATGCTCACACACTCCTAGTGTCGAGCCTTTAGATGCTCTCAAGTACAATCCAAATGTTGCAAGAATTTTGCGACCTAGGCATACCCAGACCATATTTCATCAAGGGACTATGTGGCTGAGTATCAACATCTGGAGAAGCAAGCATGCAGGTATCAAGCTCTCAGTCCCGCAAAAAAGGACAATATATAATATAATATTGCTCAATGTTAGTGCGCCTTATCCAAAAAGCCTAGTCTCAATATGCAATAGCTGGAGAAATCCAACATGTCGTGCATTTGGAAGCACATGTGCGCATCTACCTAAGCTCTATGCAAAGCACATACACAAACCCTCTGCAATGAGTGGGGATCAACTAGCACCAATCACCAGCTTCGCTCAACCTCGCGGAATCGATATTGACCGCTGTGAGCTTTCAATACTAGGCGTGCCCGTGCGGTCTCAACAGTCACGGGACCGGTCATGCAACAGTTTGGACAAGTTCAGGACCGATGTGGAAACCGAGGTTCGAATTCCGGCTCTCAAAGGATCATGTTCCTTTTCTGCGACAACTGCGCCTCAATCCTGGATCACAACACAGAATTATTTTGCCAGGGTTGTGAAAGCCCATGTTGGAAGATGTAGCAAAGAGTTTTGACTTCTTTTGAGATGCCATTCCACAAACAAAGCAAATCTGAATGCGCAATTCAAATATCCATGGTATCTAAAACAACGCCATCGATCATCGTCATTCGGAGGAGGTCTACAAACAAACAAACAAGCAAGCAAACAAACCAACATGCGGGCTTCAAAGCCTAGCCGCTACTAGTACCATCGAAACCAGTATCAGTTTAAGGGCCGCCCTGCCCCCCCCCCCCCCCGCCCGCGCTGGCTGCGCAACTGGCATTGCATGCTGCGGGGCAGGCCGTCACTTCCCAGCCATTGACGCCAAACAATAGATACTACACCAAAGAAGGCACAAACTATCCAGAACAAGGCGGATGTTTCAGCTCAAGGCAGAACTACTCCCGCGCCGGGCAGGGTAACAGCAATGCGAGGGTGCAAACTCCTGACCCGAAAGCTCCTGGCAATTATCAAGGGAGACCCCTTGCAGTGGCTTCCTCTTGTTGTGTGGGACACTTCTTATAAACACACATAGGGGTCAGGACTCCGAGGTCAAAACTGCTTCCATGGGCTTTGTTTGCCTTCAGTGCCAATCGAGCGGTGAAGGCCTTCGCAACAGTTACCCGGGAATCGAAACAAACATGCGGCACGAGTGCTCCAATCCAATTGGGCTTCGCTTCTGACACGTGGGCCATGTTGCGTATCAGTTGTGGGCCGCGGTCTGAGGCAAAGCTCAGAGATGGATTCAGCGGTCGATGCGCGTAGAGGCCTTTTTCATTGAAAGGGCAGCGCGCTTTCTCCGGCAATCGCTGCTCAAGGTGCCGGCCCTGAGAAACGAATCTTCAGCTGAGCTCATCACAAATCGTCTTCTTGATGGTATTTTCCTTGCTGAAGTCCTGACAAATCCCCCAAAAAAACACGAGCCCCTCGCCCACTAGAAGGTGAAAGGCCCAGGTAATTAGCGCAACGCCTGAGAAACTCATGCTGGGGCCCCGCAGCTTAGCTGAAGGCTCAAGGCTTGACATCCGTTTCACTGCAAGCTCCAACCGAAGAGCTCTAGCATGTCATGAGCAGTGCAACTGACCGTTCAAAACATGACCCAGAGAAAACACAGGAAGAAGACCAACAAAACACGCGCTTGTCCTCTGACATCAGCGACACTGCCAGCTTTTCCCCAATACATGAGTCCCTGCCCCCGTCTAACCAAACCACACAAGTGGATCTTTTTCTCAAAGTAGTAGCCGCTTGGTAGCTACGTGCACATGCATCTTGGTTGAGGTTGTCCATACGCATGCGGGAAGCCAAGATCTTGGACATCCGACTCGCGCCTCCAGACAGGTCGGACATTGTAAGGAGTCGCCGAACTCCTGGCTCTCGCGGCTTGAGGCAACCCGCAAGGATCCGCTGGACTACAGCAGCCACTGATCACCGAAACCCTGGAAACCGAAAACACAGCGGCCATCCAAACCCCTAGACCTGCACACAGGAGCTTAGAACCAGTGGCTTTTTTCTGCTAGCTAGGACATACCCGTTTTTCGGCCCTGCTCGTGGTCAATTGAAGAAGCCTCATCACAGCTACACTTCCTTGCTCTTTCACCTGCTGTCCAGCCCCTATTTGCGGCACCTCACGTGCTTGCGGATTAAGCTTACTATCCTCAACAGGTGCCACACAACATATGACATACGAATGGACCAAGGGACCAAACTGGACGAACCTGGACCAACTGCCCATTCGGCCTTTCTGTGTAATAGAAACGGTGTGTTCACAAATGCAAGACCCTGCCATGCAACAAGGGGCGCTCAAAGGAGCTCCCACAAGAAACCTGCCTGCAATCCTCTCGACACCTTAAAAGTTGTCCAAATCCGTGCCTCAACTTGTTGCCAGCGAGTATAGGTAGCACATACCCGTGGATGTGCGGAAGACATGGATGGGCTCAATCTTGGCTGTCTGTGTGATTCTGGAAGTGTCTTTGAAACAGCGTGCTGGATCTCATTTGTGTGCGGCAACAGTATATCATTTCGCAAACTGCAGTTTTTTCAAAACTCGAATGTGTGTTTAACCTGGAAGTGACTGATTTACGGGATCGATGCCCAAACGACCTCCCTGTACGCCCTACCGTGCCTGCGGGTCGAAGATGACGCTCTGTTGGAGCTCCAAGGTGCCCTGCATAGCACCCGATCCTTAAATGCTTTCCTTAGCAAAAACAAAAGACGTTAAAAAACGCAAACCTGCCTACTTAGCCAGAGCAAAGAAAGAGCAAATTCGCCCAACAACACACTGCATATGAAACTGGGCCGGATTGGTTGAGACTGTTACGCCCCGAAAATAATCAAAGGGACCAAGAAGAAGTGCCCTTGGGATGGGCTGGGCTGCAAGCCCCTATTTGGAAGAAAATTCAAACTTGCTTGATAGGATTTTTCCGCGGGATGGGAAGCAAACAAACCTAGGCTTGTCGTACCATGGGGGCTAGGTTTGAACAGGACGGGACCGACGTACCAACCCACCGTTTGGAAAGGGTTTGCTTTTATTCTCATGTACCCTTCTCCATCAAGTTGTTTCCTTCTGCAAACAGTGTTCGCAATGATGCCACCTAACCGGTTGCAGCCTTTGCGAGCTTTTCTCAGGATTGGCAGCTGGCAATACTGCACTCTCCTGAACAGTGTTCACATAGGATGATGTAGACCTATTTGCGATGCTGCCACGCTTCAGGCTGCTTGGATTGTCTGCGAAAAATCGAGAACCCTTTCCTCGCTTGACTCAGCTCAGCCAGCATCTAGCTAGTGCTAGGAACATCTTTTATCATCGGAATACTGTATTTCCTTGCTTGACGACATGTGGCTTATCTGGACATTAACTTGGACCCAGCCAACCCAACCCAAAAAACCACAAGGAACATGCAGCCCGCACCCAAAAGTCTCCCACAACCATGCCACGTGCCCCCTCCAACCCCCACCTCCGGCGCCGCCCGGTCCCCGAGGATTGAGCTCGGCAGCAGCCCACGGCCTCGTTGGTCGCTGTTGGTTGCTGTCCCATGATGTCCCATGCTGTCCCATGAGTTCGAAAAGTGAATCCAAGAATCCAAGAACCCCCAAAAAAGCCCGGAAGCCACTACTTCGGGGTATTGGAGGCCATTGCTTCGGTCAGTGGGTTCTCAAGTATACTATACCTTTCAATTATGGGAAACTGGCAAAGAGGCACAAATTGGCTAGGCCATGAGCCCATTGTTTGGTCCATCGTTTGGGACACAGGGGCTGAGGGTAAGCATTTCAAGTAGCAACTCGCTCTGTCTACATTGAACCTGGCAAATATGTATGTTGTTGTGTTTCGGTATATTTTGGACAGCTCCCGATTCCATGGCACTGTGGAAGCAATGATGTTTGGAGTCTGAAATCACGCCACAGATTGGCTTTCTACGAAGACAAGACCAACAGCAATGCTGTGCATGGGTACCGGTCCCAGTCACAAGAAGACAAAAAAACAACGTGCTAATCTCAGTCACAAAGAAGTAATACGGTGACTTGCGGCTTGCGGGGGCTGGGTCCGAATTCGTGAACAGACATATGCTAAGCATGAAGTACAGCCATGTCAATTTGCAGGAGAACGTTCGGATGTTCGCTGACCGTTCAGCTTGAAGTGCCTCCAGACATGTTGGAATCTTGATCATCATCATCGTTGTCGCTGTTCAGTCGGGAAGAAAAATTGCCCTCAGAGTCTCGCGACCAGGCCCTGCGAGTCAGCCATATCCGCAGGCGACTCCAGAGATCTACGCCCACCCAGACAATAGTCCACGCCAAGATCATGCAAAGCAAGCGAGCGACAAGGACAGTGCGACTGATGTGGATGGGAAATCCGTCAGATTCTGCCCATGTCTGCGTATCGACAGTTGCAAGGACGCTCTGATCAAAGAAATCCACCAGGTGAATAGCCTCCACTTCATCATATCCTTGCAAATAGCACAGCAGTATCGGCACTTGCAAACACAACATGCCCCAAAGGCCCCAAGTCTGCAGAGTGAAAACTGCAGTGTCTGGACCTTGCTTCTCCAGCCTCCAGACCGATAAGGGGATGAGCAACACTGAGACGGTGTACAGCAGGCAAAGAAGCCCAAAATATCTGCTGTGAGCCACGTGAACTATGCTGATATCTGACAGCAAATCCAGTGCAGTAATTGACCAAGCGAGCATGGAGAAGGAAACCCCGGTCGTCACATCAGTCATTCCCGCCCTCTCAATGTTCAAGCCAGTGTCCCAGGAACGCCGTAGGTTGTCTGTGTAAGCACCTGCAGTCAACAGAATGTCGATCACAGTCTCCACTTCATCCTCAGCACCAGCAATGGCCTGCCTGATTCTTTGTTCATCCTCAAGTTTGGAACAATGTGCATCACGCAAGGAGTGGAACTGCATCATCTCCTTCTGCTGTTCGAAGCAAGCTTTCTCGCTCTTGAAGAGAACAAGCATGATGGTTACCCAGGCACTCATGAGAGTCAGGTTCGAACACCGGCCGTGGTGGAAACACACCGTAACCCAGAGAGCGCCATCCCGCGATATCGCAATTACGATCCAATATACATCAAGCAGGAAGAAAACGCATCCAATGCAAGTCAAGGCTTTCATCATATCTAAAGACCAGGAGTGCTGTAAACAGGGCACCACGATTAGGAGGGCCAGCAAGGAAAGTACTCGGTATATCAACTCGAGCCAACTGTACAGACCTGTACTGACACCGTGCCCAACGAAGAACTCCAGACTCCACCACACCGGAACTCCAGCAAGAAGTCCACACAACATAACAACGCCGACTTCTCGGACCCAACGTTTGAAGGTCTCCTTTCGATCTGGCACCACGGGCAATAGATAAATCTTGTTCCATTTGGCTCCAAGATAGGCCTCGAATACACACCAAAGCCGCGAGTAGACTCCCGTGGAAGGATTTGGAACCACTAGCAAGTGCGATGCTTTCTGCAATGCTAACGCGAATGCACTTTCGTACAGACTTCCGCCAATAAATTCATCCAAGTCCAAATTTTGTGGATTTGACAAAAGGCAGCAGTACAGGTTGTCACGTTGGTAGAGCTGGGGCCATGCCACACAAATTCCCCGTCCTAGGTGGAAATTCCTCCGTGCCAGGAGTGAGATACAAAGACCTCACACTCCAAACCTTCTGGATGCTTCATCAAAGCATAGCTGGCACCTCCAGCTTTCAGTGTCACAGGCTTCACTACATAACTATTCACGTCATATAGATTTGGGCCATGATGGGGATCCCAGTGCAAAGAATTCCTGGGCTCACTGCACGGGATCTGATTTGACTCCCATGTTCTGCGGACCTCTTTCACAAAGTCTTCGAGCTCGGATCTGGTAATGCACCATCTGTCGGCAGGAACCGAGCGATGCAGATCTCTGGCGCTCTGGAAACATGGCATGGGCCTACAGGGCACCCAATGGACCCAGTGGACCTAGTAAGATGGGCCGAGTGCACAATGATGTGGAGGGTTCGACCGTAAGGGACAAATCTCGAAGGTGGCGTGAAGTTGGACTCTGCCAAACGAAAAAGGAGTGCGGTGCAATGGAATGCAAGAAGGGGCAAAATAGCGAGGCTGCAGTGTAGGCGGAGATGTTGCTCCTTGGCCAATGCAGGAATTGCAACCTTTATGAATTTATGACTTGAGAAAAGTAGTGGCTGCAGTCCAAGCAGTGGGAATACTGATTACACAAAAACCAGAAGAAATGGAACTAAGATACAGGCACCAACATTCTAAGATACCAGTGTTTGCCCATGATTTGAGGTTGGGGGGGGGCAGGGCATGCCAATCATTCCTCATCAACATGCCACTTCCACCCTCCCACCCTCCCACTTCCACCCACCCTCCCACTTCCAAGGTGTCCTTTCTTCATGTGCCACATGCCCTCCAACTGTCTCACTTCCCACTCCCCAAGGATGTCCCCCCCCCCACAGTTACATTTGCCTGCCCACATCCCAACCCTTCCCTGTGCCCACATCCCAACCCTTCCCTGTGCCCACCCCCTGCACTGTGGCCCGGACTACTTCATGGAATACTTGGAGCAGCAGTTCACAGGGAGGGAGGGAGGGTAAAAACAAGGCCTGGCCAGACAGGGAGGATGGTCATGGGGCACTTTAGCCTGCACCAAGACTGCAATATTGAATGGCCTAGTGGTCCATACCCCTGCTTTGCTTTAGAACTGTAACAACTGAAAAGTACTTGCCAGCACAGAGGGCACAACCATTTGGAAAACACAGGACCTGCTAGTTCATCACCTGAGATGTCATTCGCATTGGGGCCACCTTTTTCAAACTTGCTGTTCAACATCATGAAGCTAAATAGTGATTGGTTCTCTTTGCAGCATTGAAGCACAAGATTACTTGCAGCAATAACTGAATCCCAAAGCTTCATGGTGAATTTTAATCTTAAATGCATCACATGGTTGTTTGAGCCCTGGATTTACAGGAAGGGATGTACAAGAACACTTTGCAAGCATGGGACATGTATAGTTGTCAGGGAGCAGGTGGGCAAAGTGTAGGCTGCAAGGTGTCTGGGTAGTGGCGTTCAGAAATTTCTGGTCCTAAGTTTCCATTTGACCATAGCACCAAAAGTCAAATTGAAATGAAGCTTCAGTCAGCTCTATGCTTTCACTTGCAGCCATGCTGCATTTGCACACTTGCCGTCAACCATAAAAGCAGCCGCAAAAAGGGGCAGCAGGACACTAAGGCTCAAACCCTGCAATACTAAGGCTTAGTTCACTAAGGTCCCAGCAGAGCGGAGCCTGCTGCATACTAAGGTTCAGACACTGACTGAGGTCTGACTGAGGTCTGCACACAGCTTTCTAGGCAGTGCAAAGGCTGGCTGGGCAGAGGGCTGGGCTAACATGCCATTCCAAACAGCACTAAGTGAATGCAATGTACTGTTCTGGCCACTGCTGAATTTGGGTAGCCTCCAGTATTGCACAAGGCATTTTGAAACTGCCAACTGTTTCTCTGGAACTTTGCTAAGCCCTCAGGGCACTCATTGCTCCTCATGTCTTGGAGTGTCCCGCCCAAGAAATTCAATCAGCACCAAAGATGCAGGGACAACCCAGTGGATAATCAGGGAACACTCTGTGTGTGTGGTTGATGGCAGCTGTTTCCAACCAGAAAACGTTCAAGCCCACAGGTGAGATGTCTGACCTGCTTTTCTGCCACCCAGCCAAGGCTCAAATTCTGACAGTACCCATGGGCTGGTCCATAAACAATCTGTCATTGTGAAATGGCTGCAAAAACATATTCCAATGGAGCGTTGATGTCAACAACAAAATGCTGTTTGGCCTAGTGCTTCTGCAATCAGAAGCTTGAGCTCCCCTGACCTACCAAGCTATCCTTTACCCTTGCCCCTCCATGCCTTGGCTTTCCAAGGCATGGCTGCAACCCACCCTAGCCTCTTCATGAGGGGTTCCATCAGCCATGCTCAGGTTGCTTGCCTGTTGGTGCCTCAGACCATCCTCAGTGCACTGAACATGCTTTGTGAGCTAATCCTGAGTTGATGTAACTGTAAGTTGCTACCCAAACGGGCTTGGTGCAGGGAACCCTGACTCACTGCCTCTCACCCTGGCCGCTTTCTGGCTGAGGCCTGCTGCCCTTGGAGGTGTGCCAGGACATCCAACCTGCCTTGGGCCCAGACAAGCCAGCCGACAGCGCCTTGCATTCCAAGCGCCTTGATTTTGGGTGTATGTTATTGCAGGGGGTTCTATATGTCTTGACAAGGAACAATTGCTGGTAACAGTAAGGGGCTATCTTTTCATCAAAACTCATGTGCCATTGTGAATGCCGTCATCCTTTGGCAAGCTCTGTATCGTTAGCTCCCCCATGCAATCTTGCACTTCTCTTACAGCCTGATGCCTCTTGATTTTCTTGGATTTGCCAGCAAGATGTGGTTGCAGTTGTGGTTCAGGGCTGCTGCAAGCAAGTTGCTTGATCTCTGTGATGCAGCAGGTGTAGGCTCAAGGGCTGTTGGCTGTGGCAGCTTTTCAGCCATGTATGTGAACAACCTCTACATCATTCAGAACCAGAATGAGGTTGGCACAAGAAGGAAGCCACCCTGCCAGCTTGCCAGAGACGCCAGACTAAATTGGCAAGAACATGACAGTCATAAATGTGCGTGTGCCAAAGAGAGAATGCGCGTGTGTGTGGGGGCTAACTGAGGATCAAGTGCGAGCAGCCAGGAACCGGCTGGTGCTTTTCTCAGCTGCTGGCATTTGCCTATCTAGGAACTTCTTTGCTGAGGGCACAATTCTGAAGCCTTGTCCTGCTTGGCTAAGGAGAAGGCATTGATGGGTCATCAACCTCCTGCCCCGCCTCAACAGGCAAAGGAACGGGATTCAGTAGATCATCATCATCATCACCCCCACCACCGTCATCATCATCATCATCATCATCATCATCATCATCATCATAACTAATCATCATCATCATCATCATCATCATCATCATCATCACTAATCATCATCATCATGCTTGCTACACACTCATTCTTTTCCTGAACCTGTGCCCGCGCACAGGCCATGACCTGCCTTTCCTGGCAATGCCAAGAACCAGCAGGCCTGGCTGCAATGGAAACCTACCAGGGTCCAGACTGTTTCCCAGTTCTATCCTTGGATGCGTTGGGTGATTGCAAAAGTGCTGCTTTTCCTTTTTGGCAATCGTGTCACTTTGGCCCAACAAACCTCAGCATTGTGTGGAATTTGCATTCGTGCTCATGTATGTTGGAGTTGGGCATGCCCTTTGACACACTGATTCTGTTGCATTGGCCACATGTCACAACATGTTGACTGACTGACTGGTTGGGACCCCCTGCCCATGGCGCTGACTGTGAGTTTGTTGCAGAACCTTTCAGGCCAGCAGGCATTTGGCATCAGGATAGTAGGCAAGCAGGCAAGTAGGCTCTTTGCCATGGCAGCGGTGCTGACTGATTTGACTGTGGAGTACAGGGTGAAGTTTGCAACCTCCACTGGTGATGCAGCACCATACTTTGTGCATCTTGGCCTCACTGTGTGGTGCTGTGAATAAGTTGATGGCTTCCGATTGTGGCCCTGCCCACCCACACTTCTTGAGGAGCATTGTTGGCATTCCGGGACAAGCCCAAACAGATGCTGCCAAAGGCCCAACGCCTGTCAGCTGCTCAATTTGTTGCGCAAGACTGCTTCACCACTGTGGGGGTCCATGTAAGCAGGCTTTGGGTTTTTCAGCTGAAAGGTCTGGGACGGCGCGGAGGGCTACCTGGCCCTGCAGGGGCACCAGATGCTGACTGTGGCCCTCAAGAAGCAGGTCTTCCATGGGGAGCAAGAAGTGGGCCAGGCCAGTGTGGCAGGACCCTTAGATTTACTTGGCCACAAACTCTTAGTTCTTCCCACTTTGTTTTGGTGTGTCTTCCAGCACTGCAGGCAACAACCCTGCTGAGCACGGAATGGAGCACATTCAACCTGCAGTGTGGCATTTCCAAAATGGTGATTGAGTTACGCCACAGAGGGGAGGCAGGCCTGCAGGCCAGTTCCTTGGCTAAGACTTATTACCGGCCCCCAGGCACAGGCAACAAACCCACCCCAACCAACACTGCACTTCAGTGCACTGCTTCTGAGGCAGGCCTGCTGGACCTGATGCAGATCAGGCACTGGCTGGCCTGCAACATCAGCCTGTGTCCAGCCACAGCGTCCCTCACAGCTGGGACGATGTGCAGTACTTCTTGAGGAAGCAGATGCCCATCCCCAACGTGCCAAGGTCTGATCCAAGGCGCCAATATTTTTGGCTGACAGAGGGCAGCCTGGAGCAGAGGTTCACTGGCCTCACCTACCAGCCTGCAATGGTTGACGCAGTCACCAGGAGTCACAAGGCTGCACTGTGCAATGCTCAGGGCCTCTTTTCAATCAAAAATGAGCCACAGCCTTGACATTGTGGTGACAACTGAGGCTTGGCTGCCTTGAATGTGCTGCCCAAGCTTGCAATCATGCAGCAAGGCATGCAGACCGGGGCAGGCATGCAGGCCAGTGCAGGCATGCAGACCGGGGAAGGCATGCAGGCCAGGCGGCATCTGCTTACCCCTGCTGGCTTGCATGTTCCTGCTAGTTCTTGTAGCCAAGCCAAAACTATGCTGTGACCTCAGGCTTGATTGAATGGCTGGCTGATCCTAGCCATTTGCAGACCTTGAGAGCATGGCTGTCAATGGCCTGCTTGCACTCTAACATCATGTTGCACCTTTTAAGTTTTTCAGGTGAGGCTGGCAAACACTTTTGCAACAAGACCACCACAATGCTCAGATGCAGTTGCAGTTGCCAAAAGAGTCCTAGATAGTTGGCCACGCCACCCTTCTCAAGTGGGGAATCTCACCTTCACCCTGTGTGCGAATCGTTGGTCTTCAACTTCAAGTCC